ACTATAGATCACGAATTTTCATGCAAAAGACTATAGATCACAAATTTTCATATAAAAGACTATAGATCACAAATTTTCATGCAAAAGACTATAGTTCACTAATTTTCATAATAAAGACTATATTTCACGAATTTTCATGCAAAAGACTATAGATCACGAATTTTCATGCAAAAGACTATATTTCACGAATTTTCATGCAAAAGACTATAGTTCACGAATTTTCATGCAAAAGACTATAGATCACGAATTTTCATGCAAAGACTATAGTACACGAATTTTCATGCAAAAGACTATATTTCACGAATTTTCATGCAAAAGACTATAGTTCACGAATTTTCATGCAAAAGACTATAGTTCACGAATTTTCATGCAAAAGACTATAGATCACGAATTTTCATGCAAAAGACAAATTTTCCAAATTTCACAAATTTTCATGCAAAAGACTATAGTTCACGAATTTTCATGCAAAAGACTATAGATCACGAATTTTCATGCAAAAGACTATAGTACACGAATTTTCATGCAAAAGACTATAGTTCACGAATTTTCATGCAAAAGACTATAGTTCACGAATTTTCATGCAAAAGACTATAGTACACGAATTTTCATGCAAAAGTCTATAGTTCCCGAATTTTCATGCGAAAGACTATAGTTCACCAATTTTCATACAAAAGACTATAGTTCACTAATTTTCATGCAAAAGACTATAGTACACGAATTTTCATGCAAAAGGCTATAGATCACGAATTTTCATGCAAAAGACTATAGTACACGAATTTTCATGCAAAAGACTATTTCACGAATTTTCATGCAAAAGACTATAGTACACGAATTTTCATGCAAAAGACTATAGATCACGAATTTTCATGCAAAAGACTATAGTACACGAATTTTCATGCAAAAGACTATATTTCACGAATTTTCATGCAAAAGACTATAGTACACGAATTTTCATGCAAAAGACTATAGTTCACGAATTTTCATGCAAAAGACTATAGTTCACGAATTTTCATGCAAAAGACTATAGATCACGAATTTTCATGCAAAAGACAAATTTTCCATATTTCACAAATTTTCATGCAAAAGACTATAGTTCACGAATTTTCATGCAAAAGACTATAGATCACGAATTTTCATGCAAAAGACTATAGATCACGAATTTTCATGCAAAAGACTATAGATCACAAATTTTCATATAAAAGACTATAGATCACAAATTTTCATGCAAAACACTATAGTTCACTAATTTTCATAATAAAGACAATATTTCACGAATTTTCATGCAAAAGACTATAGATCACGAATTTTCATACAAAAGACTATAGTACACGAATTTTCATGCAAAAGACTATATTTCACGAATTTTCATGCAAAAGACTATAGTACACGAATTTTCATGCAAAAGACTATAGTACACGAATTTTCATGCAAAAGACTATATATCACGAATTTTCATGCAAAAAACTATAGTACACGAATTTTCATGCAAAAGACTATAGATCACAAATTTTCATGCAAAAGACTATAGATCACAAATTTTCATGCAAAACACTATAGTTCACTAATTTTCATAATAAAGACAATATTTCACGAATTTTCATGCAAAAGACTATAGATCACGAATTTTCATGCAAAAGACTATATTTCACGAATTTTCATGCAAAAGACTATAGTTCACGAATTTTCATGCAAAAGACTATAGATCATGAATTTTCATACAAAAGACTATAGTACACGAATTTTCATGCAAAAGTCTATATTTCACGAATTTTCATGCAAAAGACTATAGTTCACGAATTTTCATGCAAAAGAATATAGTTCACCAATTTTCATACAAAAGACTATAGATCACGAATTTTCATGCAAAAGACAAATTTTCCAAATTTCACAAATTTTCATGCAAAAGACTATAGTTCACGAATTTTCATGCAAAAGACTATAGATCATGAATTTTCATGCAAAAGACTATAGATCACAAATTTTCATGCAAAAGACTATAGATCACAAATTTTCATGCAAAACACTATAGTTCACTAATTTTCATAATAAAGACAATATTTCACGAATTTTCATGCAAAAGACTATAGATCACGAATTTTCATACAAAAGACTATAGTACACGAATTTTCATGCAAAAGACTATATTTCACGAATTTTCATGCAAAAGACTATAGATCACGAATTTTCATACAAAAGACTATAGATCACGAATTTTCATGCAAAGTTTATAATTCACGAATTTTCATGCAAATGACTATAGATCACGAATTTTCATGCAAAAGACTATATATCACGAATTTTCATGCAAAAAACTATAGTACACGAATTTTCATGCAAAAGACTATAGATCACAAATTTTCATGCAAAAGACTATAATTCACTAATTTTCATGCAAAACACTATAGTTCACCAATTTTCATAATAAAGACAGTATTTCACGAATTTCCATGCAAAACACTATAATTCACGAATTTTCATGCAAAAGACTATAATTCACGAATTTTCATGCAAAACACTATAGTTCACCAATTTTCATACTAAAGACAATATTTCACGAATTTCCATGCAAAAGACTATAATTCACGAATTTTCATGCAAAAGACTATAGTTCAGGAATTTTCATGCAAAAGTCAATAGTTCACGAATTTTCATGCAAAAGACTATAGTTCACCAATTTTCATGTAAAAGATTATAGTTCATGAATTTTTATGCAAAAGACTAAAATTCACGAATTTTCATGGCAAAGACTATAGGTCATGCATTTTTATGCCAAAGACTATATTTCATACATTTTCACATATTTTCATGCCAAACCCTATATAGTTCATGCATTTTCACGCATTTTCATGAACTATAGTTCAGACTACATGAAGAAATGTGAGATATATTTATTTTGTGTGAAAATGCGTAAAATTATGTGAATATCAGTCTGTTGGTGAAAATATGATAAAAAATATAAGTTAAATTTTTTGCATGTAAATCTCTAAAAATGCGTTAACTACAGTCTTCTACTGAAAAAATCTTGATCACGAGTGCTTCATCTCCCAAATTGTTGTTTTGAAGTAATGTTAAAAGCATTATTTAATTTTTTTTTATCCTCTAGTGTACTTCTTTTTATCAATCTTTCAGCCATTGCACTTCTCTTGCTCAATTAATTCGTAAATTTGAATTCAGCACTGTTTTTATATACTTTGTTGTTAATCATTTAGACATAATCTAACACAAAAATTCATGGCATAAGGGATGTCTTTAAAACTTTAGTTCTTTTGATTTTAGCCATATCACAGTATAGAGAACATACAGTAGGGCCATTCCATTGAATATTTTCATATCTTATTACTCATGTGATTACCATATTGACAGCCAGTAAATCGCATTTTGTGACCAATAGGATCGACGATATGGCAAACGGCAGCCAGTAAACTAATCAAATATACAGCAGCCAGTTGTAGTGGCTGCTGCAACTGTAGTATATACAACAGCCTAGTTGTAGTGGCTGCTGCAGCAGCCAGTTGTAGTGGCAGCCAGCCGAAGTGGCCCTACTGTATATTCCTATACTGTGGCCATATTATAGATGGTGTGCAACCACTCTCCTGGGAGTGAAAAAACAATAAAATATTCGCTGTATTGGAAGACATTTGCATAGTACATGAAAAAATTTGTGAAAATCGTCCAACTTGGCGGTCATGACGTACTTGCACCAACTTGTACACACTATGACCAATTTAGTGCGCAACTCAGACTCCTATCAAACGTGAACCGAATGTTATTAAATTCAATAGATTTAGCTGTCTGAATCGTTATTCAAATTGTGCCTTACAATCAGTGTAGCGTCTAGTCCCGTATAGCACAAAAACAATGTGCATGACGGACAACACACTTTATGAGGAGATGATACTTGGCGATTTTCATTCACTGAAAAGAATGAATCAACTTGAACAATAAAGCATTTTGAATATAACTAAAATGTTTAGTGTTTTGAGTTTCGTCTCTCATTTCGTCGTACAATTTGTTTTGACCTTTCTCACACAACTATAATATAACCTTGAAATATTTTTTAAAAAAATACGACATAAACGGCATTGAAAAAGTATTTTTCTCACAGAAGACGACAAATACGACACTTGAAAATGTATTTTTTCATAGAAGACGATATGAACGACATTTGAAAAAGTTCTTATTTTATAAAAGACGATATGAACTACATTTGAAAATGTTTAAATCGTTTAATGTAATCGTGTAATCGATTACAATGAAATTGATTATTAGGTCGTGTAAGAAATTGATAGTATTCAATGACTCTGGAGTGGTCAAGCGCACAGTGTATTAACATTGTGATGGTAAGTTCATTTCCTGGATGGGTCAGTAAGAATTGTCCCAGAGTATTTTGGGGATGAGCGAGTAGGTTGAAGATTAAGTTGTGTTTTGATAAGTAATGCCAAGATGAACGAAGTGGATTGTTGAGTAAGGAAACAATAAGAAAGCAGGTGATTTGTTTAGTAAGAGAAAAAGAAAGGAGAAGTTTGTCTGGTTTGAAACAACAATTTTTTTACTTAATTGCATTGTAATCAACTACACGATTACATTAATCAATTTGAAAAATTAATCAATTACATTGTAATGGAATACATGATTACATTATTATATTATTTATTTTGTCGCATATTTCTTTTCTTCCAAACCAAGTTAAACTGTTTTCAGTTAGTCGGTGCCTTGCATGTAAGAGCAATATTTTATAAAACACAAAACCATACAATAACAAATTTTAAAACTTATGAGCAGAGCACGAGAAATAAAGTAGGAAAATATTGGTTGGGAAAATTACATTTCCATTTTGGTTCTGATAACATACATCAAAAAACTCTCAGCAGTTGTGGCATAGATAAGAGAGCATCCTTGTTAAAATTTGGCTATTCGTCTATATATTAATCGCCTAATTGCTTTGAAATCAATTGTAGAGAATTAAACGTCAATAAATATGTCATGGAAATCCTCACAGATTAAAATCATGCTTTCTTTTCAATTCTCAAAAATCAATGTTCAATTCAAATCATAAGAATTACATTTTTAAGCTAGCGAAGTTCATATATAGCAACAGCATTTAAATTAAAATAAAAATAACTAAAATAAAATGAAGTACACAATTAAATAAATCACCTAAGTTAACTAACTACATTACATACTCTAACAAGATTTAATAAATAGTAACAAATATGAAAAGTATCACGTTTACACATCATCTTCTTGGATGAAATCAAGTATTAACTACATAATTCAACAGGTTCACTTCTGCCGCTACCTGCATAAAATGAAAAGAAAAGATACAATGAATGTATTCTTTCATTGATATTTTAAAAGCTTTTACATTCTTGAGATTTATGTTTCGTCAACGAACAAGCGTTATCGTTAAGACAATACAATGCAAACATTTACAATTCTAAAGTCTTTTTCTCCATGCAGAAAACGTCAAAGTCATTAAAACGCATTTAAAGTCATTAGAGTCTCCCGTTGTAGAAATTTTAAAATTTTATCAATATGCCATGAAGATATACATTTTATAAATCATAGTACCTAACATATTAAATGAACTAATTATTCTAAGCTTTTGACGACCCAATTGATGATAAACTACCACAGGAAGATGTTAATTTCTACAAAAAATAGAGAATACGACATAGAAAATTGAAATTAGTCATTTGAAGCATGTAACGAGGGAAAAAAACATAGTAAAATAATGTCTAAGTCAGCTGTAACTACCAGTCAAACTTACCAAGTCAAACCTACAAAGTCAAACCTACCAAGTCAAACTTACCAAGTCAAACTTACCAAGTCAAACTTACCCAGTCAAACTTAAGAGTCAAACTTAACGAGTCAAACTTAACAAGTCAAACCTACCAAGTCAAACTTACCAAGTCAAACTTAGTCAAACCAGTCAAACTTAGTCAAAGTCAAACCTACCAAGTCAAACTTACCAAGTCAAACTTCAAGTCAAACTTACCAAGTCAAACTTAGTCACTTAGTCAAAACAAGTCAAACCTCAAACTTACCAAGTCAAACTTACCAAGTCAAACTTAACGAGTCAAACTTACCAAGTCAAACCTAGTCAAACTTACCAAGTCAAACCAACAGTCAAACCAAGTCACTTCAAAAGTCAAACTTTCAAGTCAAACTTAGTCAAGTCAAGTCACTTACCAAGTCAAACTTAACCAAGTCAAACTTACCAAGTCAAACTTACCAAGTCAAACTTAACAAGTCAAACTTACCAAGTCAAACTTACCAAGTCAAACAAGTCACTTCAAACTTAAGTCAAACTTCAAACTTCACTTAAGTCAAACCAAAGTCAAAACTTACCAAGTCAAACCTACCTAGTCAAACTTATCAAGTCAACCATAACGAGTCAAAATTAACGAGTCAAACTTACCAATTCAAACCTACAAAGTCAAACTTACCAATTCAAACCTACAAAGTCAAACTTACCAATTCAAACCTACAAAGTCAAACTTACCAATTCAAACCTACAAAGTAAACTTACCAATTCAAACCTACAAAGTCAAACTTACCAAGTCAAACTTACCAAGTCAAACCTACCAATTCAAACGCACGAAGTCAAATTGCCTTACCAAGTCAATGTAAGAGGCCAATTCATTTTTCATAGAGATGTATTTATCTTTTAAGTCTTCCTGGTACATCTTTTGATCATCTTGAATAAGTTGGTCATTTAAATCAAGCGCAGCACCACAACATCGAATAAAATCTCTACATGAATGCAAAAGTAAAGAATAATTTATATATGCCAATGGAGGATTGTTTCAAGTTGTCAACTGTCGACATCGAAAAAAGAAAATCTTTCGTTTTACAAAGTTAGATTAGTTAGTACTTAGTCAGTAACTTATTTCTTTAGCTCTCCCATAGCACATGTTTCTCCATAAATACAATTGCCTTTCAAATTGTAAGTTTAACTTGTACTCAGTCTTACTGTATAATTTTAAGGTTGCGCACCACTTCCCCCCTGTACCCCAGAAAACCGACCATGATTGCGAAAATTTAGCATTTAAATATACAAATGAACAATTTCATTTAACCTGATTTAATAGTTCCAAAATGTAATTTAGCACAAAAAATTAATTCGTAGTAAAAGTAAAATATATTTTTGGTTTTTCTGAGCTAAATGAAGTAAAGGATTACGTGCTTGAAAAGATGCTTTCTCAAATAATTATTGCTGATATTTTGTTGGTTTTAGTTCTGCTTAAACTTGACTTCACTTACCTGTAAACAACTTTAAGTTTTGATACAAGTTTAGGTGGGTGATCCCTGACGATATTTTCATTGAGAAAGGCTTTAGCGTAAGCTAATGGCCCAGCATTAACCTAAAACAAACGGAAATTAATGGACAAGCGGTTCGATTTTACAAAAGTTTGACTAAAGATTGCTCTGTGAAAAATAAATTTTACTGATTTGAATTCGCTTTCGCAAAAAGAGTTAAATTTGCGTTCATCAAATGCAAAAAGGAAAGTGTGAGAGAGAATTCATTAAAGGGAAAGAATTTGGAATCTAAAAATTTGTACCTGTGTACCAACGCTTCCCTGAAGCTTCAGCTGTAGTTTCTTCATATCAGGGGGGTTGGAAATTGTAACTTCATTTATTTCTTGCACTTTCTTGTGCATTTCATCAATCGCCACCTGGGAAAGAACATGGAAGTTAAACATTAATGTACGATAAAAGCTATCAATACATCGACAAAATATATAAAATAATGAAAACGGATAAAATAATAAAATAGAATATATATAAAATTGAAAAACAAAGTTATTCTAAAATGTTTCAAGTTCAATCAAACATCATTTCCACGATACCTAGGAAATACTCTAGCACTGCGATATTGTTGCTCATGTCGAAGATCCAAAGATTTTTGACAAGCTTATATATTTTAAAGTGCGTTTACTGTGTTTCCATTTCTTATAATACAAAATAAAACAAATTCCTTTTGTATTACTTGAAATTGTCTGCTTGTCCCATTTCTTATAGAAGAGCATTCATCAGCCTCAACGCAAATACAAATGACAATATTTTTTCATCTTCTTGATTTATTTTGTTGAACAATGTAGTCAATTAAACCAATAATTTTATACTAAAGGAAATAATTCTACATGCGATAGTCCAAAACAACCATTTGCTATAGAATAGTTCCAACCTCCTTTATGGTGTTACATACTTTAAAATCAACAATAGTTGTTTTTTCATTAAGTTTTCGAGATAACATTGATAAAAAAGGGAGCTCCCCGGGCCTGGATAAACTATTTCATTCCAGATAGCAAATTTAAAAAAAAAGAAACTTCTTGCATGCTAAACTAACTAAAAATTTCATATGAAATTTTTCACTATAAATAAACATTAATGCTTTAAGTGTAACAACCTAGTTAGAAATATTTTAACATACCTCTATAGGTGTAAGTTCGTATTGTTCTTCTTGCACAACTAATATTCTTGTCTTCACATAAGGAAAACTGTGCGATGCTAAAAAGTCGTACACATAAACAAAAATTTTCTGAGTCAATACAAAAGATCTCGTGTTGAAAGATGAGATCTAGACGTTTTGGAGCTCATGTAACGAAGTAGCAAAATCAAGTTTTACAAATAAAATTTACAGATAACTCTACAAAAGGTACAGATCCGTCAACTCTAAAAGGTACAGATCCGTCAACTCTACAAAGGTACAGATCCGTCAACTCTACAAAGGTAAAGATCCGTCAACTCTACAAAAGGTACAGATCCGTCAACTCTACAAAGGTACAGATCCGTCAACTCTACAAAGGTACAGATCCGTCAACTCTACAAAGGTACAGATCCGTCAACTCTACAGAAGGTACAGATGCGTCAACTCTACAGAAGGTACAGATGCGTCAACTCTACAGAAGGTACAGATGCGTCAACTCTACAGAAGGTACAGATCCGTCAACTCTACAAAGGTACAGATCCTCAACTCAGAAGGTAAAGATCCGTCAACTCTGAAAAAGGTACAGATCCGTCAACTCTACAGAAGGTACAGATCCGTCAACTCTACAGAAGGTACAGATCCGTCAACTCTACAGAAGGTACAGATCCGTCAACTCTACAGAAGGTACAGATCCGTCAACTCTACAAAAGGTACAGTTCCGTTTTTTTACACATAAGGTTTCTTGCTGCAATATAACAATAGATCGTGTGTAGTCCCTGCAATACATTCATTTTGTTCCCCTATCATGAACGCCTTGCTTTCCCTGTATGTCTCGTATATTTTTCATTGTCCCTGCCATATATTTCTTACATATTTTGAGATCTTACTTGTGAGTATAGTTTTTCTTTTTAATTGTTCAACAAGTGATCCATGACTCTTTCCAGTTTTTGTAAATGGTGTTTCAAATGCAAATCTTCGGATGTTGTTATTTCTTTCAAACACAGTAGGACGTTCAACAATTTCTTCATCTTCAAAGTATTGTTCAACATACGTAATCTAAAAGTAAACGATAAACAGAACAAAAAAAAAAGCTATGACTTTCTTTAAATTAAAGTTTCTAACACAGAAATTTCAAACAAAAATTTTACCGATCGTTTGGCAGTCCCTTTACCTGGATGTAATTAACTCCGATTTCTAGATTCTCGACGTTAACCTGCAAGAAAATTCAATTCGTGATCTTTATGTAGAGTTAAAACATAAAAAACCCATCACTTTCACAATTATTTTTTGACAATTATAATATCTCAAGTTCATACAAATTGACTGAATTATATAACTCACTTTTCCAGATTCTAAAATGAGCTTAACTTTATCTTTTCCTAATTTTGTATTATAAAGATGTTGTAATCTTGATGAAATTTCACTTAAACTTTTTATTTTTGGTTCTTTGTATATAAACTGCTTGCGATTATCTGAGCCAAACGCCTTCATGAAAAAGAAAGCATCAATAATTCATTTAGCATAATTTGCTTAACATGCGCATATTTTACTTGTGCAACAAACATTTTGCGAGAAAACTCACTTCTCCGAAGAATGCCACTCGAAAATAAGATCCTAGTAATCGTTTCCTGGAGGCCATGGCCGCTACAACTTTAGTGTAGGCCTGAGACAAGTTATTGTAGGCAATAGATAATGCCTAAAAGGAAATATTTAACTTTATAAAGAGCGTTACAAGCTACAAATAATTAAAGTGTTTATTATTGCAACACAAGATCGTTTATCCTTTGTTAAATTTTCTGACTGCAACTTTTCTCAAATCTAAACATGTTTATTTACATTGTCACAAGAGATGGCAAGACGATTCTTTAACTGATATGCAATCAATCGTATTTTCCTTTTAATTTATTACCTTAAAATTTCTGTCTTGTTCATAAACCGGTATAACAAGTTTATAAATTTCTCCAGTGACCTCATAACGCTCTGCTTTCGTTAGGAGATCTGCACTTTTCTCCAACAACTCCACCAAAGTATTCTACATTAAAGCAGATATCTACATGTATAGATCAAAAATTAAAAAAGACTTAATTGTATTGTATTTAAAGTTCTTGAAGAACCAGTTAGCTACCCTTCAAAAATTTAATTTACGAAAACATCATATTATAGAAATATAAAGAGTCACACCATATTTCTATAGATTTTGCTCAACAGTACACAATATATGAAATAGGGTTTGGATCTTATAGTTGAACATACAATATAAATTGATGACTGCTTTCTTATTTTACCGTCGAATATCTCTGCTCGTTTATCAGTCCTTCGTCATTCTTCATAACATTTTCATCTGGAACAATGTTTGGAGAGACATAACGAAATGCTTCACATCCTTCAGGATACAAACCTACATATATGTGACGTGATAACATAAATGAAAGTGTTTGCGTCCGAATAATGTAGCAATTGATTAAAAAGTCAATGCAACGTCATGTACGTAACATGGAAAATGATCGTTTTGCTACATGAAAAAAGCAAAAAAACTCGCATAACGGTAGCTTTTTAACACAAATGTTTTTACCTCTTCGTTTTAAATACTCAGCCACCAATGCAGCAGCGTGGATATAACTGTGGGCAGCCTGAAAAATGACAAACACATACTTTATATTTAAATTTCATATGTTAAATGTATTTTTCTGTAAAATAATGATTAGAAATAAAATAGAGAAGTATATGCCATTGTAAGCAAATGAAAGTATGGAGAACTTAATACGTCAATAAAATAGAGCAATTTTTTTTGTTTATGCTATTTTTTACCTTTGAGCATTAAAGACAGTTGAACAAGTACACATGCAAAGTAAATGAGTTTATAGATACCTCTGAATAATTTTCATGTTGTTCATGAATTTTTGCCATGTTTTCGAGCCAAGTCTTTCGAAGTTCAGGTGTACTAGAGTAAGACTTAGCAAGACTATACTGTAGATCAATCAACATCTCAACATTGTCCCCGTGTTCCTAAACAGGAAGTTTTAACAAGGTAAACTTACAATTACTCGATGACGTATTTCATTTTTCTTACCTTCATTTTAGATGTAGCTTGAAGAACGGTGTCAACTTTTTTTATTAAATCTTTCACTTCTTTGCTCAGTGATGCAGACTACAAAAGAAAAACAAGAACATCATATCTATGTTCATCAGAAACTGCAGCTTAATTGAATTAATTTTAACGTCTAATACAAAAAATATTAATATTTTCAAGGCAAATTTATTTGATAGTTAAGATGGCCGTTTCTTCAACTTTATTATCTTCACATGACTTGTCATGTTAAACTATGGATGCAGGACTTTCACAACAATCACTTGAAGCAATTTAAACATCACAGAAGCAGAACAAGATGAAAATAAGCAGATGTTACAAATGTTTTTCACAGATTAAGCTCCTTTCACAATTCAAGCGATTAAGAATTTTTTTTTAAATAAGCAATGAACTGTCAACAACCAATAAATGGTATAGTCATGGCTACAAACTCCGTTAAACACAGTGAAGGACTTCAAAGCTTTTACAAACTATTACATGCGTAATAAGATAAACAAGAAGCTAGGCCTTTTGCGGCTCATCAAGTCGTGTCTCCCACTAAGCGCTAGGATAACTTTCTTTAATTCTTTTGTTCTGCCCCTTTTTGACTACGGCGATATAATATGGGAGACCGGGGCAACACTACACTTATGACAGAGCTACAGATCCTTCACAATAAGGCTGCGCGAATCATTTTAGATCTTCCCCCTACTGCTTCCGCGAGCGATGCACTTTCAAGGCTCCATTGGAAACCTCTAGAAAGGCGGAGAGCCGAGCATCGTGCTATTTTCATGTTTAAGGTAGTTAATAACCTTTTTATGCACACTTTTCACTGCTGTTTTAACAGTAACTATCATAACTATAATACACGATCAAAGCGAAATATCCGCAAATCATTCGCACACAGAAGATGGGGGCACTGGATAACAATAAATTTTGCAGCGGACGTTTGGAATGCCTTACCTCTTTCCATAAGAGATGTGCCCACCTTAAGCCAATTTAAGCGTGGTATCAAAAAAGCACTATTTTAATTAGTTTCGTTTTTAGCATGTTAATTTTCAAATGATGTAGTTTTATCTTCATATTTTTCGATTTGTATTCTCTTTCTTTTTATTTTTAAGTAGTTATATTATATTTAGTTACTTTTTAGAGGACACCTCTGTAAACCACTTTTTAGTGATGTTGGCATCCTCAATAAAGATTAGCTATTATTATTGCAACAATACATCTACTTTCAAACACAACAAAAAAGGAGTCTTCTGTAACCGGATAATAAAAGGGTTTGTTTGTGGATACTTGTATGGATGTTTGTGGATACTTGTATGGATGTTGGTGGATACTAGTGGTGTATATAAGCAGCCTTTGATATAGGTTAAAAATAACTGCTTCTTACTCGTCAAATAATGAATATTTTTCACTATAAAATAACATTTACTTACTACATTGGCTTTATCTCCATTCACGTAATTGTTTAAAGCTATTAGTGATTCACTCATTGCTGCACCATCTTGACCCATTGCAATTAATTTAGAGACAGCAACTAAAACCTGCAAATCAAAATAAAATATTAAAAATTAAATCGGATTAAATTCGTCCATAAAAACTACGATATAAAACATCCATCAAATCCATGATCTAAAACATCCATGGACACTGCGATTTTACACAGCCATCAAGATTGTGATTTTACACAGCCATCAAGACTGTAATTTTACATCATCCACCAAGACTGTGATTTTACACATCCACCAAGACTGTGATTTTACACATCCACCAAGACCACAGATCAAGTGATTTTACACATCCACCAAGACTGTGATGTGACATCCACCAAGACTGTGATTTTACACATCCACCAAGACTGATTTTCATCAAGACTGTGATTTTACCAGTGTGATTTTACACATCCACCAAGAGACATTACCATCCACCAAGACTGTGATTTCACACATCATCCACCAAGACTGTAATTTTACACGTCCACCGAGACTGTGATTTTACACACCATCCACCAAGACTGTGATTTTACACATCCACCAAGACTGTGATTTTACACAGCCATCAAGACTGATTTTACACATCCACCAAGACTGTGATTTTACACAGCCATCAAGACTGTGATTTTACACATCCACCAAGACTGTAATTTTACACATCCACCGAGACTGTGATTTTACACACCATCCACCAAGACTGTGATTTCACACATCATCCACCAAGACTGTAATTTTACACGTCCACCGAGACTGTGATTTTACACACCATCCACCAAGACTGTGATTTTACACAGTCATCAAGACTGTGATTTTACACATCATCCATAAAGATTGTGATCAGGAAGTGAAAATGGTCGATTATTGGAGTTTTTATATCAAATAATAATTGATCATTCACCTGCAGATGTACTCGAATACATCCAGAACCACCACAAAATTCAAAATTACTTCTTATCAGCAAATACAACAATGAGTGAGCCTGGCAGAAAAAAGAAATTCCTTTTTTTTAAGTTAAATGTACTTAAAAGCAATATAAGCCAAATTTGCAATTTATAAAATTCACAACTTTAACTGACCTCACGGCGTACAATTTCCATTTTACTACTGCAGCATCTTAGAACCTGAACGGAAATCATTTTTTTTATTGATATTTGAAAACGTGATTTGACAACTAGTTTACAGTGAAAATAAACGATAAAAATAATAATTTGTATTCATGCTCACGTCTTACTTCGAATATCAAAAGACCACAATGTTCTCCTGCACCTTTGAATAAAGCCGTTGGAAACTAAAAATTTGATGAAAATTTTGAACGTATAGTATGCAGACTATAGGTAGTATAGATGCAAAGATATTCTTTATCGAGCTTAGTGTTTGATTTACAGTACAAACAAAAGCAAGAAAAATCACATTTACATTTGATTAAAAGAAGAAAATACAAAATAATGAAAAGTTACTACACGTAAATTCATACGTAAGCTACAATAAATATAAATCACTGGAAACATACGTACTTTGTGTATAAAAGATCTTAGACTTGCAAATACATGTTTTTGCATCATTTCTGATTGTCCAACTTGAAGGAATGTTAGTAAAACACCAAACACCTGGGGAAAAATTACACACTTCCTTACATTTTGTAAAAACACACAAACATGAAAATTATTGAATACTCTACCTTGCTCATTAAAACATTATTCCCTTCGTGTTTCTCCAAGTGAAACTTTAAAAACGTAACAGAAAAAAACATTTGTCCAACAAGATCATACTTCGTTGAACATTATGCAAACAAATTATTACCCTAAAATGTGATGAAAATAATTCAACCACGTCAAGGACAATCAAACCCAGTTCGTTCACAAAATTTCCCTCCAGTAAAATTCTGATTTGAGAATTAACATAAGGTACTAGAAAGGAAAGCAAGAAAATTGTCAAAAGCGTAGAGATATGTACAGATAAAAGATGAGTGAGGGGTAGAGATATGTACAGATAAAAGATGAGTGAGGGGTAGAGATATGTACAGATAAAAGATGAGTGAGGGGTAGAGGTGATGTACAGATAAAGAGAGTAGAGATATGTACAGATAAAAGATGAGTGAGGGGTAGAGATATGTACAGATAAAAGATGAGTGAGGGGTAGAGGTGATGTACAGATAAAAGATGAGTGAGGGGTAGAGGTGATGTACAGATAAAAGATGAGTGAGGGGTAGAGGTGATGTACAGATGTGAAGATTCTCGGAAAAATTAAAGTTGTGGGATGTACAGATGTAACTATTCTGGGTGTAATAAAAGGTGGAGGGTACATGAAGATGTGAATATTCTGGGGCCAATAAAAGGTGGGGTTATACAAATGTGAAAGTGGGCAAGTAATAATATAACTGGATATAATGTGACTTAGCAAGCGTTAGGCAAATTGGGTTTGAGTTTAAAAAGTTCTCGTTAACTGAAAACTACGATATACAATCCTTAATTAGTATGGTAAGCTGTAATTGGTAAGAGATTACAAATTTCGATTAATCGAATCTTCAAGATCAGCAAAAAAGACAGACCTGCCTGAGATTGACTCTTTAATGATGCGCGCGTAGGTCGAATATTTTCGTGATATTTCTGTTCTAAATACGTTTTCACTGATTGTTTGGGTTGACTAAAAAAACACAATCTTATTAACATCTGACTACAAGAAAATAAAATTTCATGAACATTAGCTACCTTGAAGTCATGAAACTGGCTCTGCCTGCATATTCAAAATGTTTGAGACTCAATCTATTAAAAAAAAACACATGTTTTAGCATTAATTTGTAAAAATAACAAGAAAAAAATTTTATTATATAAATAAAGAAGCGCGAGGAAAAACTTGAATGTAGCAAGATGGAGGTTTATGTAGCTAGATTTACTCTTCAAAATTAAAGAGAAAACGGACATAGAGGTAATTTAAAGAACGTCGAAATTTGAATTTTGCGCAGGAATTTCATTTACCATTTTTTGTCCAAGCAATAAAAATAAAATGTGCCAAACCGCTCGTTCAAGAATAATTAAGTTGATGGTAGGTAGTTGTTTCTGCACTTACAGCAAAAGATCAAAAAAATCAATGACAAACGCAAATTTGCTGAGCATCTTTTCTTGCTGCGTTGAGACAAAGCTATTATGCATATTCCAAGATTTTATCTTGAAATTTGAAGTAGAAATTTGCCTGAGCCAGTCAAGGACAATTGCTGGTGAAATAAAAATATGAAACATATTATCAATATATATTAATGTTAATACTATATGCTAATATAAAAACATACGTGAAAACATATAAAGACATGAAGCAAAACTAATCATTGTTTATACCATAAAACATACCTTGCTCTAAATTTTTCAAAATATACATGACACATAAAATCAAATTTTTCGTCTCATCCTCATCAAAAGGAACTTGAACGTTTATTTTGTTTGCAGATTCGGTTAGCGAAGCTGCAGTCATCTTCCGTGATGGAGGATAAAGTCGGTACCAGTCTCCGTAATTTGATCACTACCAACTAACATTGTCTGTGATGAAGACCAAGTCCTATCGACATTATGACTGCCGGGAAATCTCCCAGCATGCTCTAGGATTATAGTCAAGAACGGTAGATAAAGTGTAGCGATACGTGATTGTCGTTCCTGCAAGAAATTACGCAAACATTGAAAATATTTGACAAACATCAAAATGCTGAATGAACACAATTGTTTACCTTTCCAGAATATCTATCATCCATCTCATGCTTTATCAAAATATCACGGACAGTACAAATCGCAATTTTACGAATATATTTTCCCACGGCAAGAGCTTGATTTACCTTAAAAACGGTAAAAAGTGATGTAAGAATGATAACGGTTTTTGAAGTTTATCTCAAATCTCTCGTAATTTCAAAAGCAATATTCACAAGAAGACTTTATAAAATAAACACAATGAAACGCGTGCGCTGATTGGTTTAGAGCTGTGTTTGCATTAGCCTGTGCAATACACATCTGAGCTCAACCAATCAAATTAATTAAAACAATCAATCAGTCAAAGAGAATTGGCAAATCAATCATGAATACATTTTAGAGGAAAAGTTAAAATGTTTGTCTTTTGGCATTATTGTTTTTATAAAAGAAATAAAAGATGCTTTTCGTGTTTGCACTGGCTTATACAAACCTCGGAGACGTTTGTGAGAACTCTCGAGCATGTGCAACTCTCAACCTTCGGTTCGCACTGATCTGCTCTCGAGTTCTCCCAAAGGTCTCCTTGCTTTGCATAAGCCCGTGCAAACACAGTAAACATCTTTCATTTCAAAAAAGAGAAATTTATTTTAACAGCGACATTTTATGTTGCGGCAATTTTGCATTTAGATAATTTTCGTGAGGGGGTGGGGGAGAATAAGGAAAAAAGGTCAAAAGGAGTTCTTTGTGGATATTTTTGATGGCGGAAAGCTGTCCGTTGGTAGGGACAAGTACAAAGGGAGAAGCGATGTCTATGAAAGAGACCATGGTGTCATTTATGGAGAGGGTTAAATATGAGGACATTACAAAACATTTGTTGAAGATTAAACATGAAAATCAGTGATTTACCTGACGTAGAAGCAGTCCACTTAAGAAGTGTTTCTTACAATAATTATCAGAAAGTTCGTAATCATACATTTCTCCAGAAGCACGACAGTTAAACGGCAAATTCAACGCTATGTAATGCTCATGCTGACAAATAATCCTTAGAAATTCAAATCTAAATTCCATCATCTACAAAGTAAAATATACTTTAGAATTAAATGGTTACATTACAATAATTATTGATAACATTATATCTAGGACATCAATGATTACATAACACTATCTCACATCGAAGAGCATAAACTATTATTGGTGTAGGAAAATGTCACCTGTGTATCGGCATCTTTAAATTGTTCGTTGTAATAACAAATCATTTGGAAAACAAAACCACGATCAAGATAAGTAAAACATCCCTAAATGTCCAAGAGGATATAAACAACAATGATAAACAATATCATCCATAATTGACTATGTAAAGAATTACTTAAATGCAATAAAATGAAATTGATGTTAAAAATTTGATCCTCTTGAAGAGCTGGTGGAACTATTTTCCCCTTCTTGAAAAGTATACAAGACATACAAACCTTAACAAAATAAGCCATGTGCATGTTGGCATCCTACACAAAAAAAAGTTTACAAATTTGACTCAATAAACACGATACAACAATAGTTTTAAGCTACTATAAATCATCGCATACTTTAGCAACAGAAGCCTCTTCTTTTAGGCGTCGTACGATTTGTGGAACAAACAGTTGTAGAAGGTGTTCAAGACTTTCATAAAACTCTTTGTTATATCTTTCTTCTCGATTACTCTGGGTGCAATGAAAACAAATATAAGTTTTGAAAAAAAACATGTCAGTTTATCTCGTGCTGTAAAGTTATAGGAAAAGATTCTGCATATAAATGTAGTTACATACATTTGTATTTTGAAATAATTTCAAAATTAAAAGTAAACACATATATTAAAATGAAGCAAATTTCCAACAAATCAAGAAATCGAAGATAAAGAATCGCATGGGAGTTATGGCTATTGTCAGTCATGACAAGGACGGTAGTCATAGTGATCATGGTAGTCATGACAATGACGGTAGTCATAGTGATCAGGGTAGTGACGGTAGTCATAGTGATCATGGTTGTCATAGTGATGGTGATAGTCATAGTGATCATGGTAGTCATGACAAATATAGTTATAAAAGTCACGATGATGACATGATGATTAACGTGACCTTCTGTAACAGACCTGCAGTTTTCCATAACGGATCAAGTGTCCTCCCATACTCTTTAGAATCACATGAAAAAACCACCAGGCATGCTAAAATTAAAATATATATAATACTTAAAATTTTCTAATTAAATCCATAACAAATTTATCACAATTTACAACATCATATATTTTTACAGTGAAACTTTATAACTTGAGAAGGTTAAAAGGGCTGCTGGCTTTGTGTTGCCTGTAAAAAGTGACAAATACCTTCAAAAAACTTGACGTTATCGAAGGATCAGCTCCAGGTTTCAAAAAGTCTAACAAACCCTTAGTCAATTCCTCATGAACAGTTTTGCTGTAATCCAAAAATTGATCAGTTTTGAATGAATACTAAAATAAAAGAAAAAAATAAAATCAAAACTAAATTTCAAATTTTCCTCTTTTCTACTCGAGATTTTTTCACATAATGAACTTTAACATCGAAAAATGTCTTCTAAACTTTACACTAATAAGATGTAATAACATTATACAAATGTTTATACTAAAATCGTGAATACAACAAATAAAGAGTTTATTAAGAGTTAAAATACTGTATTTCATCAATGGAAAACATCTGCATCTGACATGGTGATAAAACGTAGAAGGGAGTGCGAAGAATTTACAAATGTAATTACGTGTTTAATAATATCAAGTGTTCGTAAAATGCTACAAAATATATATATATATTTTGAAATATTGTAGTTAACCTTTCTATGTATACAAATTGTAAGCTTACGTACCTTAACAAACGAGCGAAGTACATCATTACGACGAACTTCATGAAGTTGAGAAACAAAACGAATCAATACTCTTAATAATAAAGAAAGTATAATTTACAAGGACAAAAAAATAAATTTATTAGTTTAAGTTAACACAGTTTTGGTAATTTCAATGCAGATTGAAAAAGTAAAACAAACAAGTAGAATTGATACCTCACAGTTTCCTTGACTACGTCACTTAATTTTGCCACAATTAATATACAAAATAGTTGATTGAGTATTGTGGGAAGATATTCAATTATTACACTGTTGTCAGCATCAAAAAGGAGCTGAAAATGGTAACTTTAAATTGACACTTGATCCATTACAGGTCCATTACATGGTAAATTAACTTTTACATAAATATATTCATCAAATCTGACTAAAGAGTGTACCAACTTATTGCAAATACATTTTGGACATCATTTTCATGAAACAGTTTCAAAAAGATTGAGACTATCACGATATTCAAATGAAAAAGCGAATTATTTACGTCTTTGCAAAGTAAAACGCAGATAACAAAATACGTACCTTCAGAAGAGTTGAAGTTTCCCTCTCACTAGCTGAAGATCCATCAGAGTTTTGTAAATGACGAAAAAGATTATCGATACGTACATCCTAAAGTAAAATAGTATAGCAACAATACAGACATTATCAAACGACATACGTACATTGCTACAACACATTTTGTTACAAATCACATTTCCCATAATTCTCGAAAGACATACATTGCTATGGTCCTCTAAAGACACACATTGCTATGGTCCTCTAAAGACACACATTGCTATGGTCCTCTAAAGACATACATTGCTATGGTCCTCTAAAGACACACATTGCTATGGTCCTCTAAAGACATACATCGTCATTGTTCTTAAAGTAATGTTATGCATTATGCACATGAAATGAAGGAACAATTTACCATATTGAACTATGGTAGCTACATATAGTTACAATTTACATTTCACCTTTGTATGGACAGTAGAAACGACTTTGGTAACTACTTTTAACAAAGGCTTCCCTCCGTCCAACCATTTTACATCTGGTCCAATACTCTACATCATCAAAGAAGAAGAATAAGTCATTTGCGTACACTCTTCCGTGAAAAATGTATCACAAAAAGTAGGACATGCTTGAGAATTGACAGAACATATTTTCCAAAGACAACAAACAAATTATACCTTGCCTAGTCCACCGAAACGCGACTGTAAATACCCATCTGGAGCTGATGTTGAAACAGATATATTGGATTCTGAATGTATGATCCTGTATGGAAATGTTAGATTACTATTTTAAAGTGAAATCTTTTATCAAGTTATAAAAACACGTACTCGCAAGCAAAAAAAAAAAACATTGTAAACTTGTTTAAAAAGTTTAATAATGTTTCATATAGAAATTTTTATTGAAAGTCGAGATTCTATAAACGATGTATTCACCTTTTCTCTTTCAACAATGGAAGCCAAGCATAACCAACTGAATAGAAAAATATTTTATACAAACGTTTAGAAAACAAGGAAATGTGCAAAAACAGTATAAAGATAGTTTTGAAGACAACAACTGCTATGGTGGATGGCCAAAATAACCCAAGGGTTCTAGAAAGAATTATTTTACAACCAAGGCTTTAACCCGATAGTTCTAGAAAGAACTGTTTTACAAACAAAACATCAAACCATTATAGTACCAAAACACCAAACCATTAATTTGCCATAGTAGATTAAGTTGTCATTCAGCAGACGTTGACCTGATGAGTAGTCTGCCGAAATGCATTGACTCTTATAGTTTTTAAAACAGTACTTTTTGGAACTAATGGGCTGGTGTTTTGTTTGTAAAAAAGTTCTTTTTATTTAGAAGTCTTAGGTTAATTTGGCCATCCACCATGGTAATTGCTATATTCAAACAATTTTTTGATTTTTCACCACGAAAAAGTCTCAATTTTACAAAAACAGTCCTCATACAAAATTAAATCACCAACAAGCTATGTTGAGTAATTCTAATTAGAAATTTAAATGATAACTCAACAGAATAATATTTGCTTGCAGGATAAAAATTGTGAAAATATGCTTGCGAAGGAACAGCGATAGTGTCTCTTTGTTAAAAATAAAACTCTTTATGCAATTAATCTTTAAACTGTCAAAAACGAGTATTAATGAAAGGGGCATAAGCACTTTCACCTTCCTTTACCTTCAGTTTCAACGTCAGGTTTTCCTTTGATTGACGTTGTATGACCAACATTACTAGTTTTCTTCTGCTCACAACTTATGTGATAAAATTTGAAAAACAAATGATGTTTTTCGTGAATGTGAACTGGAAGACAAATCTTTATCTAAAAAAATTATACATGTTAAAAAACACGGAGAAAAGCGTCGCTACACATTTTTAGGCCAACGTGAATCCAAAAAAGGAAACCACGAATCCAAAAAAAACACAGCCTTTTGACTCGTAATTTAAATCAACCATAAAATATTTCATGCATTTCTTTTATTTCTCAATTCTCATTCTTACTCAAAAACGAAGAGGACAGAAACAAAATACAAATTTTCAGATTAATGGGTGATAACCAATAAAATATAACCCTTCATAACCTCTTATTAGCCGACATTTCCCGTAAATAGAGACCTCGACGTGCTCCCAAGATTGTCAGTTATGAGAGATTCAACAGTATAATGAAAATGATGTTAAACCAAAGAGACAATTAAGAAAGTATCGTTAAACGGACAAATAAACGAGCACAATCCATCTACACTCTTAAAGACGTCAAGAGAAGACAATTATTTACGATATGTAGATATTAAATGAAGATATGATCTTCGCACTTTGCTGGACAATTTAAGCAATTGTCTATTTTTGTTCATATCTTCATTTAATTTCAAACACCGCACTGCATATAACATTCTTCATATGACATTCCTTTCACGAAGATAAGTAGATATCATGGTATAGTCACATACCTCATCATAAAACGTTGGATTCGTGTAATGATGAAGAACTGTTGTATTATCATGGTATAGTTACATACCTCATCATAAAACGTAGGATTCGTGCAATGATGAAGAACTGTTGTATTATCATGGTATAGTTACATACCTCGTCATAAAACGTAGGATTCGTGCAATGATGAAGAACTGTTGTATTCGTTGTTGTTGTAAACGAAGGAGCAACGTTACCACTTCGATTATAAATACACTAAATAAAACAATAGAAAAATCAAAAGAATATTTAGGTACACTCTCTATTTTATAACTGCTCTTATATGTATAGCAGGAAATTCAATTCATTGTGATCATGTTGTGGCCAGAAATAAGTGTCAACGACAAACTTATAATAAATTTCATCGAATCAATCACAGATAACAGAAATGTGTATTATAATCTCAATGTAATGACCTTTAATGGCGCAGAATTTAAACAGTCATCTTCCTTGAATTCCACAGTTATGGCAATATTTCGAGCCTAAAGGTAAAACATTCACTTTAATGTCATAATTCATGCTTTTCGTTTGCGTAATTTAACAATAATTAATTTGATCTTTTCAACTAAGCAACGCTGCCATTATTTTTTTCATAAAAAAAACAACAAGCTTATATGAAAGCATGTCATCCTTTACATTAACGATACATTAAAGAACTATCGATAAAACATCACGAGATTATAGTATTACCTTGGCATAATCTTTTTGATTGTTGAAATTTAATGACAAAGGATAAAGGTAAAAATTGTTTTTATACACAACATGCGGGTCAACAGCTTCAGGAAAAGGCGGAATAAATTCTTGAATTTCAATGGTGGGCTGAATCTTCATAGTAGCATCAAATGGACGTACAGGTAGCAATGATGACGTCATGATGTCTAGGGAAATACGTCACGTATAATGAAATTTCGTACCAAACAATGTAAGAGCTAATTAAAATATACAAACTCTCTATCCCAGACGGTAGCGACTTGACTTCAATCTCGATCTCTGCAGAGATAGTTTGTTGCTTATATCTTTCTTTTCTATAAAAAACTCAACCAAATAAAAAAGTGTTGACAATAAAAGATGTTTTTAATGCAACCAACCCTTAAACCTAAACATCGAAATCCGCCTGAAATTTGCTTGATTCAAGAAGAAATCCACACGGGTCAACGAACGTTCAGTCATAGCCAATAGCGTAGCCAATCTGCACATTTGGTCATGCTGTGTAAACTTCAGATTATTACCACAAATATTCATTTTTTTTGACATCTATATTTTTTCCAGTCAGTTAACACATAAATATTTACCTAGCACGAACAAACTTGCGGGTTGGCTACGCCACTGGTCAAAACAGGATATAAAAAGAAATTTTTAACATGATGCAACTAACCCAGTCATATCTTCCAATAACTTAAACAAATCTTCATCACTAAGCTTTCCACTGTCCTATAAAATTATTTGAGTGAACTCATTCATAACGAATAACAAACAAAATCTAGACAACTGTAGAGTTATTGGCAATTTAGAATGAGATTTAACAATCGATAATATTTGCTACACATTAAAAAAAATCTACAATAGAAATCCAAGAAGTCTGAGAGTAATCTTCAGCATACCTGCTTGTAAACTAGTGACCATTTATTACTGTTATCTAAATCACCCTCATCATTCTTAAATAGAGGTCTATAAAAACCCACAAAATGTTATCAAATTCTATTCGTAATTATAATAAATAAACCATAGACAAATGGGGGAACGACAGTTGGCCGTAGTTACGTAAGTAAACAATCACAACGCAGACAACAGAGATTAATGGAGAAAATAGAAGTCATGATAAATGTTATTCATCATGATAGAGGAATGCAAAGACATTTAATGAAACGAAACATACAAAAAAAAGTTAGCTTTTCTACCTTGTAGCAAGGGCAAACGGCATACGATACTTCCCCAATGTTTGACAAGCAATTTCAGCATTTTTATAAGCCTTCATAGCTCCTTTCTTTAAAGCTTCACCAGACTTCATGTATGGTTCACAGCAACTTGTTATTCCGCCTTGAAGAACTTTCTCAATTCTCAAAACAAGATAAACATCAGGATGCGGAAATGTCACGGAAAAAATTGCTTTCTTTGGGAAAGTGAAGTGACGTTCATTTTCAGAGTTTTCTTGTAAAGGTAACATTTTTGCAACACTTTCTTCATTGACGTCACAATGAAAATCTTCAGATATTTTTTTGTTTTCCTTCATATCAAAAAGAGCTAGTGTTATGAAAAATGGTTCAATATTCCCAGATAATGGATCCTCAGGTTTTTGACATAAACGAAATCTAAGGTCATTACAATGCACTAAAAATCTTTTACCAAATCTTTCTTGGGGTATTTTTGCTGACTTTGTTTCTTCATTTCTACTATCTGGCATTGAACTTAGTAAAAATATTTTATTTCTTCCTTCTCGTCGCTTTTCTGCATTCATTTGGTCTGTTTCACGAGCAAACTCCATAAGTTCGGGATGCTTGCTCTGTTTTAAACTTTCGCGAAAATTTGTACTTTTTAAAACACAATTTTTCCCACTAAACCAGCCACCGGATGAACTAGATTTTGATTTTCCACTCGTCATATCAACACCAGTTACTTTACACAAAACAACGAGCCAGGATTCCATTTCTGACTGCGAGTCAGCGACCAAACTGTAAATTTTGTCCTGAATACGTATTTCAAAGCCATGCGATTTACCACGTACACCCTGCAAAGAGCTTCACTTTGTTAAATTCCTATTTCATAACTTATTTTGGCCAAACCATACATGCTTCTTGAGAATAACATTAAAGTAAATGGTTTGAACTCGGGAGTATCGTTACATGTTTGTAAAAGTAGATCTTCCAGGTTGGTATAGTCCTGAGAAGGACTGTTCGTGTTGTTGTTGACTGACGTTTCGACAACGTTAACGGTAGTCATCTTCAGAAAAGGTTATTATTATACAATAAAAAATGAACAATACCCGCTTGATTTCTGTACAGGCATCCAAATATATAGATCCTTTTGCAGTTGAATTTTCATTATCATCCTGTGTTATAAAGGATGAATATTATAAGGAAACGGAATGAATTCTCGATATAAATATTACAACCCAACAAATAATTTTAAACATAGTCATAAACAATTTGGTTTTATGAAATTTATTAAAAGAGTGACGTTTCGTCTTTACTCAAGACATCTTCAGACTAATTAGGAAGTTATCTATATTCTTGTTGACTTCGTAATTAGTCTGAAGATGTCTTGAGTCAAGACGAAACGTCACTCTTTTAATAAATTTCATAAAACCAAATTGTTTGTGACTATGTTTAAAATTATTTGTTGGGTTTTAATATTTATATTGAGAATCCGTTTCCCGCCTGGCACCTCATTGGCAAATGATTTGTAAACAACGACCTATTTATCATATTACCTTTCGATACTCAAGTATGTAGGAACCATCATTGGAAATTTCTTTTAACACAAACCATCGTCGCTTAAAAGTCTAGAAAAAATTTTGCTTTGAAAGTTATATTTTCTCAAAGTCAATTAAGAAAGTAAGTTACTGAAAGTAAGTAACATGAGCCCAACAAAGTAAGTTACTGGTGATAACTAACCGTAACAAGCATACATTTGAAGAAATTATCACATGAGTTTGTAATATACAAGCAATAAAATTCAGAATTCTTACATAATTGCTGCAGAGTCTCTAGGTACATGTATGTATGTCTATATAGGTACATTTATGTATGTCTATATAGGTACATTTATGTATCTCTAGGTACAGATAGTGGTTTTAGTCAGATTAATATTAATAAAAAATCAAAGTGTTAAATTTTACTCCATAGTCTAAAACAATTAAGAAATGCAAACCGAGGAGACCTTTGGGAGAACTTGAGAGCAGATCAGTGCAAGCCCAAGACTTAAGGTTGAGGGTTGCACCTGCTTGAGAGTTCTCAGAAATGTCTCCAAGGTTTGCGTAAGCCACTGCAAACACGAAAAACATCTTTTATTTCTTTTACAAAATAACAATAATGCAAAAAAGACAAACACTCTAAAATGTAGTCATTGCACAGGCTAATGCAAACACAGCTCTAGACCAATCAGCACACACATTTAATTGTATTTATTTTACAATATGAAATCATGAACTTGCCATATTTATGGTAAAAATAATTCTAAAAATTATTTTAGTACAAAAACAACATATGTTGGAATATATAATGTACCAACTAAAGATAAAATTCAAATCAAAACAATTACCTTTCCTGTAATAAAATCATCACTTTCACTGTGAAATGGAGCTTTGTGCAAATAGCCACTTTTGGTCAAGCCAGTTTCTTTTTGAGGTGAAGCGTATAAGTCCTAAAATTTACAAATACCAAGTTTTAAAGAAACAAATTTTTCAAGGTAAAAATTGAACATTTTGACACCAACTTATTTTCACAAGAAATTCTTGTTGATGGTATTCAAACACCAATGTTACACCTTTAATGTTTAATTGCATAAACATTTGCACTTACCAAAACTTTGAATCCTTCTTCCAATTCAAGATCAATTTCAAACTTTTGTTCATTGAGTTGGGAAAGATCAAAATCTCTAGAAAGAAAAAATAAATAAAAAAAAAAGAAACAAATCATGAAAAACAATTTTTATTCACTTGAGCAAAGATTGGTAGCCTCCACTGTACTTGGAACAGTTATTTTCAATAATTTGCCATTCTGATGTATAAGTTTTGATGCACTACATTGTAGAAGACAACAAGTTTAATTTACAAATGATCATGTTTTCTAATGTTTGATGGATTTTTATCAATTTACCTGTTTTACAAATAACTCATGAGCTTCAGTATTAGCATTTGGTGGGACACTGCTATATTCTGTACGTGTTTCACGTGGAATATTTACAATCTACAGTAAGCAAGAATCAATCAAGTATAAAAACAGAAATAAATATCATTAACATGACAACATAAGAAAATTAAGCAAAATGCAATATTAAAGATAAAATATTTTACTCATTTCAATAATTTAGAACAAGCAATCTCTTGTTCCTCACATAATGTATATTGATAAATTATTCTTTTACTAGCACTAAATAGCACTAAATTGTCGTTATATTTTACATAAAACTTGAAAAAATATAAAGCTTTTGCTTTGAAAATAACCAACAATGTATTGTTTAAGCATCCGTAGACACTGAGATAAATATTACAACAAATCATCAAAAAAACAAGGCTTTGAACGACTTGAAATACATTCTTACTTTCACAGTGGGTTCTTCCATTAATTGGATTGTCAAAAACAAGTTATTTTCAATACAATTTCTTGAAACTTTTTCAATAAGAATGGATTAAAAATCTATGTCATCAAATATTTATAATATGAAAATAAGATATATGCATAATGTTGTGTAGACTTTCATTGTACAGTCATGTAGTCAAATACCATATTGACATTTTTAATTTTCAATATTTTAATCATAACACACCACGGACGTTTTCATGAATTGTGATTAACACACAATCAACAAACAGCTTAAAACAAATTAATGGATTATGTGCTCATACAATAAAGACGAAATATTTATAGCTCATATACATATATTTGTAAATGAAATAATGTGAAAAAGTTAGTTATAAGAGTATTATGTTTTGTGTCAACAAAATATTACACGCTGTTTTTCTCGTCGTTAAAATGACTTATAAGCAGCTAACTTTTAATTCATGCAGAAAAAGAACGTGCAACCTTGATATGGATAAAAACATTGTATTGTATAGATAAATTCTAGATCTTTCGTGCTTAAGAACTACCGCTGCGCATAAATAAACAAAACAGCAAATGATGTGCAAACGTATTAATGTCATTGTACTTACGAGATTATCTTCTGGTATTTCCAGTAGATTTCTCTGTTTATCGGCATTGATGAGCGCCTTCTTTGCTATAATTTCTTTTTCGTACTGCAGAGGCAAAACCCCTTCAATAAGTTCCTAGAAATAGACAAACAAATCATATCAAAAACACGAACTGTAAAATTAGGAAATTTCGTGATAGAGAACAAGCAAAGAAAGCATCGTATGTTTGGGTTAGTGTTTACTTAAACAATATTTCCCCGAAAATCTGCATTTGATCACCACCATTTTTTAATTAAGATATTGCAGACTCCTAATGAACAAAATTGTGACAATTTTAATACTTTCAGGAAGTGTTCTGCAAGTTGTATCTATTTATCTTCATGAAACGTTCTATACAAAGTACATTTACTGCACTAAATTAACCAAACATAAAATATATATATGTACAATACAAACATGCAGAAACACCATTTGATAGCTATTACATTACACAAATATAAAAACAAGAAAACCTTTAAAAAAAAACAATGTTACCGGCAGTGATTTAAACTGTATAACGTCAAAAACTTCCGTTGTAATAATCTGTCTTGAAACTGCAGTACTTTGAGATACATTCAAACTATCTCGATCTTTTTTTATATAACTGCGGCTATTTAATTTAACATCAGACATGATGGTAAAATATGGTACATTCAAATTATCACGCCAAAACTGAAAGTCGTCAAACTTGTGGCCGCCATTTTGTCCTTTGGAAAATAAGGTTATGACGTGTTGGTTATGACGTAAAGGACATAGAATAGGTGACGGTACGATACGTTGAAGTTATGTCGGGATACCTGCTTTTTTTATTCTAAAAAATGATTGGCAAAGTACACTTTTTGATTTAACTGCAACTGCAAGGTAATATCAACTTTTGTATTTTTCACAAAATTTATGTATTGAATTATTAGGTGACCATATTTTACTCTTGTTATGCAAATTCTTTGTGTCTACTCACTGCGAAAACAAATTATTATTGGTGAATGTTTATGTATAATGATATCGTTTTATTTTGTAATTCGAGACATTCGGAAAACGAAGAAGAAAGATTTTTCAAAAAAGATGATAAAAGCAATGAAAGATTTTTGCTTATTGCTGCCAAACACAAGCAAAAAAAGTGAAGACGAAAAATAGAGAGAAAAATAAAAGCTGCACCTCCATGTTTATTCCATTACGCAATATTCTGAAAATTGGATCTTGTTCGGTTAGTCTTTATGTATTTCACGATGAAAAGATTAGGACTTGGGTTATTGGCAAAAATTGTACTTGTTTATTTCGCTGTGCGCCTTCTTGTTTAGCCTGTTTTTAGAATAGTTATTTAGAATAGTGACAGTTTTTTCTAGACATAGCTCTATATCCAAACGACTGAAATAACTCAACTGAGATCACTCAAATGACTCGGACGCCTAAAAAATTGGACTTTTGCTTCTTAATGTGCTGATTTTAAAACTGAATTTTAAATTCTTTACCAACATCGAAGACAACCTCTACGACTGGTTGATAAAATCGTAATTCCGAATCAACTGCAATAATGTCTTTAAGGTTATTTTATGAAAGAGAATTTAATTCAGTCCTCGAAACGCTTATGCCCAGCAATACAATGAAAACTAGGCAGAATGTCTGAAAAAAGTCACGTCTCAATATCCATTGATAATGCTCTAGTCACTATTGTACAGCTATTATGAAAATAGTGATGTTGAGGAGTTACTTAATCCCTTTACCATACAAGCACCTAACCTTCATGCATTGCTGCTGATTTAAACTCTTTGTTTTCAAAAAAAATGATCAAATCATTTAGAGAAGAGGCTAAAAAGATGCGTTATGTTTTACCACTGATAAGTTGTGTTTATCAGCTAGTTTAAACTGTTCCATTGATCATTGCACAAAATAAACGAAAATTCAGTAAAAATCAGTTATCTTACCACTGTTAAACAACCTTGCGCAATTCAACAAGCGATTCTAGGATGTTTAATCTAATGCTTATTAAAATTGAAAACGATATCTCACTGATGGATTTGAATTTGAATTTGAAATAGGCTAAATAATGTAGTCGACGTATGTAGCTTAATGACATTTTATGAACGATTAATAACGTGTTTTAATTAAAGCAATGCATACATTTACACATTCAAAATAAATGAATATTGATCCCTATTATGAAAAACAAGATTAAAAAATTACTATAATGAGCAGCTTTCTTTGAGTTAATGTCGGTAGAATGTTTGGATTTTTAATTTATCATTCAGAAAATTTTGGTTGGCACCCCTCCCCCATCCACCTGTCGGAGTCTCGGTACGTCCCTATTTTTCGATCAACCAATCAAGCCACTTCTTTCTATTTTCTTACATATATATGCAATTGTGCATTAAGTAAATTTTAAGATAGAAAAACATATATAGATCAAGCTAAAAGATCTTCATAACATCGCGATTCGTGAAAAGCATGAAATCCAATTTTTTTTATCTAAAAGTCAACTGTAAAATCCAGGGAGTATTTTGTCGTGAAAAAACTTATTAAATGCTACAAGTCTTGCTTGGTGGAATGTCTTCGATTGTACTAGCTTTTACGTATAATATTGAACACCTTTCTCGACGATACGATAGCTTTTTTTTCATATTTGTTTCTTTTTGAAATAGCATAAGACCTGAAGATTTTTTAAACGTATGCCTCAGCCATATGTGAACGTATTCTATCTTCCGGTTTCTGTTGTACTTTGGAATTGTACACATCACTAATGCAGCAAAATGCCCTTTATTTCTTTTCTTGAATTATTGAATAGTAATCCGAAGGTGTAACTTTTTATTTTACTTCTTTGGCTATCTCATCAATAATGGAAACTTTTTCAAAGATGTAAATCATCATTAAGAGCAATAAACATTAAACAATAAAAATATATATGAAGCAAGTGTAATTATATATTCGGGTTGTAATTACCGACTGTCGTGTTTTCATGTATGAGCTTGTGAGGCACAAGCTTAAAAATATGTTTTGTTTGGGGGAGTACAAAAATTTCTGAGAGGTGAAATACAAAATTGCATTGAATGTGGATATAGTGTAAGTGTTTTAAGGCCGTTCTATTCAATATTTAAAGAAGAGGGGGGGTGGGAGACACTATTAGGTTGCAAGTTAAATATTTAGATGGTTACGTGCCTCCCTCAGGTTTAATTTTGCCCTTAGCAACACCGCTATCGTACCCTCCTCCAGGCTACTCTTGCCTTTAGCAAAACCACTATCGTACCCTTCTCCAGGCTACTCTAGCCCTTAGCAACACCACTATCGTACCCTCCTCCAGGCTACTCTTGTCCTTAGCAACACCACTATCGTACCCTACCCCAGACTACTCTTGCCCTTAGCAACACCACTATCGTACCCTCCCCAGGCTACTCTTGCCCTTAGCAACACCACTATCGTACCCTCCCCCAGGCTACTCTTGCCCTTAGCAACACCATCGTTCAACACATGCACTTATGAAGTACTTAAAGAAAACTAAACATGGGAATGAATACGCTTTTTCCATTGTACTAACTCTCTGCATATTCTTTCAAATATTTTTCCATTCGGTATTACACTTTTGCTTTTGCATGTAGTTGAAATTTTTATTCTGATTTTTGCTCGAATCGGAACTATAACGTCAATTTGATAAAATAACAAACAACATGAAAGACCTTTTTATAATCGTTTCCAGCTGAAGCTTTATGAAAATTTTACCGTGTTATGTTAAAGTGTCCAATTTTCTCTTTCGATTCATAAACAAAATAAAAATATTTGTCCTCAAAATTTTACAAAAAAAATATTAAATGGACGATTATCAATCGACTCTAAACTAAAAATACCGTAAATTTCACTAATACCTTCGTATTTACAAGATCGGTGTTCTTAACTTCTTGAAAAGATACTTAGTTGTGTATAAAGTACACAAGTGGAATTACATCATTTTTACTTTTCATTTGTTCACAGAAAAACTTGTTAGGTAAAATAAAACTTTATATTTCACAGTGTCTTTGCAAATTGCAATTTTTTTTATTACGAACAAGATTTTTTCAAGTCACATTAACGATTCCTTTTCGGAAGAAAAACCGCAATTTCTTTAAACAAAGTAGTAATATTAAATTTTTGGCCCAACAGTATCCAATAAATATATGAATTAAACAAAAATTCCCATCTCCAAAATCTTTATAGCTAGCTAACACGTTTTGCTAAGTTGTCTTTCGGTTTCAACTATAGTTCAGCTTATCGTTGCAAACCAGGTGGTTTACAATAAACAAACTTGTCAAGCATTGTTTCCTAAAGAAAAGGCAAGCGTTTACAAGCAATAAAAGTGGTTTCTTTATTAAAAGACTACGTGCATCTTTTAACAAAAGCCGCACAGAGGGAGTTTGATTAGCGCTCGTCATCGGCGGTAAAGAACAAAACAAAATAATATTAAAAAGATGAAAACATCATTGTTAACAAAGGATGCGAACGACTTAAATAACAAATTCCAGTAAAAATAAAAGCATGGGTTGTTTCTCAATGTATTTCGCTGCAAAGACAGTGATGGTTTATAAAGCAAATACGCCGAACATACTTTAAAAGTATGCATAAACTCGCATTAAAAATGGTCTTCCGGCTTTAAATTGCGTTGATATGTTTTCTCAAATTTATACGATACGCATTTTCTTATGCATTCTTATCTTTTTTATCGCGCAAGATGTGAACATCACGAATCGCCCGTTGGAGTGAAGTACATTTTTTAGATATAAATATTTAAAACAAACTGTTTCATCCGATAATTTGGATCAAAGAAGCGAAAGATTACTCAAGGTGCTGTGTACTAATTACTTTGGAGAAAAAACATAATATGATGTATTTTGAATAATTTTCTTCTTTCCGTTTGCAATAAACTTCAAAGCATTTCGCTGAAGGATTAAATTTTAATCAATACTGTGCAATTCATAGCAAAATTTCTCAAAACAACGATTAGTTTCAAAATGCTTAAACCATATATTGTATGGCAATTATGTGAACTTAACATAAAATATTTATAGAAGATAAAGGCGGCTGCAAACGGCGCGCACTTTTGTCAAGATATGAAAGATGAGATGCATCTTTTGATCAGGATAGAAGTGCATCTCACGTGTATCCTTTGCTGTACGTATTCAGTAATATTGCAGATTGTGTGGCTGAATTTGGTTTGGGAAATTTATTAGCCAAACAATGGCTGCGTGGCAGATTTAGAAATACATTCTCTTTATAACATAGCGTGAACATACAACGATATTATATATTCTTCAACTAAAAAACGACGACTTAAAACAATAATCGTTATTGCGGAAGCAAAATTCTCAAGTTGCTCACTTTAGAATTATCTAAACATTCAATATTCATTGACGCGATGCTGTAGAAACCACCCACTATTTCAAGGAGTTTTTTAATTGCCATTCAGTCGTATTTACTTTTGCCTATTCTTTCCATCAATTTTAGCTATTGTGTTTAGATATGATATAGTTCTAGTTCTTTGTCATGGAAATATTGGACTGCAAACAAATGCATATTATTGAGGTTTTGACAAGTCTTCTTCTTCATTCATAATGCTCAGCTCATGTATATTTTATAAAATCTTATCTTGTGTTAGGCTTTTGATATTTTGTCTTCTCTAATACTATAATTATCTTATTGAAATATTTTTAAAAATTGCAGCAATCATTGTAGATTGATGTTATCCACATTAGAACTTATGCAAAATGATTTATACGGTGTTATTTGGAAATGATTACTTACGCAGCCAAAATTTCCCCTTGATTGAAAATAACTGCAAGACAACGATTATAATATTTTGAATTGTACACATTGTTTCAATTGAAGATGGGACAATACACTGACTTAATTGATAAGGAAAAGGATACAAGTCAGTAAATATTTTCTAAAACTATAAACATGAAAATGACTATATTACAAATTGAATCAGTGAGAATGAAATATATCTTCAGTACTGTCGTCTCAATTTCAATTTTAGAATAATACATAAGCAACAGGTCTGCTCTTCATGTCAGTGTTTGGCCAAGGACAGTTGCACGGTACAGCATACGCTCCAGTTGCAGTGTCGCAATGATGAATATGAGTTTGAGAAGGAGAGTTTGTGAAACCAGTTGAAGAAGGAATCATGGCTGTATGATTTGGTATCGATTGGGATGTCATAGAAGGATAATGGGGGGGATAGTATGGCGACACAGACGCAAGTTCAGGTCTTGATGTATTTCCTTTATAAGCGTGAATATATGAGGTCGTTTCAAGTCTGTTTCTTGGTGACGTAGCTGAAATTGATCTCGTCTTCATGGCTTGTGCATAATCCGCATTCATAAATGATCTTGTAGAAGGAAAATTCGGATATTTTGTCAATGATTCCACCATGGGTTGAAATGGTAAAGGAAATGCGTAGCGGTCTTTCTTCAACAATGATTTTGGTTTACGTCTTGGTCTGTATTTGTAATCAGGATGTTCTTTCATATGTTCTGCTCGAAGACGTCTCGCTTCTTCGACATGTGGTTTCTTATCTTCTTCAGTTAGCTCTTTCCATAATTCACCAAGCTGTTTTGATATTTCGGAGTTATGCATCTTTGGGTTTTCTTCTGCCATTTTCTTTCTCTCTGCACGAGACCAAACCATAAAAGCATTCATTGGACGCTTTATGTGGTTGTCAGACTTTGACGACATTTTTATGACTTTAATGTTGACTAAAATGTGCAAGAAAATCCGACCATAAACAGAGTCAAGATAAGAAACGACAAACTTCAGAAGCAAAAATTTTACATGGAAATTATGGAGTCTGATTTTTTAATAACCGGTAAAATTTAGCTATTTTTACTATTTTATAGCGAATTTTTCGTGTGTCGTACCAGCAACGACAGGATTAAATTTGAGAGTTTTAAATTCATTTTTACTGTTTCCGAAGTTAATGGATCGAAAATATAAATCATTAAATTAAAATTTTGCAACACACTAAAGTTTAAAAATTTCTTAAACAAAAACCTATTTGATTGGATGAATATTTTTTAACAGAGAAATGTTCATTTAGTATTTAAAAGCCTTCGTACCTGCCTACATATATTCATCAGAAATTGATCATGTGCTTGTAACAGAAATACTAACGATTTCTTTTATGTTTTGCTTGCCAAAGACTTCGTTATTAACCCCATCATGAATTCATGATCAACTTTTAAACTATATCGATTCTCAAATAGCTTTCACAAACATCCACATACACTTTATAAAGAAATACTTTTTACAAGTTTAGCACGTTGTTTATATTCTAGTGATCATAAACGGGGATAAGGACTGCCTATGCAAGCTAGAACAAACAAGAAATATGAAAATTACAAAAGTTCTAACAGTTACAACAAAACGATATTTTCTTATAAATTCAGCAAAAGCAGAGCTTGCAGACATTTTAACGAAACAAATGAATTGTTGAAAGGGACAGATTATGTCCTGGCGATTATGTTATTAAACATACTGTGATCTTTTTCAATCACAATTACAAAAAGACATAATACGAAAATATTAAAAGGAAATCTACCTTCCTCTTCTTTCCAGTTTCTTCTTGACAAGTAGATTTTGAATGAACGCTGAAGTTTTTAAACTAATAGGATAGTCAAATGTATTGCTTTCCTTTTCTTGCAAGTGTTTCTCTAAGATGCTTGAGTGCAATGACTCGTTCTTTGTGATCTGCGCCGCTTTACTGTATTAAATTGAATGCTTGTCGGTAAGTTCGGCACAGATCAAAGCCAAAACCTAAAAACGTGATCAAATCAAATTCATGCATCATACAATAAAAAATATTTTAATTTACCAGAAGTACGACGACAGTCTACCATTCTATGTCAAAAGCTAATTTTTAAATGACATCATTTTTAAACTGACAAAAGTGAAAAAAAACAAAAGTTTAATTGGAGAACGGCTTTCTCTTATCTTTCAATGATTTTACGACAATAATTCACACAAGTCATTGACATGTTACAATGCTGGCTTGTCCAAAGACTTGAACACCTCAATTTCAATATTGTGCGTTGTTTGATCATTGGGCGAAAATTTAAATGAACTAATATGTTGGGCAAATATAAGTAAAGGGTTTTACCCCAAACAACATTATTACTTTTTGTTCAGCGTCTAGCTTTTTGTCATTTTATATTGTACATTAACAACTATTGTAACTAAAAATACCACATGAGACATTTATAATAGGATGAAGCTATTGTAATGTAACTGAACTTTAACAAAGCACATTTGAATTGTCTATTTGAAGTGCGTCTTAAACGAACCAACTATTTTGCATCTGCTAGCTTTTTATTAATGAAGTCTGTTATATTTAGGAGTTAGCTGGCTATTTGAAAAATTTTTGCCCAAATTGTATAGCATATTAAATATTATTTAACAATATTCACATAAATAGTGTTTTTTACACACGACTTTATTACATATGACGATTCACATCTTTTTCAACGAATGTAACAGTTGTTGAAATTACACGAACCATATAAGCGTTAACATAACAATGCATCCATAAATCGCTCTAATATTCACTTCAAAAATTTTGTTAACTTCATTTATTTTTCTTTACTTTACCGCTTATATTAAATTTCAATGCACCTGTGTTGAGTAACATTTATAAACTTGCTTGTATGCAGTGTCTTGAATTTGCTTTGAATAAAGGCATTGTTATCAAAAAAAACAGCCATAAAGCACAAGCTGTTCTCCTACAAAAGATTATACCTTTGTTTCACTCTACCCCCGGATAGAAAAATAAATGGCAACAATGCTTGAAACAATCATCATTTTACGCTTCTTAAAGTCAGCTTTTTGTATTTAAATTTTTGGTCTTCAACTTATTTCTGCTACTTCTTTCCCGTGTGAAGCAAGCGCTTCAAAAGGGTTACAATTGAATTGAGTACAATTGCGATATTATTGGAACGTTTTTGGTTGTCATGGCGTAAAAATACACAGTGTAAGTGTCACAGACATGAGCAGTTCCACAATTTACGCCCAACTGTTATATCTCAATCTGTTAACGTGTCAAGCTTGCTTGAGCCAGAAAGTATTGGAAGTATAATGTACAATGTTCTTATACATCTCATGTGTTATTGATTTTATAGAATAAAACTTGGAGAACTTTAATATCTAAGATCTTTTGATTTTCTTTACACTATATAAGAAATATTTATTTTTGCTGTTCTTGCATGTTATTCTCCAAAAGTTCAGCCAAACAATTAAATAAAGTTCATAGCTACAAAGTTGTGTATGATACAACATAAGCGAATGATAGGTATCAAAACTAGAGTTTTTACAACCACATCGTTTAAGCGGTCAAAGAATGTTCGTATTTTGAATAGATTTTGAGATAAGGTTGCACCTACGCATTTTAGATTTAATTGTTTTATGATTATATAGGTAAAGAATGAAACGAAGTTGACAAAAATATCCATGAAGTAAAAGTATAACACTGATGTACTTTATTTTCTTGATGAAATTTCTTGATAACTTTACTTTATTCAAATATATGCAAAGTGCTTCTTTCGCGGTTCCGCCAAACAAATTAGCTTTTCTTTCAAAACTAAGTATATTACATTAAAAATTTATGGCGAGAATTGAAGTGGGAACTATTTGAATTACTTATAATAATGATAAATACAATACTACAGACTTAACATCTAAAATACCACATGTTCACCTGACGAAAAAACTAATTTACATCCATTCTTTGCGTCAACAAAAATACATCGAATCTGAAACACTAGAAAAATTAATTGGAGAATTCTTCCTGGATAAAATGACACGAAATGAAGCCGACGATATACGAAATGATTAGCGTAATGAAGTCAGTTTTTATAGTGTTTTCAAAACAGAGATTTTAATTGTTGCAGTTGCAAACAGGGACACCTGCACAAGTCAAGATTTTTGATTCAAATATTGAAACATGTGAACAATGGGAAAAAATACTCGGAGAATTGATCATATTTCATTATAAAGCTAATATATACGATCAAATTTCTTGCCAAATATGTATTCTTTCATATTGTATCGTTTGAGCTAAAGTTATCACTTCATGCAATCAATAAATCACCCACGAATAGTTCCTTTAGCGTTATCGATAAATTTTATAAAGGCATATTCAAAATAAAGTATTTTCAACTGTGTGCACAAAGACAAATTTATATAAAATAAAATTTTTTATAAAAAGCAATCACACCCCGGTAAAATCATTCATTTATGATAATTCATAATCCTTTCTTACACAAAATGCGCATGTACATCGACTGAAATCAAATGCCATGGTATGTCTCAAGAACCGACATCATCTTTGAAAAGCAATTTTACAGCTAGCTAGCCACACACATATACACACACACACACACACATAAATGTTATGAAAATATTATATTTATGTTGCCAGTTACAATTTAGTTGTCGAAACGTTAAATTAACCGCAAAAACAAGAAAGAAACAAAGAGAAATTTTGGTTTCGAGGCAATCCGTTAAGTTTTAGTAGACAATAGTCGTATTCTTTTTAGAGATATTAAATGCAGGTGACTAACAGTAAAGCAAGCGTTTATATTAAAGTTGCTATTGCACGAAGGCATCACAAAATGCTATTATGAGAAACGTCAGGTGGCTGTACTAGAGACAAGCGATTCAATCAGTTTTATATATGCATAGATTTCCAACTCAAACTTCATATATCCTCTTTACATTTAAAACCAACAAATAATATAGCTCGTCTCTTGATTAATTACCAAAATATTGATGCAAACTGAAAAACATCCTTTACACCATCACTACACTCGACACAATAGTTTATACTTTTATTTATATATTCACAATTCCCTGGCATAACAAAGGAAAATGAGAACGTGTGTTCGACAGATTTTTCCACCTTTCTAGAAGCTTGTTTCACTCTCTCTGGATCTGGGAAAGAGTCAGCCTGTCAGGTACATATATAACACTAATTTGTACTTCCAAACAACCCCCAAAAATAAATAAAGTTTTTCATTATAAATGCCAACGCCAATGCAGGATTTTTCATTAAAAACTTTTTATTTCTATAATCCATACTTTGGAGGTCATTTATAAGTTCTATATCTCTACATAATTGAGATTCACAAACACTTTCTTTGTGCTTGAGAAAATATAGCTTTGTAGCATGTTCCTAGTTATCCTTCTTTTGGTAATAAATTTCAATTTATGCACAACCTCTATCATATATTATCAATCACACCCAATTTCTTCATTTCGCTTTCGTATCAATAAATGTATAGCTGAGTACAACATAAAGCTTTTTAACGTAAAGAATACAAAACGCTGTTTGTCAAACTTTATTTATGTAGTTTTATGACAACTAACAATCTTAGCGAGAATGAAAATACCCATGCAATTCTTAATCATGACTGCTCAGTAACAGAAACGTTTGAAATTAAAACAAAAAAATTCGGAACGTCACCGGTTCTAAAATACTTACAGTTGATACACAAACCTATAAATTGCAGAAGCTCCTGTATTCTTCTAGCGCTGGGAAATCTTCTAAGTGAGAGATGAAATATATATACAACATAGACCCTACACTATATCAATACATTTAACACTTAAAGGTAGAATTAATCAAAATGAAACTGGGTCTAGATTAGAGAAGTGTTTCGGTCAATTTCGGGTAATTTGCTCGATATATTTAGACTGATTTCAATGAAATAAGTTGGTCAGCTATTGATTTTTTGTCGTGAACAGAATTATCGTTGAATTAAGACTGTGACGGTTTACTATGGAGCTTTTTCATTGATAAAATTATTTATGCTTTATAACATTTTCTTCGGTTGTTTATTTTAAATTATCCTTATGACATCGAAGTTTAATTAATTCATGCTTCATTTAGCTTTGTGTTCCAAGCTTAGTGGAGGCTTGTTAAAATACATTTGATAGCCATCTTTTAATTAATCTCAACTCACATGCAATGTCAATACAGTTCAATTTTTCCAAGTTTAACAGGAACATATGAGTATTCGATACCCGATTGACAAAGTTTTTACCAATAACTTTTGATTTAGATATTTTTGATCAAACGAGAGCCGATAGATTTTTTAATTGTAAAATAAAATTGTTGTTTCATGTCATAAATTACAAAGTTTTGAATCAATACGACTTATTTGAGCTGTAATGAAAAAATATAAACATGTCTTAACGTATAATTGAACAATGGTCATTAATACATCATTGGATTATTTGTTTCATTTGAAATAACTTGTGGGATTTAATGGGTTTACGTTGTACACAAAGGGTTTTCATGAGTTTACCTTGTACACATAGGAGAAAATCTCACTGGTTATTAAAAAAACAAAACATTATTTTAGCAAAAATTTATAATTACACATCGACATAGATAAGAGATAATTAAAACAATTTCTTTGATTTGTGATAAACTATTTCTGAAAAAGAACTTTTATGTGTCCTGAAATATAACGCAGACATTTATTAAATTCTTAACACCCTACATAAAATGCAACAAAATAAAGTAACCTAACGCTCAAAACTAATAAGTTCTGCAAATCTTTTAACAAGAGATTTCTTCAATTTGTTTACATATCATTTCATAACATACGAATTTAACTACATTTTTATTGAATTCTACTTTAAAGAGATTTCTCATTGACATTCATATAACACAAACGTTGTGAATTCTTTCAGTTGTCTTTTCAACTGCAAGTCACATGCACATACTTCGTAAAAATAACTTAATTACTAATGCTTCCAGTATAACAATAAAATAACATGATGATTCTTGAGACAATTTTCGTTTCTGACTAAGGCACTTAACGAGAAACAATATATCATGTATACAGTGGTTTCCAACAAAGTTGTCCATACGTAAAGAAGTTCTGTTTTTAATGATCATCCCTACACAGAAGTTCTCTGTACAATTATATCCTATACAGTGGTTCCTCGCATAAGTTCTCTATATAAATGTTCTCTATAGAAACAGTCATCTTTACAACAAACAACAAAAAAATCTGAAAGATTCCAGAAATTCTGAAACGCTGAACGACAGTTATTGGCACATGTCATACATCAAACAACAAAACATTGCAAACTATATGTTCAAATTTCTGCTTTCATCCTGATTTCATTTTAATGAATGGTAAAATACTTAAAAAGAAAATGTTCGTTATGATTGGCCATTTATGTTCAAAGATCACGTGATTCTCAAACATAAATGTGGAGATGTTGAGAGCCCAGGTAGCCGCGCTACAAGCCAAAAGCTTCAAAAGGCAATTGCAAACTGTAAACAAAAGAGCTTATGTGCATTTCAAAAAAGTATGAAATGGAAATCTTTCCAACGACATATTGCAATATTTAAAAAGTAGAATTTCTGAACAACTGGGTTGGAATGAATATGAAAGTAAATAGCTATTTTGCACAACGACTTTCGACCGCTAAAGTATGACAAAATTGAGATAAACCTAGTAGCAATTACTATGAAATTTCTTTCGAAATGATCCAGAACAATATAATTACCACATTAACCACTGAATTACAATATTTATGCTCGTCCACAAAAGCAACAAAATCAGTAAAAACACAATTTCTTTCTTTCTTACATTTGCCATCGTTAAAAAAAATTAACGAGCTAAAAACTTAAATTAACAGTTTATAATCATGAATCGGCGTCGTTTTTCAAAAAAAAGTAATATTTGACCTGTTCATTTATTTATTCCTCTGTAGTTATTACAACTAACGAATTTTAAATTCTAGACTTTCCATTAGTCGTTTTTGTTCTTCCAATAAACTATTTATCCTCACCTTTCTGTTGCCTAAACTAACCAACAGTTTATCTGCATCAATATGTTCCCCAGACTTTTCAAGATCCGTAACAAATTTATCGTAATCATCATTAACTTCATTTTCAAAATCGAAGTCATCAATTTCCAAAGATAATTCTTGACACGTCAATGCTCCATAGTGATGAATGTGTTTTAAGTCATTTGAACGTTCCGCACAACTTCCACTTGAAAAGTCGTACTTATTTGAAATATTTTTATCGTTGGTCTCTCGATTTACATCATTTTGAATCAATTCTTTTGTAACTCTCATATTTTCATTCACTGACTTATTTCCATTCACACGTTTCAATTTTTCCAATTCGTTTTTTCCCCAATCCCAATTATTCATTTTGCAAGTTAATTTTTCTTTCTCGCTTTCAATCATTGAAGTGTCTGTATTCTCTCTCGATAAATCTTGAGGATTTGCACTGTAAAAAAGCCCATTTTCATCAGGTTTAAGACCACTCACCTTCAAGTCAGGCGAATATTCTTGAAGGGATCCGGGTTTCCTCAAGAAAGGCGAACTCCGTTTTGGATACTGTAAAGAGCTCAGCTGCTTTTCCTCTTTGCCTAAATTACAAATTAAAGCAAAAATTCAATTGCACGTTATAATCTATAATAAACCAACACACGACAAAAGCTGCTCATATGTGACATGCTATAAAATATACGAAGAAAATGTAAGTAACAAAGTACACACGACTTACAGTGTATTAATGCAATGTGTAACACGATATAACACAGTATAACATGGTATAACACATCATTACTCAGAATATCATGGCGTAACATAATTTAACATGAATAAAAGAATATCACCCTCCAAAATTTAAATTTGGTGATTTGGTCATCCACAATTTTAAATTCTACTTCACTAAGTGCAATAGCGCAATGTGTATAGAAATAGAGATATTTTTTCTCCACCAATAATGCAGGCAATATAAAAATAAAATTTTCACATTCTTTACAAATGAACAATGATAGAATAAACTATAAACTTAACCACAGCGTTGGAAACTCCAGGACCGCACAGAAAATATTATACTAAGTATCTGAATACTAACCGCGATGGGCGAACATTTTTGCAGGAAATTGTGAAATATTGACCTGCAAACCGGTTTCTATAGAGAAAATAGTAAAAACTGTATTGCCAGCATCGCACAACTGCTGTATTTGAGTGTGAATAAATTGTCTTCAAAATGTTTGATTTATGTGATGGTAATGTTGCGATAGAAACATCTAATGAGAAAGCTATAGAATCCAGTTTTCTGTGTTGCATTTGTTTTCTTGTCGACAAAGTCATCATTTTTGGACCTCACACGGACCACGATGTCAAACAAACCATTTTTGTCAAACATACCAAATTATTTTGGTCATTTGGAATTTTTTTTGTCTGTTAGATCTATTTTTTCCTCTGACTAATTAAAGATAAATGGTTGTTTTACGTGATAAGATTTGTAAATTGATACGATAGTCATAAAACATTCCGACGCGTTATGGCTGTATAAAAGCATAAAAATATAATGTTTTTTAATGATTAGTCACTTACCTTTATATCGAAGACACTTCTCCAATGTTGTTTTTGATCCCTGAAAAAAAGAGTGTCTTTAATAATCAGTGCCATTTTGGCGTTTTTAGTCGTGTTAAACAACAAGGTTGCAGATGCCACTAACACACACAGACCATATAAACAAGTCAAATATACATAAGACGTAGAAGCAAACAATCGTTTCAACAAAATTTCATATCAATGGTCAAACCTAGCTGGAAATTAAAGTGCTTATGCCATGTGACTCAATTCAATATTTTCTTTCAAAGGAGTTCGTCTCCGGAATGCTTTTATGGCATAAAAGACTCTTCTTCTCGTTTTTAAAAATTTCAGACGCATATTTGGAGCGTTTTTCACAAATATCAGAAACTTTCATTGTATTTTTAACTATGCATGATTTCAAAAACGCCAAAATCATGAAGAAATTGATGGCTTGAAGACGATTTTTCAAAACTAAGATATTAGTGACCTTAAGATTTAACGACGCGCTCATATACAACGCGAGCGGAAATGAATTTTAAACCAATGCGCATGTGCGTGCGTCGTTGAGTTTTGTCTTGCTTCTACAACGCGGCGTCTTTGCTTAATCCCACGTCGTCCTAGATCGAAGGTGGAATTTTTCACAAAAAAAGTTTTAAAGTAAGTTTTTCAGCTTTTAATTCACCTGTTACAATTGTCTGTGGAGTCTGGTATGTGATTGATGTGTTGATATTTATCTGTGAGTAAAATATGTTTACATTTTTGCTTTTAGCAAGGCAAGAAAATGGCAGAACAGTTTTCATCAGCATCAAGTGATTGCTCATCAAGCACACCACTAAATTCATCGTGATTTAAATTAATTGTTTAGCTAAATTAACATCCAGTGGCTTTGAAATTTGTCTTACTTTGTAATAACGGTACTGATATATCAATTTTGGCCACTATATATTTCTAAATTGTTCTTTGAACGCGAAATATCATACAAAAGCGCAAATTCTTCTTCGTTTATCAAAGCGGCGTCATACGCAACAGCTATAGCATTTTTTGTTTTTTTGAAGGAGGCCATTTTTTTGAAAGTATAGGTAGTGAACTCACAAGTTCGCGTCGTTAAGGAAATCCAATCTTAATGACTTAACTTACAATGACACGCGGACGCATGCGCACCAGGCCATGCGCGCCAAACTCGCGTCGTTGTAACGCGCGTCGTGAAATCTTAAGGTCCCTATTACTTGGTGGTAGACGGTGCTCATGCGCAAAAACTGCTCATAGAGACCAAAATTGTAATGAAATTATCTTGCTATTTCACTCGTGAAAATAATGATAACGCAAAATGCGAGTCAACAACTTGCTATTTGATAGTATTATCGCGCACACCAGCGATGAAAAATATTCAATAAACAATTAAATGTCAATACACTATCATGGCACATGTCATTTGAGATTGAATAAAGCATTTTCACATGACATGAATTGCACACATACTTTGTAATAAAATGTCGTCGGATGAAACTGATGAAAAAAAAAAAAATACAAGTCACGATATTCCGTTAAATTGTTCGAAAAATGAATAATAAAACGTCCAATCTTATCATAAATGTGACGTTCAATCTTGAATAATCTACACTTAAAGATTTTACCAAATTGAAAAACTTGTTTTTCGTTGATAAGACCCTACACAAACTTAATCTTAATTGGTGCTAAGCGTTTTACCGCTGGATTATCCAAGAACATCAATTAATGAAAAAATTTTCATATCACAAACTGTGGAATGTTGTAGTCTCGTCAATTCAAACTTACTGAGCAATGTACTGCAACATTATCTCCATGCGATGTTGTATTTGCAGCAATAATCTCTTTGGAGGACAGTTTTGATGTATTTGATTCGTTAAGTCCAGTTTGAAGAGTACAACATTCGGGCATTTCAGGATTTCTTGTATTTAAGCTGGAGTTTACCTCACATTTAATTATTCCATCGCTCAAATGATGTGATTCACTTGTTTTGAGATGTTTTGAAATTGTTTTTGACGCTTCTGTCTTTTCAAGAGGCTTTTCACAACATTCGTTGCCGTGTACCAAAAATTTGCAATCTGTTTGTGCTTGCAGTTTGTCGTTAGAACTTATTTTAAAAGTTTTTCCCTCAGACACGAAAACGGATGTCCTTGATGTTTTCCTTGACGGTGTTGTATGTCGAAGAGAGGATATCTTCTGCGTTGAATACGATATCTGTGGCTCAATCTTGCCTTGAGAAATTGTTCCAAATTTTACAAGTTGTGGAAATGATTCGTTTTGCGTTGATTTTTGAGGCAATGGTGTAGCAAATTTGTTTATTTCTTGCGACACTGTCGGCCTGAAATGCTGGGGTAACCGCAATCTATAAGCCGGACGTTCTTTCCACACCGCGCCAGTTGAACTTGCACGTGATAATTTTTTCGACTGGTAGTTCGTAGTGACTGTATTTCTCATCGCAGATGTTGAGCGTGGAATAATGTTATAACCATAACGATAAGACGCCGGCATTTTTTCAAGTAAAAATGGTGAATGACTAGGTCTTATTTGATGGTTAAGCAGATGATTATCGTTAAACGCGAATGAATTCGGTTGGCAATAAGCTGTAAGATTTGATCCATAAATGAAAGGTTCATTTTTGTTAAAATATTGTGCTCCACCATAACGCGGTATATATGGCGAAGAATTTCTCCAAGTAAAGCCAGTAAAACGAGGATCGTACATAATCCTTAAAGTATATATGTTCACACAGGGTTTAATAAACCACTTGAAATGCACGAGAGCGGAAGGCAAGTCTAAAACTGCTCTTATGATGAAGGCGTTTTCATAACAAAACTTAATCTTACGTGTTTCGTACAGAGAATATTGTAAACATTGATGATAAACAGAGATAAAAGAAACAATGATTGTAAAACGATCAAATAACTATTAGGAATACAACACATTGTCACAACTGACAAATGCAAACAATATTTATAAAGCACAAGCGTGTTTTAACTTTTTTCACATGCTTTGCTTTCGTGGAATATATCTCCAAACGAATAGCAAAAATAGTTAATCAAATATACAACTATTGAAGACATATCGTTATGAAAAGCGTATTGCTTTTTAATAATGTTGAAAATCATTATGTAAGTTCAATTGTTGGACTTCCGGCATTAAGCCGTCGATCTCTCACAACAAATTTGAAATATTTGTAAAATATGATAAACTTACCAGGCCGAAAATCACTCAAATCAAGTCTTGTAATCCTTTCGCTATCTTTTGCCTCGTAACAAACATGTTATATCCAAATTCAATTTAAATGAAGCTTTGTGACATAAATATGATCTGTGATGCATAATTTTTACGCTTTGTGACAACACGAAGCCTCGTTTACACCAACACATGTGCCTTCATATTATTGGTGGAAAAAGACATATGGTTCATAAACATATGATAATTTCTTAAAAAAGTAAAATTTTATTTTTAATAATATAAATACAAGGATAAGCGATGTTTAATGCACCGCACAAAAAAATCACGCATAGTAAATATAATAAAAAAGTCGAAACTTTGCGTGTCTCCATGTTCCCAGTTGCTACGCCACTTTAGTGGAACAAGTAGTTTTAAAATAGTAGCTAGAGACTTGCTGAGTGGAATAAAAATTAATACCCAACATAAAGTTTTAGAGCCATAGAAATAGACCAAAAATTGTAAAATTGAATTTATTGTGACGTTTCGTTTTTACTAAAGACATCTTCAGACAATTAATAAATAGGATGTTAAGACAAGATATTATATTTACAAAAAATTTTAAATTACTACTAAAGGAGGCGGTGTCAAATGGATTATAAGATAACGAAGTTAGGAAGTAAAATAAAGTGAAAATAAAAGAGATTAAGTAGAATGGAACTTCCTTGCACGTTAAGTGAAGGCTTGTATTTATTGATTAGAAGGCTCTCATGAATGGAGAGGTCATAGGAAACGTTAATGTGAGCAAAAATGCTCGATAACGCAGGGTGGGAAACTTGGTTGCCTGTAAGGGGGTATATACCCAAGTGCTCCGAAAATCTGGTGTGTAGATGACGTGTGTGTTGACCCACATACGAGGCGTTGCAGCTTCGACATTTGAATAAATAGACTACACCAGATCTCAGCGGTTTGGGAATTTTGTCCTTAAAGAAGAGATACGTTGGGAAGGGCGGAAAACAAATTTAATAGATATATGTGGGAAGGCTGCAGCACAAAGGCTATTGATTTTTGTGCGAATTTGAAGGGAGTGCGTGCCGGTGAAAGAAAGACAAAATAGATGGGCATTTTGTGAGCAGTCAAAACAGGTGGTTTGGGGGCAAAGGTGTTGTTAAGGAAGCGACGTGTGATTTAGTCAATTATACGTGAAGGATAACCGTTTTTGGTGAGTGACTTTCTGGTAAATTCGAGTTGTGTATGAAAATTTTCGTAAGTAGAGCAAAGATTGAAGATGCGGTGAAGTAAGCAGGAGACTAATGAAAGTTTGTAAGTAAGTGGGATGAAGCTGTGGAAGTTAGTGAAAAGGCCAGTGAAAGTAGGTTTGCGGTAGACGGAAGTGGTGAATTTTTCATTTGTGCGAGAGATGTCAATGTCAAGAAATGATAGTTTTCTGTTTTGTTCGACTTCAGCTGTGAATGTAATGTTCGGGTGTTGTCGGCTCAGATAGTCAAGAAAGAGAGCGACGTGATAGGAGGAATGAAAGAGTAAAAAACAGTCGTCAATGTAGCGTCGGTAAAATAGTGGTTTGAATGAAGAAGGACATTGATTCAGCCAGGATTGTACGTGAGAAGACATAAATATATCAGCAAAGAGAGGGCCCAACGGACTGCCCATAGCCACACCATCAATTTGCTGGTACGTTTGCCCGTTAAAGACGAAGTGACAATTCTTAACAGCTAGAGAGAGTAGTTTTTCAAATTCTGTTGCAATGAGTCCGTTGAAGTACTGGTGGTTGTTAAAAATGCTATTGGATATTATGCAGATGGTTTCATAAACAGGTATGTTAGTAAATAGGGATACGACATGAAAACTAGCAAGGACAACATTACTGGAGTTGACATCGCAATTTAGGATTTCTTCAACAAAGGAGAATGAGTCTTTAATGATGAGGTTGCTTATAGTGAAGGGTTTTAGGAGTGGGATGAAAAACTTTGCTAAATTAAGCGAATAGTGATTAATGGAAGAAAAAATGGGTCTGAGAGGGATGTTTCAGACCTAACCACTGCATCGAGCCAACAATTTTGCAGTGAACAAACACATAGCTCAAATAAAAAATATTGCCATTGAATGTTATAAAGTGTGATAGCTCTTCGTAGCTTGCGAAATACTCATACTCTTCTCAGGTCTTTTTGCTGATTTATGAACGCCACAAACAGTTTCTATCTGTAGTTTCAGTCCGTTTAAAATGACATGAGCGTTTTTCAAGGGTTGTATAAAAATTTGCAATATTTATCAGGGGCGTAGGAAGCATAGGTATCAGAGATAAGCTATGCGGAAAGTAAATTTTTAATGAAAATATGAGAGCTCAAAATATACTAATTTCACTATATTCTCAATATGAATATTACAGCCCAACATAAGCAATTTGGTTTTGTGAAATTTATTAAAATAGTGACGTTTCGTCTTAACTCAAGACTTCTTCAGACTAATAAGGAAGTTAATAAGAAATATATATACATATAACCGTACGTCCTGTGTCCCAAATGCAGGAGTCACCATTGCACTGTGGTGATAGCCGGGAGGGCACACTGTATACACACTTTGTATATATATATGTATATATATATATAATATATATGTGCAGTGGTGTTGAGAAAATCACAAAACTACAGATTCATCCCGACAAGCCTGTTTCGTGATTGCTCACTAAATCCCCTGAAGAGTGAGAAATCACGAAACAGGCTTGTCGGGATGAATCTGTAGTTTTGTGATTTTTTCTCAACACCACTACACATATTTACGCTCTGTTCTCAGGCATCGAGCACTGTTTTATACGGAGAATCATCAAATATAAATATCCTATATATAATATGTATATTTAGTTATTTACAAAGTTAGAGGTATCATATTACTGTAAATGGGTTAGTGTGATGTGATGTATAGTTAGGACTTAGGTTGAGGTGTTGAGACTAGAAAAGCTTGTTAACTTCCTTGTTAATCTGAAGATGTCTTGAGTCAAGACAAAACGTCTTGAACTATTTTAGTAAGTTTCACAAAACCAAATTGCTTATGACTATGTTCGAAATTATATGTTGGGTTGTAATATTTAATTATTTATATTGAGAATCCGTTTCATGTTTGTAAATGTAGATCGTACATATGGAAAATGACTGTAAATAGGTGTATGGTGGAGAAATGAAAACTGGACTCATGACTGTAAATAGATCAATGGTGGAGAAATGAAAAATAATTTTAATAAAGACACATTGGTCACTGTAAAATGTGGTCAATATACACACCCAGGAAAAAGAAATTAGAAACGTAACATTTCGGCAGCAAATATAGAAGGCTGGTGTACTTCAACATCCGAGGAGGAAGCAGTGTGTACAAGGCTAAGGAAGGATGGGAATGCAGTAAAAAGGTATTTAAATACTGTGGGAACAGCTGGGATCTTCAGTGAAACGAAATTCAATAACAACAAAAATCTTACTCCCAACAATTGTGCAGGCTAATCATTGTATGATATAAAAGAGCACCAAGATAGTACATTATATATATATTTTGGAATTCTGTGCAAAAATTTCGTCAGGCCTCCTGAATTATTAAACACCAGTGGCGTAGCCTGGACGCAAATTTAGTCCTATTATGTAAATTTTTTTGTGAAAAACAAAAGATTTCTTACAAATGAATAATGATAGTGTTGTGAAAAGTCCAAAATTTGCGGACTGACCAAAGCTACTGCTAAACAAATTTTGTCTGCCATATACAACTTATTTTATGGAATTGAATGATTCGTCACGCTCAAGCGTAAAAATTAAACGGCAAATTGGAGCACTACTATTTTGGCTGTGTAAAATTGGAGAAAAGAACTCGTCTATGAAACTTTTCATCTCTATTATCCATCTTCAATAGATGTAACAGTTAACCTGTAACAATTAAAAACGACAATACTAGATCAACCACAGTCTTGAAAACACATGGAGCATGAAGACCCAACTATGTCCTATAATAACCCAGCAAAGTATGGAGAATTATTTAAATATGCATATTTAAATTATATTTAAAATTCAAATGGCGAAAATCTACATAACCGAATCTGAAGGATAAATGACAAGGAATATTAGAATTTTCTCCGTTGATTTTCATCCATTAAAGTCAAATCAGAAACATTCTATCCATACATTTATAACGAAAATAATGAAGACAATGTAGAAGACTTTGGTCTATGCTGTATATAATGCTGTGAACATATCAAATAATTTGTTACAAATCACAAGGTTTTAACTAAATTAACTCCATGATATGTTGCAAGAGAAATGTTTATTTAAAACTTAAAAAATTCAATTTGATGCACTTAGTTTACAGCAACATTAAAATAAAGATAATTAAATATTCTAAGATAAAAAGATTTATAAACGTATATTCATAAAGACATGTAAAACGTTAAATATACATATATAAATAAATCCAAATTTGTCACAATACTTTAATTGTTTCTCAAGATTAGTTAATGCCTTATGTTAGCAATAAGGTTTCAAATCGTATGAAACATAATCGTTCAAAAATTCACATGAGTCAAAGGAATGGTACTTGTGTCAGGATTACGTCTAATAACGCTACTTCCATTTAAACTATCGTCATCGTTATATTGATTTGCGTTATGGTGTTGAAAATATTCAACATGATTTGTTCCACTTCGATAGTTAAGATTCGAGTCGGCCGTCAAGTAAACATTTATCATTTCATGCAAATCGCCAGGATAACTACGTCTATTATCACTGTCGTTTTCTTTCTTGATGTGTTGCACTGCACCGCCATTTGAAAGCATGACTGTTTCTTGTGTATAGTTTACATTTGGCATTCTTGATAATCCTTCTCTTGTATGGTGCGGATGTTCTGGATTATAACTGTAAATCTGACCATTTTGAATTGTGCAGGCTGAATTTGGATAGTAAGAATTTGTCGACGTACTTGCAACGTGATATTGTGAGTTTGATAACATCGTGTTATAATTGGTGTTATAAACGGGATTATATACATCATGCGTCGTATAAGTAAAATTGGGATAAGAAAAATACTCATTAATTTGTGCAAAATCTCGTTGTACTTGGGGTCCAGTATCGCAATTTCCTCGTAAAGGTAAACTATATTTATCTTTCTTCAATAAATTTTTAGTTTTACGACGAGGACGATACTTATAATCAGGAAAATCCTTCATATGCTGAGCACGTAATCGTTTAGCTTCCTCAACATACGGTTGTTTGTCACCAGGACTTAATTTTTTCCACTTATCCCCAAGCCTCTTAGATATTTCTGAATTATGCATCTTAGGATTTTCTTGTGCCATAATTCGACGTTTTTCGCGCGACCATACCATAAATGCATTCATTGGTCTTTTTACACGTTCGGGATCTCGATCGGATCCGGGCGCCATTTTGGTATTTTTTTTAAGTTCTAAATTCGGAGAAATCCTACCAGAGATTTCATGCTCAGCCGCTTCACTGAATGAACTGTTTTTATTACTATCAAGAACAGCACTTGAAATGTTCAGGGGATTTATTGCTCCTGTGATACCTGCCGTATTCGCAACAATTTCATTTGATCTTTGAGATGATCCCACTTCACAATCGACCATCCGGCTCAAATCTGTACAATCTAAAGGCTCTTGCTTGATAAAGTCAGTATTTAGCAACATTTTTACGTTGACCGGTTGAGATCCGTTTATATCATAGTTAACAGCCATAACGGAGTCAAGCGCTGCGTCCAAAGGACATTTTAAACAGCCAGGATCGGGCATGCTTGTCACGGGCGATGAACGTCTATTATAGCTGGACGTGATTATGGTATCCAACGTTGTTAAATTGCCTGATGCCATAAATTCTAGTTACTAACCAATTGCTAGTACTATCAACGTTTGTCAACGCACACGGCGTTTACAAATTGAGAAATGATTGAAAGTGTTTTGAACTTTGACAGTACTATAATTCGTTCAATCTTTCAATTGTCTAGCCATAGCAGTATCGTAAATTTTGAGCTTATTGCCATGCTATTTATTGATTGACAATGCGCGAGTCGATCAACCGTAAGCCAATCAGCGTTAAGTACTTGACAAAAATTATAAAGCGGCTTTATACATATCGGACTTTACGACGTAGGGAGAAGGAAAAGCTAATGTGGAATGGATACATTTTTATTTTTGAGAACATATCACACTTTAAATGTATCACAGTCGCGATCAGATGTTTTAATTAGGAATTAATCAAGAAATGGAAAGGAAGTGAGGGTTTAGCTAAGTAGTCTCCATTGCCAGCACGAAATATTATCACCAACGCAGGTGTTGATATGCTTCGTCGATCATACGCACATTGAAATCGAGTATTTGAGATTTTATTACTGCTGTAACTCTTGTAAAATTAAAAGCACAGATCTCTTACACATGAATTCGCCATAAAATATCGAAATTCGAATACACAGTTATCACAAATTTCACAACATTTTCATGACAGCATTGAGCCGTTTCTATAGTAATAAAAAAATTTGCATTGGCTGTCTTCCATAAGATTGCAAACAATAATTAATTTTCAATGCTGCTACACGATTGATCACCAAATATCACTGCTATCAAATTTATAATTGTTGACCCGAGGCGTCAAGTGTCATTTATGTCAAAAATTGCTCGCTGATTTTTTAAAAGCGCAACCGTTTCGAAACATTTCATTATGTCAAATAAGTATATGAAACGATTTTTAATCTATAGTAGTGAAATGTTTCGGAAACAGGAAATATATTATAATAGCGTCAACCTTCCTAAGCCCTCTTTATCAAATTATCACCGGAACAAAGCTAAAAGCGGTTCAAATGCACTGTTAGTGACCGTAAAAAATAATCACTAGAATATGTAAATGTCTGCATCGAGTTTTTGTCCAATAAAATACTTTTTCATCAATTCGGAATATATTATTTAAAGTTAAAAAATAATCCATATGATTGAAAGAATAAGAAAACTGGTTATTTTTCAACTGAATTGAAAAGTATTGAAACTCACTTGAAATTGAAAAAAAGACAAAACCGTAAAAATTAACGCACCATAAAAAAATATTCACATTTTCGATGCTAATAAATGTGCCGTCATTTCCTGATTAGTTAAATACAAAATGCTACCAATACCAAAAGTGAAAACATACATACATACATAGTAAATATTGTACAAAAGGAGTATTATACAAGCTCACATTCGTCATGATGTGTTGAAATGTTTCTGCAGCAAAACTAGAGTACGACGAACGTCAAGAAGAACTGATTCATTTAAATTAAGCACCTAAAATAGAAAGAGATGACGGACGATAATTTTGTTGTGTTGAACGATATGCAGATAACTTATTCTATAAATTATACAAAAATTTTAATCAACCAAAAAACACAAGCATAAGATACGTTTCAATTAAAAAAAGTAGAAACTCGTCAGCTTTTCGGGTTTTTTTTTGACAAATTATGTTTAAATGAGATCACACAAAAAAATTGTCTTCTCGATCAAGAAATAAGACATTGACAAGTTGATGCATCACTATATGTAAATTTGCATGAAAAATTTTGAACATAAAGAACAAGGAGACTTGAAATAAGACAAGATATTTTTGACTGCCTAACAAACTTGCATATCGTTTAAAGTTAAAACGTTAACACTTCATGTCAATATTACTTAGGTGTCCAGGTATTAATTAATAAAACAGTACTCGAAAACCGGATACAAACGACAGGATGAAGAGAAGGTTCCTTTTATCTTATACAATATTGGATAGCTCGCGTAAATTATCACATACAATATTGCATGTATCAAAGCAGTTAAGTTCACGAATGAAAAATAATTTTAGATCACATAAAATTTCACAGCAAATTACGCACGCATATCTTTCAAAAGACGATGTGCAGATTTTTTGATGGCGATTTATCATAGCTACTACGCCAAAACTTAATTCATTATCTCCAACAAAGGAATTTAAAAATGCCATAACAATTTTGGAAAATTTTATTCCCACGGTAATACAATCTCATTGATAGTGCGTGCAGTCCAGACGGATAGAAAGGAATTTTTACAGAATCAAGAATTTTACGCCACTCTACTTTGCACAATTTTCTCGTTGTTTTTCAAATGTACAATTCACGCTCTATGAAGTGCATGCTAAGTCAACTGTTTCCTTTCTACACGTCAGAGAAGTTGAAGATAAATACAGAAAAAGAGAATCTATAACTTACCGGATGACGTAAATACTGTAATTCTAATAATTCCTCAAGTTGTAATTCTGTTTGAGCAATACCCACTCCAGGTATATCTAAAGTCAACGACACAATGCTTTACAAAAACGAAATTGTATTTCTTTATCATGCCAAGAAAAAAGCGCTCTGGAATGACTGGAGATCAAAATCACAAGATGAGGAAAAATGCAATAACAACATTGAACTTCTTGATGTAGGCAAGCGGGGCTTTTTCAGTTTGCAATGTAAACTGACCTTTAGACAACAAAGAAACTTTATATATTCCACGAGAGGGACTCTTTATTGTAAAATATAAACTTGATTTTCTATAAGAAAAAAATACATCGTTTTGACCACACTTCAACTAGTAAAAGCTGTCACCAAAAACGGTTTGGCTAACAAAACTGAATACGAGTTTATAGTTTCCATCCAAGCAATTATGAAATTGACGAAAAAATAAAAACATCGACAATCTGATTCTACGGAGCAAATCATTGACACTTCATAAAGTATAAAATTGGATTCATCGTATATACACTGACCGTTTCTCCGGAATATTATGGCTTTCGATAATAATTCCTTCTTTTTCGAGTTGTGTAAAAGAATATTTAACATCATGTGGAGATTTATGACGATGACCTTGAACTAGACCACCATCCTGAAGTTAAAACATCAAAAAGTTATTTACCTGCACTAAAAATGTGTATTTCATTTTAAGTCACAACTGTCACATTGGCGTTGCATTGCCTATCATTATAACAAAATTTAAAAAAAAACTTCTTAGCAAGTTTTCTAAGAAGCATCTCCGCACAAATTTATAACATTAAATTTCACCATAAATGGATTTTGCGAGACTAAAACAAACTTACAACAACTACATAGATAATTCAAGTTTGCGTTGCGCAACGCGACGTCACAAGTTGCGTAATTTACATAATACAAAATCTATTCTGAGTCTAAGAATGAAAGGAGATATGTACAAACTGTTTTAAAAATTTCACAGTCAATTTAAAGGTTCTGCTCAATAAAACATAAATTAAATATCAAGATTTGCCATTCATAAAAATATTTTATGCAGGCTTTAAGATTTGGTAAATCAATCTGATATTATATAGTCAATGTAATTACAGTTGTTTTGAGTCACTCGTAACGGATAAGAAATTCCAGCGTATGAACATTACGTATGCATATATCGATATTCTTAATGTTAATTTTTTTTAAAATACTTTGAATGATCCAAATTTATGCAGTTTCGCATTTCAGCCGCTCAGTTGGAATGGCTTTGAGTAAAATTCGTCCAACAAGATTAACCAATAGAATATTAAATTTGTTCCTACGTATTTCAGGAACAATAAAAAACTTAAATATTCTCATTATGTCACAAATGAGAAATAGTAATAATTAGTGACATGCGTCGTTACCAACCAATCAAATTGTAGGATTTCTTAACACCATATTCCGAAGATGCCGACTCGTTAATTTTGCACACACACCACGTTCACAAGCACAAATAAATTATCATATCAACGTTAAAAGGCACTGACCTTACTAGCAGCTCGTTGTCTGACTACATGCAAATATTCTAAAAATTATTGGAAAATTCCGTTAAAACTTCTCTCCCATTGCACATATTTAACGTAAAAGAACGAAAATAGTTTACCTTTGTACGCGTCAAGTTGTTTAACTAAAAAGTTCCTGTGGTCGCAAATTGTCTAAAAAAACATCAACGAATATATATAAAATTCATCATCTCACATGAATAAGCGTATAGTCGGGTTGTTCGTACAAAAAAGTTCATCAGCCTAAAACTCAAACTACTAATTGAACGTGCATAAAAAAATTAAGTTTTCACTTTCTCTTTAGTTTTAGTCGTGACATGACTTTAAAAAGCTTCTTTTCCAACAATTATGATAATTTTACAAACCTTGTGTACTCTCTTCAAGCTCTCGAGTTGGTTATTAAGTTCATCAAACTGATGCAGCCTTGAGTCTACTTCCTTCGAAAAACAATGACAAAATTCAAAAAAATCCTTGCTTTTGCCCGTCTCGCCCTTTGAGATATCTTACCATTTTGACATCCATATAAAATTCCTCTTCTTCGAGAAATGCAGCTCCTGTTTGCCTAACATTTTCGTATTTTTGCAGCAAAAATTCAGATAAGGCTGAAACAGCAGCCTCGCTATCTGCAAGATTAACAGCGGCTGCAAGTGCCATAGTTAACGTTGGCTCTAGCAGTAGTTTAGGTCTCTGAAAATAAATTTTTTTAATAATCAATGACGATACCAAGCAGTCCCAAGATGCAATAATGTGCCTTCAATGACTAGGGTACATTATACGAATCAGCTGGGAAAGCTGTCATTTTCGCAATAATTCTTTGCCATGCAAATTGGTCTTCTAATTATAATTTTGCACAGTATTTGAACGGTTTATCAATGTAAATACTCGCTTAATTTGCATGGTTGAAATATCAAACATGAATGAATGAGAAAAATCAAACGACTTTTATATCAACAAGGATAATCAAGTAAAAATAACGATTTGAAACTAGACAAGATACAATTAAACATGACACAAACACATACCATACAAAACAATTCAGAAAGTAATTGTTTCCACTGACTTCGTTGAACACCGTTTCCATTGTTTCTTGCCAATGTTGAATTGAGAGACTCAAATCGTACAACTGTGAAGACAACATTTCAAATCATGTAGAAATAAAGTAGGGCAGAATGTGTAGCTCACATTGAAAACGAGAGATAAAAATGTGGAAAAACGAAGTACACGGAATGTGTACAAATGTGAAAAGTTAAAGCAAACGAATTCTATAACTTACGCAGAAATAAACTTCAAATCATTGTAAGGTGATGATGAAAAAACCCAAATAAACAAACAAACAACAAGTAAAATTATCTAACCAGGTACTTGTTCCCAACGACTGTTTAAACTTAACGTTATCGAAATATCTTCAAGATAAGACAATTGTGGTTTTGGTGGACCCATATCGCTTAATATGGTGTTCAAAGGGTCGTCTTCCGTTAAATTCTAATATGAAAAAACATAATTTTGTTTTTTATTTGGCATAATAATTACACACAGAACAAAATGAGCTTGTCTCTATGGAACAAGCCATCATATATGCAATTAAATGCTTTCCCAAGTTTGTCCTAGCCACATTTATTGAGCTTCTATTAAAATTAGACTTAAGTTACCGTGCATGAAAATATGTTTATCTGCAAGTCTATCACTATTTGTATATATTTGTAGATGTAGATCGTCCAGGTTAGTACAGTCCTGAGAAGGACTGTTGTTGTTGATGTTGACTGACGTTTCGACAACCTTAGCGGTTGTCAACATTACTTCTCAGGACTCTACCAACATGGACGATCTACATCTACAGAGGATTTAGCGATACTCCCGGGGTTCAAACAATTTACTTTACTATTAGTATAATTGTATAAGTCAACTGTACACATTTAACAGCATTATAAAATTAGCAACCTTGCATTTAATTTTACAGTTCAAACATTGCTACTTACAAGATCTCGTTTGTATTTCATGATAAGACCATGAAAATGATAAATTTGATTAAGAGTAATGTTTATTTCTGTCTTCTTTGACAAACCAATATAAAGTTCCATCTAAACACAATTGAAATAAATGATAATTAAATAAACAAGTCACCATAAAATTTTAGAAAGAGCTTTACCTCAAGTGAACTGTAAAATGGTGGAACGGAACACAAGTTATTCAAAAAATTCTGTTTAAATAAAAAAAGTTTAGTAGGAACAAGTAATAAAACATAAAGAGTAATGGGATTATCAGTCATCTGGATCTATAAAACTCAAATGGTGAACATTACATAAATCAAATTTTCAATGCAAACTAAATTTTAACAAAGAGCGTGATATAAAATGTAATACGCGATGGTGTGTGTATTTGCTGTCAATCACCACAAGACAAACAACTACTATCTATCAATCAACATAAGAGAAACAACTACCATCTGCTAATCACCACAAGACAGACTCCTATTATTTGGCCATCAGAATGCATAGTCATTTATATCAAGCGCTTGTGTATAAAACAATTATTAATACATAATTATACAAGACAAGTATAATTGCTTACGCATAAACGTTTCTTGTGTTTCTCAACGAATACGCTCAAAGGTTGCATGTAATCTTCCTTAAATCGTGTCTTTCCTGGCGTAACATTAGCTGTATGTTGAATGATTTTAGCGATCTGCAATTTTCAAACAGTATCTTTAATAAGCAACTGGTTTGAAGCATGCAGGAAAACGTCAAATCTTCCAAATCGAATATCATTTAAATACTACGTACCAAAAGTAGATTTCTTCTTGTAACTGAATTTGGCTGTTTGCTCATTAGCATGTATACTGAAACACAATACACATCAAGTACATAAATTATCATTGATAAACAAGTTATCGTAAAAACAGAAAAAATGGGTGCATTTAAACTGAAAGACTCTCAAACAACCAATCAGATAGAAAAACGTATGTTTGTGACTTACCATGAGGAGACACGATGGCCGGGTTAATAAATCGCAGAAGGAAAAAGCCACCAATGAGAGAACAAATTTTATCGTTAAATTTATCATTTGCATCTTCAGATTGCTCACAAAGGTCAGGAAATTTCTCCTACAAGATAAATCGAACTTAAAGAATGTACGTGAATGTACATTCATGCAGTATTTCCAAATTTATATTAAGTTTGACTAAACACAAGCTAACTCTCTCATACTTCAATTCGTTTACACTAACATACCCATCTATTATTAACTTACCATAGCCAATTTTCTAACGGTGTAACATATCCATCGAATGCCAAAAGGAACTCGGTCGACGGAACTTTCCATAATGTCTACAAATTTCTGTGCAAGACTTTTCAATTTTTGTAAACGTACGGTTACGTTAAAGAATAATAAAATTAATACGAGATAAAAGATATTGACAAATCATATAATAGGGGAAAGAGCTTAGTTGTTAGGAAGAGAATTGATTTTTCACAACCATCTGTAATGAGTACTCTGGTGGCTCCACAAAACAACTTCAACAATATGTACTCGTATGTACTGTTCCCATAAGTGCAAAAATCCCCTTTGCACTATTTGGTGATAAACGGAGGGCACTTGTTAACATTTCCCTTTCCCTTATTTAAAGACAAAAAAGGATATGAATTACAACAGTTTCTTGAACCCTTTTATCGTCCTGCACCTAAAGAAGATATTTCATATTTACAAAAATGCCACAAAAACTATTCAAAAGTGAAGCAATCACCACACGTTAGATATATATGTACCTGCTCAGGAGATACCGCAGCAATATCCTCATTGTCCAAATCGTATAATCTTGCATAAACCTATTTTCCAAAATGAACAAGTATAAAAAGTGTTTGCATCATTTCCCGTGTCTTCACCGTCAGTTGGATCGCGAAATAACAATTTTCTCACCAAAGATTTTTGTAGTTACCAACGTATACAGGACATACTATCGTTTTTTAAATGTTTAACTAAGTTCATGTAATCTTCAAACTTTTTCATTCAAAAAACTACAACAGTTATATGTAAATAAAAAGCACTAAAACACATCCGTACAAGATCGTACAATATTACGGGGTTTTTATACCTTCATTGGATTGATTTCCAAATCTAAATCTAAATCACCACAAATTTCACGAATTGGATCTTCGAGTGTTTCCTTTAAATATTCCTGACCAGGTCCACGTCTTTAGAAAGAAAACGAAATAATTCAATCTACTGTATAGTAATATAAAGATAAATAAAAGATATAATAATCATGATAATAATGGAATTGACATATTAAATAGTTAAACAGTTAAAGTACTATGTGATTGTGGCACATATAAAAAAATTATAATATCATAAAACATTAAGATTTAACGAGTCTAAAATTGAACTTATCTATATAATGAACTACAGGACAACGTTTAAAACGTTCAGTGTTACAAGTTAAATTATATTCATGACATAAATTTTTCATTTTTCCCATAGTGCATGATTTTTTAAGACTTCACCATCTTCATTGTTGAAGATACTACACAAAAAGTTTATGTTACAATAAAAAAATAAAATGACGTCATCTTCTACCTGGTATACGATGACATCATCCTTGATATTGCCGTGTTAGCTCGAAGTACACCATTGAATCCTTCAGCCTCGTCAAACTCATATTTCAAGGAAAGCTAGAGAAGTTGATAAAATAAGTCAAAATTTTATTATACACATATCTCCATTTCTACTGTACAGATTGCCAGCAACTCAAATTCTAAGTATCCATAGTTTAATGTATATCTTAATTCTGTTCTATTTGATGGGAAAAAAAATGGCATTAGCTAAGAAGTTTTGGTTCGGCTACAAACGACGAGGACAAGAAAAATTCTTTCCAAATCGAGTTTCGACCAACTTCTTTTCATATAATTGCAACGAAGCAACGCAAAAAGATGTAATTCCAAACAAGTTGATGAAACTGAAGACATCTCGCTAAGATATCTTCGAAAGTGGATAGCTGTTTAACCAAGGAAGACATTTTGTGAGACAAGTTGACACAAAAAGTACGGAAAAAAGTACGATGAAATGCTTTCATGTTTATCGACCATAAGTGGTTCCATACCTCAAACATACAAAGCAAAAGATGTTCTTCCCTTTCTTCGTATTGCTGACCATAAAGAGAAAACATAACAGTTTCTAAAAGATCTGAAATAAATATTGGAAATGTGTGTGAAATAAAACGGATATAAGAAAAACAAGTAGCTTAAATGTGCATAATATTCCTCTGATCTATTATGGCATGCAAATCTGTTACTCACAAAATTACATTTATATCATAAGGCAGTGATGATCCTTACAGTACTACACTCCCCTCATAAAAATATGTTCAAATGGCTAACGTTTTTTTAGTTAAAGAAGTAGTAAATGTACTCTTTCAAAAAACATATTAACGCGAAATTTAGCGGTTGAATTTGATGGGTTGGATGTCAACGGTTTAAATATGCACAAAGCACGCATTTATATAATTTCAAGAGAAAGAATATTGGTCATGCAGTAAACAGTATAAATCATACCATCAATTTCATTCATTGAAACAGATCTTGTTAACTGTGCTACATAAAAAGGTTCCGTTTGAAGCAAATAGAACAACTGTCCATATATCTAAAATAAGATGAACAGAAGAATAACAAGAAAAAGAAAACCGTTTGACTCGAAATGAGAGACAAAAATCATCGAAGAAGAGAGTTGTTATTCGTGAATAATGGTTTTGTTTTAAAACAATTGACTCTATACACAAATATAACGCACAACACGTAGCCAAGATAGAATTAAACAGTAACATCCCAACCTGTCTTTCCAGTTCATCTTTGATTACACCTAAAAAAAAAATATCGACATAATACATTAATAAAGGCGATTTTAAAACATAAAGATATCTATTGTAAGAGAAGATTTAATCTTCCTAAACAGATTATAAATTAAGCTGATTATATCGGAGACGACAGCGATGAAACCGGATTAAGCAATATAATCGTGTCCCACGTACAATCCGTTTTCTTTGTGCATTTTATATGTTGTACAGTAGGAAAACGATGATGAATTTTTTGAAAAAGAAACTAATATCAGATGCTAACTCCTTGGCATCATATTTGGCGAATATTAGCCCCTTGGATGTCATATTTGGAGGATACTAGCCTCATGGATGTCATATTTGGTACAAAGGGAATAAGCGTTACAAATTAGTTTGATGAACAGTAGCAAAACAAACAGTTGAGAAATAAAGACGAAATTATTTTAATTGCCTATTTTTAAAGACGAAAAAAGAAACCAGGAACATATTTGACCTAATTTACAAAAACAAAGAAAAGTGATTCATATCTTTTATTAAATTTCTTTTTGAATAAAATGCTTTAAGATGATAAGTTAGAACAATCGAAGATGATTACTATTTCAAAAAAAAAGTATGACATGAATTATCACAAGATTCTCATGAACAATATGCCGCTGACAAAGGTCAACCAATGTGAGTTAAAAGAAAAAATTCGTGGGTGCTTTTCGGTCTGTGTAAAACAAATGCAAAATGTAGTTGCTTGCACTTACAAATAAGAACAATATAGCTAATGCATTGAAGCGTTGCGTAAGCGTTACATAAGCGTTGCAGAATTTGCTTTTATTATCGTAATGAACTATCTTACATCAAGTCTTAACATGTTTTATCTCAAACTAGCTTTTGTTACAAATCTCTTGTGTGAGAGACTTGACGATCCGGACAAAGATCTAAAAAAGCTCTATCTCGTGGCTTTAATATATCAAACAAAGAAGTACCTGTTCTCAAAAACAATTAAATAACCAAGAAATAAAGTTAATGTTTTAGTCGCGATACGTTGCTATCTAGGACTATTAAAGAGACAAAAACGATAACTGTAAAACGTGTTTAATTCGCATCATACCAGATTATAAACTGTATAAACAATATTTCACAGACAACAATATCAAACTTGGCAACAAGGAAACTGGAACCAAAATATCAAGGAAAGATTGTTTTTGCTTTCTCGAAATCTTTCAGCATTATAAAAGCTATTGCAGAGGAAAATATACCTTCCCTAATGCGGGGATTTACTTTACAAGCATTCCTACTGTCTTACTGGATCCTAATACAAATAAAATTTCCCATTGATTATTTATTCAGTCGTGATTTAAGGCTAAGTGAGCAGTTAGTGATAATACGCAGAACATTAGCGAGAAAAATCATGTTTTATTTCAACAATTTCTATGGCAAGCGTAATATTACTTATTTGTTCACTGAACAAGTAAATACTTTTTGCAAAATAACTTTTTGTCTGCTATTAAAACGCATACAATAACACTAATACGAAAGCAATTTCAACCAACTACATAGAAAATAAAAAGGATAACGTGCACGATGACAAAATGACAACTGTGAATTAATTTAAAAGTTACTTTGTTTCAGATATAGAAAAATTTCGCGTACATCATAAGATCTCTTTCTAAATAATTTCCTGTCGCTTATTTTGAAATTCAAACAGAGATACTACAAACAAACTGTAGCATAAATCTATAAGTCACCTACCCACTCTCTTACATCCTTGATCAATTCTATCTGACAGTTCCTAAATACAATTTAAATACATTAAATTTTATTGAGTTTAATTGAAACAGATTTGTGGGTTTTCAACAACAAAATAAACTGTTCTGTCAAATGCAATATTTTAGCTCCGAATCGAAAACTCTGACACAGCGTGTCATGTATTCAGTTATGATTAAAACAACAGAAATGGCAAATTCACAAATCACAACGAGATATAAATAAAAATTTACCTCAACAGATATTCTGTGATTAATGAGCAGCGCAATTCGTTTATCGAAGAAGCGAACATCGCGGTCAAGTTCAAAATTCCGTTTACTCTGTTGTGAAATTTCTGCTTTGAGATCTTGAAGTTGACTACGAACTTTGAAGAAGGAATATAATATATGACAACTATAATAACATTTTCCTTTCAGAAAAATATTTGAATGAAAACTTACTCTTTTCTATTTTATCGTGTTGAGAAAAACTCGGCCTGCGTGCTAAATCGTCGGCCATGACTGTATATTCATATCCTATACTTTACACGTAAGTAATGCATTGAAGATTACGAAGTTGATTGTCAGAGAAAAATAGCTTCGTTCATTTCATTGCCGAACAGCAATGATACAATGGTTAAGAAATAATAATTACTCTAATTTTCATCGGAATTTAATATTTACGTTACCAAATTCCGACATCAAATAACGTCGTCTGTACTTAAAATTATAAAATTAAATATGGAAATCTATACTTTGTTGAAATTATTAGCACTTTTCATTGGCTCATAAAGCGGAAGTGATAAATTAACAGATCTCGAGCGGCGATATTTTTGGTGTGGTAAAGGCACGGGCTAAACTCGAGTATTATGAAACTACCCTGGTACAAAATAGGAGTCAAAAAGAAAGTGAATGGTAGTTTTATAGTCGAAGAACTTATAAATATAGTTATATTTAATACAAATATTCAATAATTTATTTTGGGTAATGGTGTTGTTACTGAATATTTTTAGATTTTTCTTAATGTCACAAAATTGTTTCCGGTAACGTAAGAAAAAATGAATTTAAAATCACTTCAAGGTTTACCCATTTATGAGCCACAGAGCCAATCAGAATAGACGATCGTAAATTTACTGGTAAAATAAAATAAATTGAAGGTTTCTAAATTCTAATCTTATGTCTGCATTCTGCAATTATTCATATATTTGTACACTTGTTTAAATTCGCGTTCTGCTGCTGACGCATTTCGCACGGGTAAATTTCTCAATTTTTCCATCTATACTATTAATTTATCATTCAGTGTAATTAATAGATTTCTCACCACTTTCTTCGCAACTTTTCTTTTGGCTTATGTAAATAAGACAATTTTAAGTCTTAGTCCCCTTCTTTCTGTTGCCATCTGTTAACGTCCATAATTAACTTGAGTAAAAAATTAAAATTAATTTGCCGATATTGCACTTGCGTTTTTCTTTCCAAATTTGGATCATCGCTCCTTTTACTATATTTACTAAATTATTTGCAACTGTAAGCCTTGATTCACGCATATGTTCACGAACCGTAAGGTGAGATTTATTTCCTAAAATTTTGATGATTAATTTAGATGCATGTTATGCTCTGAAACAGGATATATCTTTGTACCACGTTTTGCCCATGAATGGATGCTGCCTTTAGCTATTGAAGAGTCTAGTAGATAACACATGAATACTCTCCTGCCCTGGTTTACCAACATTGCAATAGTGATAAGTGACGCAAATTTGCTGTTTGAGATGTTAATGCTCTGGGCAAATTTTGCTATTTTTTAAGCAAAGTGAAACAACAACCTACATCAAGTGAAAGAACGGAGACCTGGTAGTATAGTAGACCTGGTTTCTTTTATAAAGTAATCAAACTGAAAAACCTGTGTTGGGTTAAGGTGCAAGTTACATTAAACAAAATGTAATTTCAAAGCAAGACATGTTTGTAGAGAAATTCATGTACGTACAGTAGTAAAACTGAAAATTTATTAAAGATCTCTAAAAAATAATCATTTTTATTATACAGAACTATGTCAAGTCTTACAGAAGTTTCCAGTAGCAAAACATTTGGTGGTTATCAAAAAGTTTTTAACCATAAAAGGTGACATTAATATACACGTTCTCTTTTAAAATCAAAAGACCAATTAGTAATTTAATAGATAAGTCAAGGTAAACTAATTTAATAAGAGTGCAAATTTATGTTGTTTTGTAGTAAAGAACTAGCTTGTAATATGAATTTTGCAATTTACATTCCACCACAAGCAAGCCATGGTAAAGTTCCAGTGTTATTTTGGTTGTCAGGTATATATATCTAACTTTTTGTAGTTATTGAAGCCAGAAGGGAAAGCAAAGTTTGCTTAATTTTTTGTCTTGTAATAATTAACCATAACTGAGATAAAAATTAGTTGTGACACATATATAATATGCAAGGTTTTTCTGGTTTGGATAAAATATTTTATTAACACTTTGTCCTGAATGGTTTTCCATAAGGATTTCAAAACATAGTGGATGGTTAATATCTATAAATAAGAAATGATTTATCACTTGGGTTGAAGCCATTCACTTTAAAATATTTTTTAAACAGCCAATTATAGAGAACGTTTTGCTGACATTTTGCATGGAGAGGTTTAAATGCTCTCAAAATGAGCTTATGTCCTAATGCCTTAAAAAAACACTTTTGTCTGATAATATAGGTTTAACATGCACAGAAGGAAATTTCATAACAAAGGCAGGATGTCAGAGAGTTGCATCAGAGCAAGGAGTTATTGTTGTTGCTCCTGATACAAGTCCACGTTAGTTGGAAATTACTAATTATATGTTAAAAGCAATGACTTTAGCATATTTTTTTATTTCTTAAGGTAATTGTAACATTGAGGGAGAGGATGATAGTTGGGATTTTGGAACAGGAGCAGGATTTTATGTTGATGCAACAGAAGAAAAATGGAAGAAACATTTTAGAATGTACTCTTATGTCACAAAAGAGGTTTATTTTTGGAGTTCATGATTAACAAAATGGCAAAGTTTATTGCATTTGGCTAGTTATTAAAAAGTTAACTGATTTTCATTTTTACCATCTCTTTGTTTTTTTTCTCATTATGCCTTGTTTGCAGATGTGTTTAATGAGTTTTTAGCAATTGCTTTTCACAGAACCTAATTTTATTGTTGTATTTAAGGCAGTTTTTATGAATTTCTATAGCTTCCTGCTCTTGTTAGCGCCAATTTCCCAGTTCTTGAAGGACACATGTCAATTTTTGGTCACAGGTTTTATGTTTAACAGCTTGAGATTTAAGTTAAAAAAAAATTTGACTAACGTGGTTTGTGCTTTATTTTTTTTCAGCATGGGCGGTCATGGTGCACTGATTGCTTTTCTAAAAAATCCTCAATTATTCAAGGTTAGCCATTTTTATTGGAAAACTTTGCGTCATATCGTTATGACATTTTAAATGTTTCTTAACATAAACTAGATTCAAAATGTACAAACAAGCTGTCAAATTTTTTTGCCAAGTGTTACGCTAGACCATCCCTGCAAGTCATTTTTTTGGTTCACTTGACATTGTGTGTCAATTAACAGTATCTAAAACAATTAATTTAATAATGAGCTGACCAGTAAGCCAATGAGATTTCTTCAAGGGAAGGCACGACAGTAATGAATACTAGTAGATCATCACGTGAATACTATTAGATCATCACGTGAATCCAAACAGTGATTGATTTAGATCACGGGTTAGAAACACTTGACAGAATGATTGTCGTTGTAAAGAAGCCATTTTTCGTGCTAAAATATTTTTTTTGTTAGTCAGTATCAGCGTTTGCCCCAATCTGTAATCCAATTAACTGTCCTTGGGGACAAAAAGCTTTCAAAGGATATCTTGGAAGCAATGAAGACTCGTGGAAGGTGGAATACATTCAATAAATATGAAAAAGTGTAGAGTTGAGAGCTGAATTTTATAATTTTGTTGCTAGACTTATGATGCTTCGGAATTAATAAAAAATTACGAAGGTCCAAAGCCGGAAATTCTAATTGACCAGGTATAATATTTGGTTTAGAATGAAGTTTGCGGATGAATTGATGAGTAAGTTGATTGTCTACTTGGTAGGGAGTTGCTGATAGTTTCTATCATTCAAAACAACTGCTTCCTGAGACATTTCAAGAATCGTGTAAACAAGCTGATTATCCTTTGAATATACGAATGCACAAGGTTAGAAAGTCATTTCTCCCCGGTTAACTCATTTAATCTTATTGTGTGTGGGCCAAACTAAAAATTTTATAGCAGTTATCATTCATGATCCATTACGAGCAAAATATTTCGGGACATAAAGCTAAATGATTTTCGCGTACTTGTCGTAAAGCTTGTTTAAATGGTCAGCTTGAGCCCAATAAACTTCTCATTTATTGCTATACGTACGACAAATTGTAACAAATCGTGATTTATTTTAAGTCGATTTTTACACTGAACAATTTTTTATTTTCTTATGTAGGAATATGATCATAGTTACTATTTTATCTCAACATTTGTAGAAGATCACGTAAAACATCATATGAAATTTCTCAAATCTTAGCAACGAAATCGTTTTTTGTGTATGTATGGTAAAAATAGTGATACAAGTGTAGTTTAAATTTAAATACGAAATATATTGTTGATGCGAAAAAAGATGTTGAAATATTCATCTTTATAAAAAAGCAGAATACATTGTCAAATTTACATGAATAGTCATAAGTTTTCGGTAAACGTACAAATTGTCAAGGAGGGAGAAATGGACTTGCTTACGTCATGAGTGTTAACCTTTAGTAACCTTAATTCGGAGCGCCTATTTCAATAATCAATTATAATACCTTAATAAAAACCATTAAAATCTGGAACTTCGTTTTCACCCAACGCGGTCTCGCCTTGTTTACAATCTGCAGAATGTCCTCATATTAGATGGTAAAAGTATAAAAGCAATCAGTTTCAAAGCATTGAATTCAAATTGCAGCCATTTTTGTCGATCAGATGAGAACCCGTTTGTATTTTGGTGTGTATAGCAAAGACAAAACTTGAAACGAAATTCTGCTACAATAGACTTGTCGTGAGCATCTGTTTTCGATGGTCGTTGGTGTTGAGTTAGAAAGATTGAACGATTCATTGGTAAAAGTTTGATCTCATCTTCTTCGTGATCATTAAGGTTCATGTTTTTAAATTCATAAAGTTGAAAAAGTACGAGATTTTTTCACAATGGCGCCAATGTCTTAACGTATTACACGTTCAATTTGTCAGTGTATGTCTACTGTAACCTGGTCAAGCTTTAATGATAAATATTCTTGGCTTTTTATGGAACATCACTTTCCCCATGTTTTACTTATACTTCTCTATAATGGATGACAAGTGAAAGGAAATATTTATGGCAAGTTATAAATTCACTGACGAATCAGTCCACTCTCAAACGAAGGACATACAAAAAAGTTAATTTCGCCACACATTTTTTAAAATTTCATATGGGCCATTTCCATTGGTCAGGAGGAGCTTCTGTTTGAAGTGGTTGCCATGGTTCCCATTCTTTCATTTTTTCAGCCAAAGTAAGTTCATCCTTTGCCTGGATTTCATGTTAGTAAATTAAAATACGATTAAGTTTAATGATAAAATACGATACATTGTTTACTGAACAACGTGCTTTGTTGTAAAGTAAATGGTTTGAACCCGGGAGTATCGTTACATGTTTGTAAATGTAGATCGTCCAGGTTGGTATAGTCCTGAGAAGGACTGTTTGTGTTGTTGTTGACTGACGTTTCGACAACCTTAGCGGTAGTCATCTTCAGAGTCGAAAATCAGTCAACAACAACAAAAACAGTCCTTCTTAGGACCATACCAACCTGGACGATGTACATTTACAATTATGTGCTTTGTTGTATAATGTACAACCGCCTAATCGTATAATGAACATTAATGCCCAACTTATTGCAATACAGTGGCGTTGCTAAGTTGCGTTGCACTTACGCTTTCTACGTTGTCAACTGAGTGGTAAAGTTTTTTGTTGCTTGAAAATGAAAAAAAAACAAACAATAATTCTAAAATAATTCAAAAGGGCAAGAAAGAACAAGAGATATTGTGGTGCTTGTCATGAACAACACTACATCATATCAGAGAACGTGACATCGTGAGCAAGCACACTCGTAGACTCAATCTTCTAGACACAAAAATACACAAATAGCATAAACTAAGTTTAAGGCTCATGAAAATACTGCAATTCTATGAGTATTATAATATGAAAACGTTAGAATCAATAATACAACTACATAACGTTGTAACACGAAGAATGTACAAATTCGCCAAGGTTTAACTGGAAAGTTCAAAAATTGAAACTATTTATGTTGTGATTAATGTTTCAGAAATTTCCTACAGCAGAGGCAACTTCGCTTTCAACTGACGTGGGACAAATTCTGATACCCCCTGGCAAAATAAGCTTTTAGCTTGTGCCCCCCTCCACCACTCGCAAAATCCTGGCGACGTCACTGTTGCAATAATATAAACTGCCATTGTAATTAGTAATATAAAATTCTCTTTTTTAGTTCTAATTACAATGGCAATTCATACTATAGCAATATGCTGGGCATTAATGTTCATTATAATATCATTTATTGACAAAATGGATCATCTAAAGTTCAATACCTTGCCATGATAGAAGGCCAGGTGGCTAATGGAGATTTTTAATGAGTTTTTAAAAGTGTTTATTGACAAGTTATGTTTATCTTCAGTTTAACTCATTTCCACCATGTTTGACGTACGAGTACTCATAGCAATAACAAAATGCATGTTGTATCGTTAATTCATATTTTTAACGATAAAAAGACAATGGTTGTATATTATGTACCTGCTGAATAACTTCTTCAATTTGACCACAGCCAATCTTCTTTTCAAGTTCTTCAATATTTCTCTCCTAAAAATAGACATGAGAATTAAGTTGAACCAAGGCTACGGAATGCAAACTATTCGATTTGTAATTAGAAAATTTGCAGCTAATTTGAAAAAAATATAAGATTATTTAACCACCAGATTTCCAAATTTTTCTTCATTACAAAATTCATTTCAAAATTAGAAATTCTTCCATAAATTGTAAATTGACATCACAAGCAATAATTAATAGTCTGAGTGTTTTCGACTAAATTAAAGGTACAAAAATATACAAAATGTTTCAATTTGTTCAGTATGCCAAAATACTGATAACGAAAAACACAATATTTGGTAACTTAAAACACAACATTTAAAAATCAATTATCGATATTTTGATAAAACTTAGGCAGCTGAAATACAGATAGACAGTCCACACAATCTTATACCAAAAGTTTATAATTTACAACTGTTAAAAATGGTGTTTGCTATTAGACACGTAAATTTTTAAGTCTCTTCCAATCCAAGTACATCTCTTTGATAGTTGAAAAGCATATACATGAAAAAACGTTGGCAAAGCCAAAAATCTCATTCTGGTAATTACTGTAAAAAATCAGGAGGACATGAAAAGTAGAAAGTTTTTATTATTCACAGACTATAAAAAACATAATTTAAGAAAAACATGACATTTATTATTTAAATTTTATTTAACGACATAAAACACAAAATCATTTTACCATTTCAACTAATTTCATTCGTTGTTTAGTCAAACTTTCTGTGGATGTTCTATAAACAGCTGAACTTGGCATGACAGACAAGACCTTTAGTGTTTGACCATACAACGACATCAGAGTCTACGTTTGAAAGAACAATGATTTATACAAAGATCAGGACAGGTTGCACAAAGAATAGCGCTATCCACTGGATAGCAAAATCTTTTGAATGTTAAAAAATCTCTTAAAAGCAGAAAATATACGATTTGAGCAAAGCATTAACTGAAATATAATATTGACTCTAAGATTACAAAATTTCTTTGTTATAAGGGAAAAAAATACACCCATTTTTAGAAGTTGGAAAATTTTACAATCCAATAAATGATATCAAGGATTCGTGCAATCGGCTCAAAAACATTAATTATCATCTAAGTTTACTAATGAGCCATGAATTAACCATAAAAGTAACATATATTTCAATGTTTAGTTTTTCATTTAATTTTAATTCTTGCATCATGAGGTGAACATCCATGGACTTTATTGAAAACAAAAATATTTTGAATAAAACCTATCAGAATGAGTGTATAGATATCATTGTGAATATTCAGGAGGGACTAGACTGTAAGTATTTACACAGTTGTGACGTCATTTGGCTCATCAAGTGTGTAAAAATTATTTTGTTATTTAAAATAATCAAATTAAATTTTATTGATAAAATTGGTTATTCCATATAAGCACGTGGTGTCAAGTTATTTTTTGATACAATGCAATGAAATCATAATGACAAAATTTTTTTATTTGATACAATCATGTTATATCAGCTGACATGATTTTAGTTAAATAATAGAATAAAATAAATAAAGCAAAATATTCTTGTTAGTAAGTTAAATAATAAAAACACATTTGGCACCCCATATTATTTATCCTTGACATTATATAAAGTTCAAGATTTTTTTGCGGTTTTTAATCAAAAATTTTCTCTGAAATATCTGTTTGATAGATGACTTTAGTTCCAAAAACCATCGAAGAGAATGTAGAGTGTTTTATTTTGCAAAACTTTATTGCAGACGCAATCTTCACACAGCTTGTGATGTACATATCAGAAATACACTATCTATAGTTAATTTTCCTTTAAGTATCAAAATATTGCTCATGGAGTCCTTTTACTATAAATGTTCATTTTGTGTGCCATTTTCTGTTGAACATTGCTCAAAAAGAACAAAGTAATTTTGTAAATAAAACAGTTTGTCATTCAAGTGTTGTTCATGTTTGTTTTTTGGCAGCTCAACAACAATACTTTAACCTGTTTTTGTAAGTGAAAAGTTAATAAAACTTAAATGAAACAAAAGTAATTTAAATACATGAATAATTTAAATACACACCTCTCTTGGTTGCTTGGCAACAGCAAGTCCAGTCAAACCAGTTGTCTGAAAACAAAAATTTTAAACATCTAAGCAAAAACTATTCATAATCCAAGTGGAATTTAAAAATTGACTACAAAAGATGTAACAAGATTATAATAAATGAAAATCTTGTATGCCTGAATTTCGTTTTTGAAATGCTTGAGAAATGGAACTTTTGAGCATCTGCTACTACTTTTTTTTGCTTTTTGCCACAATATGAACATATGTGCATCATATTAGCCAAATAATATTATACTTTTTTAAAATTTCCATGAATAGGATATACACTTTACTCAAAAGCATCATCAGAAATAAAACATTACAAACTTTCCAATTTGAGAGATAGGAACTTGGTAATGAAAAAAAATCAATTTGGAAAATATAAATATATATACTTCTTAGAACAGATCATTTCACACACAGACTGTGAGCCTGCGAGCAGACTTATTGTTACACAGAGAAAGTATTAAAATATTTGTAGTTAATTTCGAGGTCTACAACAAAATATTTATCTAATGTCAATAATTATGTGAGCTCAATTTCAAGCAGACTACATTCATTAAGAGTAACTCAATCAATAGTCATGAAACATGTATGATGTAAGAAGCACACCGAAGGACTGTAAAATTAAAAAGTGTAAATTATATAAACTAAATAAGTATTCTATTCAAGCAATTTGCCTAACTCAGGTGAAACATTTTCTTATTATGAGAATCCGCGTGTAATTTTTCTGTCAAAATAAACAAGAGAAATTTAAGACAAAAACACATTTAAGTAAAATTACCTTCTTCAAATACGGCACAACTTTCGCCATCTTTGATGCTTTTGATAGAAAACCTAATTGAAGTATGACTGTATAGAGTCATCCGCTGACCAGTAATAGATTTGGAGATTATTTCTGAAAATAATTTCTGAGAGTTTGATTTATGCTGAGTCAGTGTTATGTTGATCAAAAAGCAAATGCTAGCGTGGCCCAATAACAACCATCACAATGGTGATTATCTTGTGTCCATGCTTGTTTCACGTTTTCCTTTGTAAATTTTAAGAATTCAGCGAAAATGAAGATATACTTTCAGCTATCATTTTTTCTGTTCTTTCTGCAAGAACATTTTGTGCAAGTTATGTCAGATGTTGATGAAGAAAATATAAAGAATTATGGCCAAATACCGAGTCAGTTGGAACTTTGTATCTTTTTCTTCGTACTGCAGTAGTTTTTAAAATTATAGAAACTTGCAAAACATTGCCTGCGCAAGCCTACAACAGCAAGGAACATGTAGGAAAATTGTTATTGTCTGACATTTTGGTTTTTCATACTATTATTATCATCAGTATTTATTATTATTTATTTTAGCATATTTTTTGACTTATTGTATACTTAATGTTGGTGGTAGTATTTCAGAAATATTTTCAATGTATACATAGAGGTTGTGGAGTTGAATTCACCGCTTTTATAATTTTTTCTAAACATTAACACCATAATTTGGAACTTACATGATTTTTGTTATTTTCAATTTTATATTAGGTTCATTTTTTTGCATTTCTTAACCATGAAATTAGATCGGAGCTTATTTAAGCAAAAGCGAGCTGAGCAGATGATGGCAGTAGAAAGTATAATTAAAATGGAGAAGTATGAAAAACGGTATCAAATAATCAATATGATTTTTGAAAAAATTCTTAAGGTAAATTTTTCTTTTTATGTATTACTAGACCTTTTTATTCTGAGTGTTATATTCCTGTGACCAAGGAATGAAAAAAGTCGAAAATGTTTCCTCACACAAACTGTCTGCCTATTTAAATCGGGAGGGGAGGTGTGCATTATGGCGTTTTTTTAGTTACTTTGCTATGTTTGAAAGGTATATTCTCACCCTCCCTTCCTGTGTAAATAGCCATTTTATTTAGAAGCAATTTCTTAACTTTATTTGTCTAGTAGCTATATACTTATCTTATAGATAACATACGAGTTTGTAAGAGATAAAACAATGTTTAATGTAGGCAAGCATCTGCTACGTTTGCCTACTGCATCTCTCATTGGTGTGTGAGAATACAATTGTTTTTTTAATTGAGACTGTTCAAGAGGCAAAGAATGAAATTGTTACAAGTGGTTACATTGCTGGGGATGAATTTCCTGATGAACAAAAGCAAAAGGAAGGTAAATATATATTGACTGATGTGGTATACAATACCATTTTACCCAGATGTTAATAAATTGTTAAGCAAGCCTCAGCAATCCAAATATAATTACATTCTTCATTAACTTCTTTTTCCCAGCAATTGGAAACATTGTTGAAAACACAGCATTTTTGGGAGACATTGTATTGCGTTCACCAGACATTGCACATAAGGTGATAATTGTTATAGTTTGTTTATGTTTTTCTGTGTATTTAACACATTGAATAACTGTTCAAATAAAAAAATAATCAAATGTAATTCATTATATGTAGTTGTTTGCAAGAAACAAAGAATGGAAGTTACTAACTTTATGGAGTTTAAGTTTTACCAACAATACAAGAATATATGATGATACAGATAGCAAACTACTACACTTGGTAAGAAACTATCATCAATAGAGTTGCCATCAACTCACAGTGAACTTTTTACTTTTTCAATAGATGGCACAAGAACTGAATCTCATTCCTCGTGATGCAAATTATTTCAACCCATTTTCTGACAAAGCTAAAATAAAGGTAAAGTACAATAGTAAACTAAAACAACAGGATTTGGCTGGAAAAGTAAAAGAAAATAAAAATTACACAAGGGAAAATTACAAAGCAAATTTATAAATAAACAGAATATATTATCAGGAAATGTATTAAAAAATTAATAACAGTCTTTATTTGTAACATAAGGTAACATTGGAGATATTCTGTGGTGTATAATTCCCACCTTACTAAATTGTTCTGTTCTTCACTAAATGTGAAAACAAAAGATTCCTAAAGAAATGAATAATGTTAAAGTTTTAATCCAAAACTTGAAAACTGGATAATCAATTAAAATATTATAATGGTGGTGTATTTTGGTGAATTGCAGAACAGTGAGTATGAAAGAAAAACACAAAAAGAAACTCAAAATTCGTCGAAGCATGAAACTAAACGAGATAAAAAGAAAAAGAAATCAAAAGGACCAAGACTCAGTCATGCCGAACTATGACGATCTAAACATAAATAAGTATCTACAGCTATCAAGAAATATTTTTTTTGCCCCCACCAGCACAAAATAAACCATTTGTACAGAATTAACTTTTATCCAATGCCAATTTAGATCGGCAACAAAAGAGCAACACTCGTACGTAAATTATAAACTGTATTAGGTTTCTTTGAAATACATTGTTTTCTACGAATTATAATTCGAATATAGAAATAATATTATAAGCCTGCAAATTATCCAGCTTCCAACATTCCTGAATGAAACAATCAACATACACTATTGTATTTAAATTACATGTAGTTGACAATGAGTCCGTGATTATTGCATTAGTATGATTTCAATTGGAAAGTAGTAACTTTTGAATAAGAAGCTTTTATGAAAAGTTTTTATACAATCTTCTTTTTCTCTATTTGTGGCTGTAATATTAACGTAACAAGTATTAAAAATAATGCAGGGTAGTTTAAGATTACAATTCTTTTCATGATAGATTTCTGAAGAAAAAAACTAAAAGTCGCGTTTATGGCTTTCTATCACCCATTCACTTAGTAAAACCTTAAAGACGTAAGCTGTGGTTAAAATTTTCTCACTGAGTCTTCAGATCCATTGAGTTCTATAATAACTGGAGCGGCTATCTCAAGCGCGGCCTTAGATATCTGATGTCGCCAAAAAACAATTTTGCGGACATTCTTGTGGATACATCACGTCGTTACCATTTATTCATTTAATCATTTTGACGAAAACTTCTCTATTAAAAAAGCCTTGCATACAAGCTGAATTTACATTTGAAATGCTTGCACAAAATTTACATATAAAAATTTTCGTTTTATATAAACTATAAAAATAAAGCTGTACCTATATTAGAACACACATATGAAATATAGTAACTTTTGAAATATGTAAAATGAAAATATTTTGACCTGAAAATTTGCTGGTGAAAAGCGCTTTCGAAATATGGTATCTTGCAAATAACCTCACTCTTTTGCTTGCATTTAAAGTTCAAGAATTAGCAGTTTTTCCTTTCTCGTCTTAAAATTTTCCGTGCTGAAATATTGATAATAACTTCTTTACATGTTTGTATATGATGATCGTCCAGGTTGGTATAGTCCTGAGAAGGACTGTTTTTGTTGTTGTTGACTGACGTTTCGACAACCTTAGCGGTAGTCATCTTTTGACTCTGAACATCGTCAGTGAACAACGTCAGTCAACAACAAGAAAAACAGTCCTTCTCAGAACTATACCAACCTGGACGATCTACATTTACAAACATGTAACGATACTCCCGGGCTCATACCATTTACTTTATTACAATAATTTCTTTGCTGGTTTTTTTGTTCATTTGGTAATTTCTTCATGCTCTATTTCTTTGGACGTTCATTTGAGCTTAATATCCTTTGATCTCTGTGATTTGGAAACTGTGGTGTAGTTGATAGATAAAGAATCCTATGATTGTTTCAAGAAGTTGTTATATTATATTCTGAGAATAAGCTTAAGAACTTCGTCTTGTCTTCTTTCAAAATTTAACGTGGAAAACAAAAAACTTTCCCGAGAGAAAGCTTTCAATCGCGAGATAGAGTGAAATTTGACCAGTACAAATTCTAATATCGTTCCTGAATTACCAACGACTCTGCTGGTATTCTTGGTGTTTCTTCGCAAAATGTATTCAATGAGATTAATTGTTTACGCTAGAAAATTTGCTGTATGTAAATAGCAAATCTCTTTTTTCAAAAAAGTTTTACAAGAAAAAATGTTGAACAACGCTCGTCTTTGCCCTTTGACCTACACTAAAGTCTTGATCTTATGACCATCAACTTGCGGTATAAAATTACTTTATCACTCAGTTACAATAATTGACATAACAACGAGATGAATTTTGAAGTATTTCTTTTATTGAACTTATTGCCATTGGCAAGAGGAGGGAAACAGCCAAATATTTTGTTTATACTTGCGGATGATTATGGTTTTAATGACGTTGGTTATCATGGTTCCAAGATTAAGACACCAGTACTTGATAAACTCGCAAAAGAAGGTGTCATTCTTGAGAAATATTATGTTCAACCAATTTGTACGCCAACAAGATCAACAATACTGACGGGAAGATATCCAATTCATACTGGTTTACAACACGGTGTAATCAATCCTGCGCAACCGAACTCTATTCCTCTTGATGAAACAATTGTCGCAGAGAAATTAAAACAAAGTGGCTACAAGACTCATATAGTCGGCAAATGGCATAATGGTTTTTATAAAAAAGAATGTATGCCAACATACAGAGGTTTCGATACATTTTTTGGATATCTTACAGGAGCTGAAGATTATTATACCCACGTTTCAAGTGATCGTGTTCGCATAAATAAATCATCATATGCACAATTCTATGGTTATGATTTGCGTAGAAATGAATCAGTAAGTACAAAAGAAAAAGGTGAATACTCTACCTTTATGTTTACAAAAGAAACTCAAAAGATCATCAGGAATCATAATACTAGTTCTCCTATGTTCTTATACTTGGCATTTCAAGCTGTTCATTCTCCTTTGCAAGTCCCAGAACAATATATCAAACCATATGAAGGGATTAAAGACACCAACAGACGTATTTATGCTGGAATGGTGTCAGCTATGGATGAAGCCATAGGCAATATAACACAAACACTCAAAGAAAAAGGAATTTGGAACAACACTATCTTGATATTTAGCACTGATAATGGTGGTCAAGTGTACCGAGGAGGAAATAACTGGCCATTAAGGGGTTGGAAGGGATCATTATGGGAAGGAGGTATACGTGGAGTGGGATTTGTCAACAGTCCTTTGTTAGCAAAACCAAAAAGAGTCTCATATGAAATGATTCATGTTTCTGATTGGTTTCCAACATTGGTAAAGTTAGCTGGAGGTGATTTAAATGGCACCAAGCCTTTAGATGGTTTTGATGTTTGGGAAACCATCAACACAGGTGAGCTTTCCCCAAGGAATGAAATCTTGCATAATATTGATTCAGTGCCTCCATGGTATCATAAATCCTTTGAATATGGTGATAAATGGTGCCCACAAGCAGCGGTACGTGTTGGAGACTGGAAACTACTTAAAGGTTGCCCAAGAAAGTCTGGTTGGTTTCCACCACCAAATTCAAATCTTCATTTGAACTCACAAACAGATTCTAGCAACAAGACTAAGAATTTGTTTTTGTTCAACATAGCAGAAGATCCAGAAGAACGACATGAACTATCTTCAAAGTTTCCAGAAAAAGTTAAGGAGTTATTGGCCAAGCTTCAAGAATACAATAATACTGCAGTACCTGTGAAATACCCTAAACAAGATCTTGCCTCAAATCCGGCATTCTTTAATGGTGTGTGGTCACCTTGGATTGTTTCCAAACATGATGATGCTGAAGGTAAAATAGTATAATGAACTAAAAAAAAGATTTGCCTTGAAATGTAAAAGAAAAGAAAAATTTCACGAGGGAACATTATAAAGCATTTATTTTCAATATGGTAAATTAATCAAATTTACGAATAAACAGATATATTGTTGGGAAATGCATTAAAAAATTTAATACCAGTCTTTATTTGTAACGTAAGGTAACATTGGAGATATTCTCTGGTGTATATTTCCCACCTTACAAAATTTTTCTGTTCTTCACTAAATGTGAAAACAAAAGATTCTTAAAGGAATGAATAATGTTTTAATCCAAAACTAGAAAACTGGATAGCCAATTAAATATATTATAATGGTGTTATATTACGGTGAATTGCAGAACAGTGAGTATGAAAAAAAACACAAAAAGAAACTCAAAATTTATCGAAGCATGAAACTAAACGAGATAAAAAGAAAAATTGTTATATGCTGTGCGGTGTTTCAAATTAAATGAAGATATGATCTTCGCACTTTGCTGGACAATTTAAGCAATTGTCCCATGAACCTGAAAAATTCAGGTGACTCAACGGGATCCCGTTTTCGTGATCCAACGAGTCACCTGAATTTTTCAGGTTTATGAGACAATTGCTTAAATTGTCCAGCAAAGTGCGAAGATCATATCTTCATTTAATAGAAAGAAAAAGAAATCAAAAGGACCAAGACTCAGTCATGCCGAACTATGACGATCTGAACATTAATAAGTATCTACAGCTATCAAGAAATATTTTTCTTGCCTCCACCGCAAAAAAGAAACCATTTGTAAAGAATTAACTTTTATCCAATGCCAATTTAGATCTGTAACAAAAGAGCAACACTCGTACGTAAATTATAAACTGTATTAGGTTTTTTGAAATGCATTGTTTTCTACGAATTATAACTCGAATATAGAAATAATGTTATAAGCCTGCAAATTATCCAGTTGCCAACATTGCTGAAGGAAAAAATCAACATTCACAATTGTATTTAAATTATCCAGGGTGTATAAAAAAAGTAGACTCTTTTAAAAAGTTCTTTAAAACAATACGTGCGTGGAATAAGCGAAAACTTTTAGTTATTCTAAATACTTTAACGTTCGCTGGTACAGCTGGTAATAAAATGAAAGACTTTTTCCAGTAAAAAACTGATGCTAAAAGTCCTTCTAAACAAGCATTGCACACGAAAAATACCCAGCGTAAAAAGTATTTAAACATACTGATTCAAAATATGGTCTTTGTTGTTAAAGCTACAAAAAATTTAAAGTACTGTTTCATCATTTCAAATAAATTATATACAAGTCAGAAATTTGCATAAATTACAATGCTGTTATGAAGAGTTTTTATTTAATCTTCTTTTTCTCTATTTGTGGCCGTAATATTAACGTAACAAGTATTAAAAATAATTCAACGAAATTTAAGATTACAATTTTTTTCATGGTAGATTTCTGAAGAAAAAGAAACTAAAAGTCGCGTTTATGGCTGATTATCACCCATTCACTTAGTAAAACCTTAAAGACGTAAGCTGTGGTTAAAATTTTCTCACTGAGCTTCAGATCATGCAGCCAGACGCTGCTTGGTACTTGTAGCGTACCTACTTTTATTTCCTATGTGACAATTTTCCGGACTTTCTTGTGGATACACACGTCGTTACTATATATTCATTTAATCATTTTGACGAAAACTTCTCTATTAAAAAAGCCTTGCATACAAGCTCAACTTACATTTGAAATGCTTGCACAAAATTTACATATAAAAATTTTCGTTTTAGATTTACTATAAAAATAAAGCTGTACCTACCTTAGAACACACATATAAAAAATAGTAACATTTGAAACATGTAAAATGAAAATATTTTGACCTAAAAATTTGCTGGTGAAAAGCGCTTTCGAAATATGGTATCTTGCTAATAACCTCACTCTTTTGCTTGCATATAAAGTTCAAGAATTAGCAGTTTTTCCTTTCTTGTCTTAAATTTGTCCGTGCTGAAATATTGATAATCATTTCTTTGCTGGTTTTTTATTCATTTGGTAATTTCTTCATGTTCTATTTCTTTGGACGTTCATTTGAGCTTAATATCCTTTGTTCTCTGTGATTTGGAAATTGTGTTGTAGTTGATAGATGAAGGACCCTATGATTGTTTCAGGAAGTTGTTACATTATATTTTGAGAACAAGCTTGAGAGCTTCGTCTTGTCTTCTTTCAAAATTTATCGTGGAAACCAAAAATTTTCCCGAGAGAAAGCTTTCAATCACGAGATGAAAGTTGACCAGTACAAATTCTAATATCGTTCCTGAATTACCAACGACTCTGCTGGTGTTCTTGGTGTTTCTTAACGAAACATATTCAATGAAATTAATGATTTACGCTAGACAATTTGCTGTATGTACATAGCAAATCTGCTTTTTCAAAAAAGTTTTACAAGAAAAAATGTTGAACAACGCTCGTCTTTGTCCTTTGACCTACACTACATTCTTGATCTTATGACCATCAACTTGCGGTATAAGATTACTTTATCACTCAGTTACAATAATTGACAAAACAACGAGATGAATTTTGAAGTATTTCTTTTATTAAACTTATTGCCTTTGGCAAGAGGAGGTAAACAGCCAAATATTTTGTTTATATTTGCTGATGATTATGGTTTTAACGATGTTGGTTATCATGGTTCCGAGATTAAGACACCAGTACTTGATAAACTTGCAAAAGAAGGTGTCATTCTTGAGAAATATTATGTTCAACCAATTTGTACGCCAACAAGATCAACAATGTTGACGGGAAGATATCAAATTCATACTGGTTTACAACACGGTGTAATCAATCCTGCGCAACCAAACTCTATTCCTCTTGATGAAACAATTGTCGCAGAGAAATTAAAACAAAATGGTTACAAGACTCATATAGTCGGCAAATGGCATAATGGTTTTTATAAAAAAGAATGTATGCCAACATACAGAGGTTTCGATACATTTTTTGGATATCTTACAGGAGCTGAAGATTATTATACCCACGTTGCAAAAGATCGTGTTCGCATAAATAAATCATCATATGCACAATTCTATGGTTATGATTTGCGTAGAAATGAATCAGTAAGTACAAAAGAAAAAGGTGAATATTCCACATTTATATTTACAAAAGAAACTCAAAAGATCATCAGGAATCATGATACAAGTTCTCCTATGTTCTTATACTTGGCATTTCAAGCTGTTCATTCTCCTTTGCAAGTCCCAGAACAATATATCAAACCATATGAAGGGATTAAAGACACCAACAGACGTATTTATGCTGGAATGGTGTCAGCTATGGATGAAGCCATAGGCAACATAACACAAACACTCAAAGAAAAAGGAATTTGGAACAACACTATCTTGATATTTAGCACTGATAATGGTGGTCAAGTGTATCAAGGAGGAAATAACTGGCCATTAAGGGGTTGGAAGGGATCATTATGGGAAGGAGGTATACGTGGAGTGGGATTTGTCAACAGTCCTTTGTTAGCAAAACCAAAAAGAGTCTCGTATGAAATGATTCATGTTTCTGATTGGTTTCCAACATTGGTAAAGTTAGCTGGAGGTGATTTAAATGGCACCAAACCTTTAGATGGTTTTGATGTTTGGGAAACCATCAACACAGGCGAGCCTTCCCCAAGGAATGAAATCTTGCATAATATTGATCCAGTTAAGACTCCATGGTATCGTAAAGCCTGGGAATATGGTCATAAATGGTGTCCACAAGCTGCGTTACGTGTTGGAGACTGGAAACTACTTAAAGGTTGTCCAGGAAAGTCTGGTTGGTTTCCACCACCAAATTCAAATGTTCATTTGAACTCACAAACAGATTCTAGTAACAAGACTAAGAATTTGTTTTTGTTCAACATAGCAGAAGATCCAGAAGAACGACATGAACTATCTTCAAAGTTTCCAGAAAAAGTTAAGGAGTTATTGGCCAAGCTTCAAGAATACAATAATACTGCAGTACCTGTGAAATACCCTAAACAAGATCTTGCCTCAAATCCTGCATTCTTTAATGGTGTCTGGTCACCTTGGATTGTTTCCAAACACGATGATGCAACTGCATAATTGCTGTAATTTGGTCTTCTATATTCAAAGCCATCATCAGAGAATATATTTAATATTATTCCTTAGGAATAAGATTTGGTCTTCTGTTATGGCTAAGATTTCTTTTAAATTTTCTCGTAATATTTAATGTAATTTACGCCAAAAGTTTCTTTTGTTGCATCAACATCAGTTTACATTTTGGCAATAATTGCAGTGAGTGCGTGTATTTTTTGATGTATAACCAGTAGAGTGTATAGCCTGCACAGTGTATAGCCTGCACAGTGTATAGCCTGCACAGTGTATAGCCTGCACAGTGTATAACCTGAAGCTATAATCCTTCTCTTCAGCTCCATTAATAAGTCGCATTATTTTAAATCAAAAAGAATAACATATATACTCTACTGAGAAGGCACTGCTTAAAAATGAGTAATTATCAATTGTTTGACAATAGTTTGGCTGTTAAAAACCAATTCTTTCTGAGATGAACTCAAAATTTACGACCACATTTCTTTTCATTTGTTGATCAATTTCCCAAAACAAAAAAAACTTTATTTAATCAGTTTATTTTTCATACGATATATTTTAATCGCCATATAAAATTACATGTAACAGAATATAAACATTCCTTGATACAAAATAACGTAAAATTATACATTTCTCAGTTTATTATTTAACTTTTAAAGAGAGAGTTGTTCACATTTTATCTTTAGCAAGCTTCGTACAGACCAATTTAATGGCACGAGTTCAACTTTATCGCCATGATCGATAGGTTTCTTAAAGTGACAACCTGCCACTTGTTTTTGAAATTCTGTCAAACCTACCTCACGAATTTTAGTTCTTTTGAGCAATCTTATAACATTATGTCGAGGTTTTTTTAAAGCTGTTTGCAAGTCATTCAATGTCACATAGTTTTTACGTCTAAAAATAGACATTTATGCTGAAGAAATGGGACTGAAGAGATAAAATTAACAATTGAAATACTTACCCTATCACAATACCATCCTTAACCACTGGAAGATTATATGTAGGTAAATGAGGAGAATCACTCCATTCAAATTCCACGGTGTTGTTTGGCTTTACGTCAGATATACCACTAAAGACGTCTTCTACAGTTTTGCTATCTTTGTCTGAAATATGTACAAGTTACATACATTATTATTTGAGCAGAGAAAACAAAGTAAACACAATAGCATCGAAATATGAATTTAGGGAGGAATGATCAGCCCTTCTCGCCTTCGTTCTAGAGGGTAAAGATGAGCCTCAATTTCCCTTCAAATTTCATGGTGCACTTTCCAAAAATCTCCCAATCATAACAAAAAATTAACAGAATTCAACAAACAAAAGATCGAACATGCTCGCATAGTAACACATGGAGTAACACTGCGGTAACAAATTATAGCAATTCACAAGATGTGACAAAAGAATGAAGAACATTTACACAAACGTAGCTACTGTTACCTAGTAGAGAACAAGAACCCTCGAACTCCCATCGATTCTATAAGCAAGAAAAATTGCATTTTATAAAAAAATGAAAAAACATGTGAGAAAATTGCAAACACACAACATTTATGGTAAATATTAAAGACTCGTATCATCTTACTTCATAATCGAGAGAAGCAACCTCGTTTCTTTCATCATTCAAATATAAGTCCCCAATACATCCTGACAATATAAGAAGTATTTTTTTAGTTCACATATTTATACAGTCGTACAATAATAAACACAAGAAATGGTTCACCTTTCAGATAGTCTTTGGTTTCTGGACGTTTAGCACAGTCAAGTAAAGTACGACCAGAGTAAGTAGTAATAAAAGGATCAGCATCAAAAGATAGTAAAAGTCGAAGTGTCTCGATGCACCCGTTGTCAGCAGCGTCATGAAGTGGTCTGAACAAAAATAAACATTTCATACTTGAAGTAAAAAACGAAAACCGAAAATTATTATTTTTAACTATTTACAATGGCATTTTACTCATGAAGAAGCAGCTGGAATGGGGGTATCATGTTGCGACTTGTTGTAGGGGTAAGTTAAAGTCAACTACATCACTGTATCGAGGGCTATTATCACTGTATCTTTAGTTCAATAGAAACTGAGAAATATGTTAAACACATATTACGCTATACAATACCTATTTAAATTCTAACATATATAATACGATACCTATTTAAATTTTAATGTATATAAAACGATACCTAATTAAATTCTAACGTATATAATACGATACCTATTTAAATTTTAATGTATATAAAACGATACCTATTTAAATTCTAATTCATATAATACGATACCTAATTAAATTCTAATGTATATAATACAATACCTATTTAAATTCTAATGTATATAAAACGATAGCTATTTAAATTCTAATGTATATAAAACGATAGCTATTTAAATTCTAATGTATATAATACGATAGCTATTTAAATTCTAATGTATATAATACGATACCTATTTAAATTCTAATGTATATAAAACGATAGCTCTTTAAATTCTAATGTATATAAAACGATACCTGTTTAAATTCTAATGTATATAATACGATGCCTAATTAAATTCTAATGAATATAATACAATACCTAATTAAATTCTAATGTATATAATACAATACCTATTTAAATTCTAATGTATATAATACGATACCTATTTAAATTCTAATGTATATAATACGATACCTAATTAAATTCTAATGTATAAATACGATACCTAATTCCGTCATTTGAACAAGCATTGACATCAGCATTATACTTGACTAGAACTCTGACAACATCGGAATGACCACGTGAACATGCTTCGTGTAACGGTGTCCAACCAGCATTATCTTTTGCATTACTGTCGCTTCCCTGTTGAATACAGTGATAGACTGTCTCCTAAAATAAAAAAATTCATCAATAGGGACAAAAATGACTAAAAAAAATGATGCACGCAACAAATATTAAAACGTATTTATCAGTACAAATGATAACACAATTTTACTTACATCGTAACCAAGTCTGGAGGCCTTATGCAAAACTGTTTCACCAGTGTTTCTGTTTACAGTTAAATTGCGCTTCTCTATATACACAAAAAGTAATATTAAAAAAGTGTCAAAAAAGGTTTAAAATAACTGAAATACTGAATATGTCGAGTCTCTAGGTTTTACAGACAACGCCCGGTGTACATGCTTGTAAAACAAATTTATAGGCATTCAAGGATAGTGCAAAGTTTCAAAATAACACTGCCTTTTAACTACAATCGAATCAAGCACGTGTAAAATCAACCATAAAATTTTTCTTTTCTTTTTATTCATGTATCATTAAGCAAACATCCATTGACTTCATGACAAATAAAAACTCAATCACAAGCTGTAGTCTAAACAATCACATGTTGTCTTGCTCTCCACGTTTTGCATGTAAGCGATTTTCTTTTTGTCCAATGATGTAATGTCTATAGTTGTGTATTGTCTACTTTACTTTTACGTATAGAGGAAATATGCCCGGATGTAAACGGTCATTAGGGTAATGAGTTTGTTTAAAACAAATGTACTGGAGAAGACACTGACAGACAACATTCAAACAAAATATGATTAAAAACATGAGCAATCCATAAAGCAAAAATAGTTCTGTTGAGATACCTCTGTTCTCAAACTGCTCAGCATCCTTGAATTTTTCATCCAACTAGAAAGAATATTGTTTAACGTTTTATTCAACAATTTTCCAAAGCATTTACATAACATTATTTGAAATTCTTTTACACTGACAAAATAAAATGGCAACATCACTCCCACCCCACCCCCCCCAAGAAAAATCCTTACCTCCAATATATCTCATTCTTTTCTCTACATCAAAATTCCTATGTCTTTACATGTTGTCATGTAGAGTATATACAAACCTCTTGTTTTAACATTCCTTGTTTACGAAGACTGCTTTTAACTAAATCTCGCATTTCGTCATCTTTCGCGACAATATCTTGTTTCACAGCTTTATTTCCAACAGTTTCAATTACCAATAAAGGAATATCTTTCACAGTCTTCTTTGGAGAACATGAAGCAGGAAGCTCGTCTTCTTCTGTCAACAGATATATACTTTTTCATTAATAACAACTTTCGAGGAAAGGAAAAATTACTAAAAGTTTGGAATTTTAAAGTGAGCTATAGGTGACAGTGATGTCTGTACGATATTTCTTATCCTTTCTCATTTTTATCCTCTGAAGATGTGATGAAGTATATTTAAAAAACATAATCTACAATTCTTAAACAACATACTTGCGACACTACTCGAGTCAGGTTTTATTGGTTCAATTTTTTTGCTACGAGTTCTTGATCCAAGAACCACAGGTGAAAAATCCTAAAAATGAAACAAATTTACGTTCATACATACTCAATGTTTTTAATATTTTCATATGTTGCAAAATGACGGTGATAACGTCATACCGAGCATTAAAATCAACTTTCTCTCAGCAAAGCAATGAAATCTGATGCAAATACAGCACAAACAACACAGTACCTTAAATCCATTGTAAGATGGTACTAACATGTACGTTTTCACTCGATGTCTTTCCCCACTAGCTTCTAAAACAAACAAAACAGCCATACAAGAGTTAAAGATGCAGTTTTTTATGGTCGAATGAGCTACTGCTAACCTGATTGTTTGGGCTGTGGCTTTGCCTGCTTTGGTGAATTTTTTACAATCTTTATGCAATGATTACTTTTGACAGGAGGGGGAGTTTCATGATGATTATTTTTGACAGGAGGAGAACTTTCAATATGTTTACTTTTAACAGGAGGGGGAGTTTCTTTTTCACCATCTAAAATAGGACAAATTAAGAATTCAAAGAAGAAAGTTTCCATACACAAATTACATTCTTAAACTATAATTTTACCAGATTTTGTCTCCAACTTCTTTGTCAAGACTTTCTAAATGTAAAATTACGGTTTATGGGTAAATTGAAAAGGACAACAAAGTTGAAAACGTAGACAATACAAAAAATGAACATAAAACACTATAGCCCACGTGAAAACTCAGTACGTGTAATTTTCTCAACAGTTTTTAATGCACGTTCTGTTTGAAACATTTGGCTGAACAAATGCACAACTTAAAATGTTCATGTTGGTATCAATACTTCTAAAATCTGCAAAGTACAATTGGTATTTCCCTATCTAATATTTAATCAATCACAATATAACTCAAACATACACGCGCTTCAAACCTTTTTCACGATTTTTTTCTTCGAGACTTCAGTCTCTTCTGGTGATTTTGTCAAATCCAAATTTTTCTCTTTCTTCTTATTTTTTAATCCGTCAGTTTTATTTTCAATATCTTGACGAAAAATTTTAAAGTTTAATGTAATTTTTAATTATCAATGTTGTCTTTCACTTATGTTACAACACACCGTGTTTCTCCACAGCAACCTCATTTTTTATAAGTTCCTTCTCCTTCTTAGTACATGGAATGCAATTCTATAAAGGAAAACAAAAAATGTAAGTCATCTTCAAATTTTGGAGTTACAACCAAGCATGCCTAACGATAACATAAACAAAATAGTACAAAGTAGTTTTAATGTGAAAGTTTTGGTTCATGAAAGAACACGAGTTAGGAAATCTTCTAAAACACCTCAGCAACAAGCTTTCTCCGTTGTTGTTTTCGTATTTTCAAAGGCACATCTTCCTCATCCACTAAAAAATTAAAAAGCATCCAAAATAAAACAAATCGTAACCTGTATTTTACACACGTAAACTATGTGTATTATAGATTTATAGCGCAACGAGTTTGAACACGATATTACCTCCAACAGAAACTTTTCGCTTACGTTGGGTGTCACATGACTTCTTAGCCTGTTTATAAAATTCATTGATATTAAACCAAAAAACGAATGATTAGTGTTCATATAGAAATAATATTGATTTCATTGCAAAACATGAATTGCAAATATTTGATTTTTTTATTACTTACAAGTTTGAAGATAAAACACTGAACATTAAATTTCACAATACACGAATTATTGTAATTTCAGCCCTTATTTACTCGTGTAATCATCCAGTAATGTATGATTTGATCTTGTATGGTTTATTCAATAAATCTTGTTGTTTGAAGCAGCCAAGAAATATCTCACCTGATTGTTACTTTCATTGTTTGATTTGTCACTTTCACAAACTGATTCCTTTCTTGTTTGTTTCTCTTCAAGTTCTTTAAACATCATGAGCGCTCGTTGCAATGCTCTTTCTTCACGTGTTAATAATGCAGGATCACGTGTTAACAAATCAGGATCATCAACTGTTTCTTCTTTTGTTTCTATGCCAGAATTATCATCATCCATGATGTCAGTTCCTGTCTTTGCTTTCTTCAACAACGAACTTTTATCGTGATTGTCTTTAAAATTTGAATTTTGTTCTTGTTTACTTGAGTTAAACGTTTTTGATGATGGTGAGACATGTTTTCCTTCTTTCTCAAAGCTTTTATCTTCACTTTTTCGACGTCGCTTAGTTACCTTTTCCAACAACTTTGCTTTTTCTGTTTGCTGTCTTTTTCGACTGCTTACCCTCACATCTTTACTCGTAGAACAGATTCCGTTTGTAGTTTCCGTACTACGCAACGAATTATCAATTGATCCAGAAAGTGTATTTGTACTTTCTGACATTTTACTATTTAATAATTCAATTTTTTCATCATATGTTGTTTTTCGATGAGAAATTTGTGACGAGAGAGTTTTCCCCTTTAGACCTTTTGTCTTTTGGTCTCCTAAAACTCTTTTTTTAACGTTCTTCTTAGGAGTCTGTCCGACACACTTATCAATTTTTGGATTTGAAATCACGGATGCAGATGTTGATGTTGGCGTCAAGACAAATGAAGCAGGTACGAGTCTGACCTGAGTATTCTCAGGAATAATCGATGTTTCATCAACAACTGTTGTGACGTGTGCAGTTTGATTTCCAGCAAAGTTCACGACCATTTCACGTGGTTTGTTACGACAAACGGACTCCGTGGTGACAACACTATCAAGTCCAGGTATTTTTACACAAGTGTTTTGAGGATTACTGACAACTTTACAGTTGTTATTAGGATAAGGTAAATTGTATTGTAAAGTAATCAATGGAGTATCAGTTTTCGTTTTTGGTGGTAAGGATAACTTGGTACCAGATCCCTCTTTTTTTGAGCTTGACACAGTACAAGCATTCAATGGTTTCAATTGTAATTGATTATTTGAAACATTCAAATTTTGTGTGAGGTAAAACGGTCCTCCAGCTTTCGTTATAAGAAGAAGTTTAGGTTGAGTAGACTTTGATGTTGTTTGAATATTAGTGAATTGTTGAGAAGACAAATCGCCTTTAATGATAAAACCAGGAGGAAGTTTATTTAATACAATAGGTGCTTTTACACCGACTTTAGGTGGGCTAGTTGGCAAAATAATTTGTTTTTGTACAGGAACATTTTTATTGGGTTGAACATTCTTGTCCACTGTCTGAAAATTTTTGACAGCATTTTTGGGAGCATCCGTCTTTTTTTCGTTAAGTTTTACAACAGGTTGTTGAAACTTATCCTCCAACTCGGGTGGTTCATCCCTTATTCTGCACATACTAACAAAAGATGCCGTATCATTGTCAACACGATTTTTTATTCTTGAAATATCGTCAAACTTTGAACTGTGTTGAACAACTTTATTATCCAGCTTTACTGAAGTTCCTTTCATTGTAAGTTGTTCAGTATTCCCATGAACATTAGCATTATTACCTGGCGTACAAAAATCTTTCCGTTCGTTGTTCTTTAAGTTCTGCTCGTTCAATGTCACCGAGTCAACTTTTGTTTGGACTTCGGACGGGGAAGAAAATTCATTCGGTTTTGATGCAGTTGTTTTTAACTGTGCAACTTGACTAACTTTCTTTGTAAGATTTGTTATGATGTCTTCAACACGAATTTTTTTGTTTTTCATTTTTGAAGCTCTTCTTGGGGTGGTCCATCCATCTTCAATCTTATCAACTACCAATGGATAACATGAAATTTATGTAAACTACACTTACATCATTCACTATACCTAAATATTGAAATGTGTAGGGGATAATTTGTGTCCATCCACGTATTTCATGAAAGGCAGGTTTAAGGAGCTAATATTCTAAAAAGTGCTGAGCAAATGCAGACCTTGTGGTCAGCTGAGAAATCTTTACAATTTGATTTTGTTCAGTTTAATACTCAAAGTATAGTACAATCAAGTAATAAAACACACAAAACGAAGACTTTAACTTATATAAGAACCAAGGAACGATTGCTGGCAATCTTTGTAAGCTATTAATTCTTGTACAATGTAAGTAACATTAAAATGATAACTAACGATTTTGCAAGTAAATAATATGACATGACGATAATATTTTTGCTTCATGTTAACACAAAGGTACGTTTTACCGACGAGTAGACAATGTGTTTTATTAATTACTACTTGTTATTAATACCCACCACATTTCCTACGATTCTCAATGGTTTTTTTTTTGTTTTTTTTTTCCGTTGAGTCACCTGAATTTTTCAGGTTCATGAGACAATTGCTTAAATTGTCCAGCAAAGTGCGAAGATCATATCTTCATTTAATACGATTCTCAATCTTATGCACACAGCAAAAATGGGTATATTGAATAATGTATACTACCTTTGTGAGATTTTATCGTGGAATTTTTTATTGGTTCGGACTGACTGCTCGTTTGATTCACAGGAAGGGCGATAGTTTCCATTTTATTTTATTTTCTACCGGTGTTTTTCTTTCTAATCTAAAAAACGTTGTTCACTTTTATAAACTTGTGATTATCAAAAAATCAATAACTTTATTTCAAGAACTATCTTACACTCAGTAGTACAAATGACGATTTTTTAGTGGTCAATGAAAACAAATGAAAAATACTATAACCATTTATCTAAAAAGTAATATAAAGAGGCTTTCATGCCTACAAAAATTGATCTATGTAAAGTAATGAGAAAAATGGCCTTGTTTTGTTAAAGAAAACCTCACATTAAAAAACATATTAACGTTGTCTCTAATCATTTTCTAAGCAAAAACATTTTTCAACTGACCATTTTTTAAACCCGCTATGGGTCATCTGGACATACACCTCCCAATCACGAAAACCACATTTTCTGGTGTTCAAAAATTCGATGCTTGTCGCAATTATAGATTTACCAATACTTTATCATAGTCAAAATAATATAATTTTATACAAAAGCTCGTTTTTTTCGTTGAGTGACAAACAAAACAAAAACAATATCGACAATATGACATCAGACTACGTTTGTCAGTCAAGATCACAAGATTTCCAATATGAGCACTGCGATTAACTATGAATCAAAAAATAGAAACTTGAAATAATGACGTTCGAGTAAAGAAGATAACGAAATATTCTCACTGACCACCATCGTCAGATTTACAATGGAGCTAGCAAATACAATATTCACAACCTGTAAATTATCGCGATAGCTTGCATACATATATTATTTATTAAAACACTCCGCGCAAACTTAGTAAACTTCTTATTCTAAAGCAAAACTATTACGTGTCGAGCTACGAAGAACCTGGTAACGAGCCGCATGCTCCGCCATGTTACATATTTAAACATAAAATTTAAAGTAAGTCCTTAGGCGGCTCCCCGATAAATCATTATCTATTACCAGTAGTCAAATAGCTCGGATATATAGTTACTGAAGCTAAAAACGGAGAGCTCAAAGCCGCTAAATAAAGATCGTCGTTTACATGTGACTAAAACGATCGTTGATATTTTCATTGTCTATCGTATTTCTCCCTTCAATTTAAACATTTCCTAAAATCTTGAGAAATGACATCTAGTAATTCAAACGAATGAGATTCATGCAAATTGTAGTCGACAATAGGTTCCTTTATTCAGCTTCAGACCCAAATCATTTCCTCTAAAGCTTTCGCTTTGTCCATCTCGTGGCTCACCTCTCCACGAACAAGATCGATCACCGTCATGTTTAGCACTACATGACTTGTTGGTAATAAATCTTAAATGATGACTTTTTACAGATTGCGTTAAATTAGTCAATGCATGACCTAAAGTTTGCTTTATCCAAACTATACGATGAACTCTTGGACGTTTTCATAAACTAGTATGTACCGTGTCTTCGCAAGCTTGTCTGTAGTACGCAATGTCGCATGCCGGATGTTCGCTAAATTTACCGTCATGTTTAAAAGCTTTTTTAACATAAAATAATATACCTGTATTACTTGAACAACACTTCATAATCTTTCGTATCTTTCGAGATGTGTATTTACATTATTCAATGCTTGGATTTCAAGTTTCAAGCGGAAAATTTCGACATCGTTAAGAAGGTTCACATGAATGTTGATCTGGCCTCATTCTGATGTTGGTTTGTGACGGCGCGAACCATTGCATTTGAGCTTTCGGAAGTCCCCGGCAAAAATATCTTACTATAAAATTGAAGTTCGGAGATTAAAAAGTTCAAATAGGTGTTTTATTTCACAAAAAATATTCCGTCGCAATTTCATATTGATATAGTGTGAGTTTTAAAGCAAGCATTTTGGCAAATTTACTGCCTATTTTCTTTGGGCTATAGGTCTCGTACCAAGCCGTCGTATACTCGGTTCACTTTCGAGAACTAAGATGGCTACTTCACAGCAAAGACATATCGTAACTGCGATGGTTTTCTTCCTATATTTCATGTTAAATGTCTTCTTAGGTGAGTGCTTCTTTAGTTAATGAGGTTTTTTTAGTATATGAACGCCAATTTACGTTTGTAATTCTTAAAATACCCGTGTACTGTTTCATGGATTATATCATGTGACTGTATTAAAATAACCTGGACTACCGTCGTTCACGGCTATATTTTTGAAATTTACATCATATTTGGCGATTTAACTTTTAATTGTGTATTTTACAGTATCTTTCAATAACCTTGAACAACAATTTACTTTTATAAACTTGGTGATGTGTTAAATGAACGTCACTGTGTGAATGATTCTTAAGAGATATATTCAATTAAAGCAAAATAATTTATTTTCCATGGAACTGAATAGTACCCCAAGGCACTTCTTTCAATCATGCATATCTATTTTGTGTAATACTTCCCAAAATAACTCAGTTATTGATCATATACTAGATTAGAAACCTGAATTAATTTAAAGCAGATTTTTATCACTAACCTCAGAACACTTACTAAAAATTTGGTCACATGGTACCATTTTGTACCTAGAATTCAATTCTATTCTGTCATACTTATAGTCCTTTTATGATGATTCTTTTCTTGCCATTGTCTTCATGCAAATGAAGTGAACATTGTACTTATAAAAGATAGCTTTTACTAAAAACATATAAATTCATTTTTGACGGTGTGAATTTCTAGCTGAAAATCTATCATATGTGCAAATTTGTATATTTAATTTCATTCATAGTAATTTATTTAAGTCAACGAAGCTTGTTAAGAAATCTGACAATTTGTGTAATATCTTGCAGGTTTAGTTACATCAAGCAGTAGTAACTGGAATGATCCAGCAATGGTAATAACTATTTAATATTTAGTTTATGAGAAAGTATATTTCCTTACCTCTGTCTTGAGTATTTATAAAAGACGTAATTTTTTTTGATAAACATTATTAGAAATGAAATTGACCGACAAAAAGCAAATGTGTTTTATGCAATAAAACTTTAGCAGTAATCTCAAACAAAATGCAGAAAAATGGATTGGGTTCGTGTTGTGTTACCTAACTAAACACGTTTGCTTTAAAGTAATGTTTCATTTAAAATTTACACTTAATACCTTGAGATATGTTTATTCTTAAATGATGTATTCCTTAAAATCATGTTTGTATTGAATAATGTTGGTTCATTCACAATGTTTTAGATACAATTTTTATTGCGTATTACAATCATAAACTCTTCATTGCGTTGCTATTTATATAGATTTCAAACATTGACGTTGGTAATATAACTTTCGTTAACGTTCCAAAATCCATATCGCTGCGACCTACTGCTGATAAAAATATAAAAGTTGAAGATGTTCCCCAAGTAATTACGTTAGCTTTAGGTTTCTCATCCTTACAGGTATTACAAAAGTGGTTTTTGGAAATCATTATTTTAAAGCATTGTATAATTAACGCGTACTTATTGTTTATTGCATTTTTAGACTGTACAGTGGAATGGTTTGTCTGCAGGAAATCTATTTGAGCATCCAAAGGCAACGTTTTGTTTATCATTGAATATTTTCGTAAAGGTAACGACCTTTTCTATCACAAAATCTGTAAAATGTAAAAAAGTATAGAAACACCATTTTCTTAATGTTGCCAATTCATAGAGACTTATTTCTCGTTCACTGAAGAATCGTCAACTTTCACTGTTCTTAAGGTAACGATCGTCAACAGTTTTATTTAATAATAACTTATTGTATGTAAATTATGATATTTCTATATTTACCAGTTCCATAATTCACGACCTGAGGAAGTTAGATCAAAAACCTTGCATGCCTGATTCCTATTTCAATCTGTCGCCATGTTATTAATATTTATACATTTTTTACAGAATAAAGAAAACTCAATCGTTGATATTTTCCGTTTATCTTCAAAGCAAAATTTTGCTACGCACATATCAAATGTGTTAAAGAATAAACCTCTTGTTACATCATTCTCTGCAGATATGCTGGTAGTATATATATATATATATACATATAATAAAACTTTTTGTCTCTAATATTTTTATGGAACTCATGTTTCTTACATGTTACTTTTATGTGTTAAAGTGACATCATTTTTTTATAGCTTGCTCGCGCAGCTGCTGCATCAGGAAACAACGCGTACACCATCAAGTGGGAACCTCAGGTATTTTGATGAAATAGTTTTGAACTTAGTTGTTTTTCAATTCTTTGTTTCACTTACGTTGAATGAGGAACACGACATACGAGGCTTGAAGAAAAGGGATAAGGGGGATAAGGTGGGATAAAGGCTGTAAGAGGGTGTGTAGCATTGAGTTAAACCATATGACTTTTGATTGTCAACGTTGTTACCGGTATTTATAATTGCGTGGTTGTATTTTGATTTAGGTAAGGGCAATAGCGAAGTAGCGATCATTAAAGAAAAACCGTTTGTCGCTTGGGAAAGAAAATCTTTTCAATTTTTGTTTCTTTTGCTTATCTTAGGAACAATCATTTCAAGATGATTCAAAAACGTTTGATCTTACACAAGACAAGGTAACATACTTGATGATCCTTTAGTCAATGAAAATACACATATTGTCGTTCGATACGCATGATTTGCAAAATATTTTTGGAAATCTTTTTAGATAATGAAGATGTTTGAATCTGCCGACTTTGGAAAAGGTGTGTTTGTGTTTGCTTGTTTGTGCTTTATAACCATAAATTGTTAGGCCTCTTGTTTTTGTTGACGAATGTCAAAATTATTTGGGTTGCCTTTATTCTACATTACGCATACAATCAGCTATTTTCAACTAAAGCCGTTTCAAAAATTATGGCGTCGTATATAATTTTGCAAATCATGTTAAAATTTGTTGCTGTCTCACAAAACTTACTTTCCCTTGCCTACGGTAAAGCTTTTTTTTGTCTTTGCAGGTGTGAAATATCACGTTGAAGACAAAATGTTTTGTGTCACACAAACCAAAAAGAAAGAAGTTTTTTTTGATATGAACATCAAGGTTTGTTAATTCTGAGTAGAATTTTCTACTTACATTTTCATAAACAGCTGTTATAAATGTAGTTTTTATTTGCCTATTTTAGGATGATTTCCTCTTCTTTGCGGAGATGCAAACACTATTTTACCTTTACGAGAAGGTAAGAAAAGCTGCCTACTATGTCAAGTAGACATTATTAAAGAAGAAACGTAAAAGTCATCTGTTTTGTTGACATATAACTTAATAATTGTCTTGTATGCTCTATTTACTGTAGGTTAAAACTTTTAATGAATTAATTCACGACGAGTATGTAGATCTATTTACTTTCGGTGTATCAACCATAAAGGTAAGACTGTCCAAACGTAGTAAGTGATTATCAACATGTCACGTGACTCTAAGGGTTTACGTGACTGAATTAGCGAACATATTTTCTAGACTTATTGAAAATTGAATTCTAGAAAAGCTGTTACTCATCTTTAAAATATATACCAATTGCCTTATGAATATCATTATTATCACGTGACTATACTTAAATAAACGAAGTGTTGTCATGATTTGAGATTATTTTATGTGTCACTTGCAAATGAAAACCCACGATTTTGTTTTTTTTCATAGCATGTTTACTGCACTACAACAAAATACGGCTCGTATTTTCTTCCTGATTTGTGTGTAAAATTTATCTTATTTTCTTATAAATGTTTTAGGGGATTTCTCAACGATACGGAAGTAATTCACCTAAAGTTGACGCCGCATTTTATGTGCTCAAAAACACCATTCCGAAGGTCTTCCTTTTTTCTATTATACTTCATTTAAGAGTTTTAAGTTAATTTGTATTTCACTTCATTATGAGTAGGTTAGTCAATTATTTAATGATCTCTATAATGGTGAAGCATTAGTCGAGATTGTTGGCTGGAGAGAAAAAAGGTCAGTTATTTTTAATTAGGTAGAATAAGTTAAACATCCAATGTGCAAATTGTGATCATGTAGAACAAGGTTTAACAAATTCATATTGAAGTTTGATCTACTTTGACAGAAATCAAGATGAAAGTCCCTCTCCACAGCTTATCAATGGTGTAAATAATGATCGTGATGGAACTATTCGTTTTAAACGGGACACATTATTGGTTTGTACCACATCAAAAATAGTTAATCAAATCCTGAGCGAATGAGTATATATATATATTTTTAATTATAGAAAAATGATGCCCGCAAGAACGATAAAAATCATGCCTCATGTAATGATGTTTACAACGAGGAATTTCCGACAATTTTCAATATTTCCCTTTGGTTGATGATAATTCTCGTGTTAACCGTTTATGCTGTTTCTATTGTCATGTGGTACATGGATCCTGGTCGTGACAGCATCATATACCGTGTTACAAGTCAACATATCAAATCAGAATAATGCTTGACGTTTCAATATATTTATGATCCCAATATTTTTGTCGTATGAAAAAGTGTTAATTTAAATGTTTGAAATGTCGTGTTGCTTGCTTCACAATATCACACTCCCATACTATTACTCTATGTTTTCCACTAACAAACACTTTAATTTATTTTTTGCATGTTCAACCTTAATTAAAGCCTTTTAATGTGTAATTTATACGCAAGCTCAGTTTGTCTAAACTGAAACCTTTAAAAATCACTGGTTAATGCTGCACTAATTTATACAATAAAAAAATTAATCCTTTAATTCATAAAATTTCATAAAATAGACGAATGTGACAATTATTTCAATAATGCTCAATTATGATATCTGTTAACAGTTATTGTATTCATTGTCAAGCGTTGTTTAATGATTTCTGTTGGCATTTTACAATTTTATTAACTTTTGCGTTTAAACTAAACTATGATTTTGTAATTGCTTCTTTTGCGAGTTTCATCACCATTCCCGCTCCACGTTTTAAAAGTAAATCTGCAAGATGCAAACCACATTTCTCGGAAATTTTTAAAATATGTTGAAGATGTTGAGGAATTATAACGCAAGTCGACGATACGTCGGATAAATATTCGGAGTTTCTAGTTTGTACGTTTTCATTCAATGGTAAAAATTCAGAAGCGTCTCCAGTTAAACATTGGCTGCCATCCAAACTCAAAACTGACCCATGAAGTACTAACTAAAAATATATGTAGTATTGAAGGTTAAATTTTACTTTATGCTATATGCTCATATAACATAAGTACTCAATCATTTCATATGTGAACTAGAACATTTTTTTTGCTACGCGTGCCCATCATGACATCGATAGCATTGAGTTTTTCTACACAATATATTTTGACTTACTTTATTTTCTTCAATGGTTGATGACACACCAACAGGAGCACTACAGCCTCCACCCTTAAAATGATTAAAAAGACTTAATTCGAAATAATGTTCACAAAACGCTGATTACAGTTAACAACTTTGGTAGAACTCACCAATCGCCAGAGATAAGCTCTTTCTGCAGCACAACAGATTAATGTTTCAATATCAGTCAATTTCGACAATAAATCAAGTGTTTTCCAATCGTTTGTTCGTGCCTCAACAGCTAGAGCTCCCTGGAAATATTCATGTATCGTGAAATTAAACATTGCATCTCAAAAATATTTCAAAAACGGAGCTTATAACTCAAAGTCATTAATAATAAGATGCCTTACCTGTCCAACAGCATAAAGACAATCTGGAGGTTTTAATATCTGAAATAAAATATAACATAGCGAACACACAAATGTTGGCGGTAAAAATTTATTTTACCAGACAAAATGTAATGTTATCGATTGTCCTTAGTTTCCCTACCTCACTTATCCTGTGGTGCCAGTTCATTCGATGAATACCAGCAACAGCCAAAACTATTCCATCATATTTATTATCTTCATCAAGCTTTTTCAAGCGAGTATTTAAATTTCCTCTCTACAATCAAGTAAATCAAGGCAAACAAAACGTTTCATTTACTATTGTTGGTTATAAGACGACACTTATGGAGCTTTATCATGTACAGATAACTGAATGCTTACTATCTAAAGGATACAATTGTCTCAAAATTTAAGTGAGAATAATTTCTTTTAAGTTGCGCTACACGACGCAAAGAACTTGTTCCAATAACACTAAACAAAAATCACTTTTCATTAAAAATCTTGAAAGACATGGCTCACTATGAACGAAGGCTTTGCGTGGTAAGATTTTAATATTCACTTTAAATAAATAAGAGCCAACTTCCATTTTGTAAAAACCTACCATCCTGAAGGTAAAGTTGCCAATGTATGTCCATTGTGTTTTTCATGAAGTATCAACGTATCATATTTATTATCACGTCTGAAATATATTATTTAGTTGAGACAAAATCATTCGATGAAACATAAATTAATGTAGAATTATAAATATTCTCACGGAAATGGCTCCAATTCCTAAACCTTCAGGTAATGCTGTAGGAAGATCTTTTAACGAATGCACAACAAAGTGAACTCTGAAAATAGGTTTGCCTACCTCTAAGATAACAATAGCAACTATAGGCAACTTATAAAAACTAGCTGGTCAACAAAACAATGCAACATTTCATTCTTTTTGGCCTTATTAATGACAAAAGTTGCTAGACTTAAAATAGATTGTAGTTGGAACTTTTAAATTCCAACCTTCCATCAAGTAAAGCATCCTCCAGTTCCTTAGTAAACAATGCCTTTTCACCAATCTAATATAATCACCAATAAACTTATATTTCACCAATATAAGTGATCACTCAAGATCTTCAAGTAAGGAAGTTCATTAACAAGTGTTAAAAATAACAAGCAAACCTTTGGCAAAGCTTTATCTAATACTTTATCCCCCAATGTGTCAAGTGTGACTAAAAAAATGGCAAGAATACAGGTTTGTGCAACTATTTATTATTAAATTCCACCTTTCCTATTTTGAGCTTTATCTGTGGCATTGTCAACTCAAAAGTTTTGGTCCTGTTGTGCAAATTTTTGACATTGAATAAAGAAAAATTGCATAGCATGACTAAATAAGAAAGTTAGCTTTGCTTCTGAGCTTTATTTTATCTAATCCTACACATCATCCTCCAACATATTGGGCACCACCTTACAAAATTTGTTCTTTTCATGATAAATTTCAACTATCTTTGACTTCAAAACACATGAACTTTGAAATATTGATAATTTACGGTTGGGGTGTGGGGGGGGGTGTGGGTGTGGAGGGGGCTTATTGATCTTCCTATGTCAATGGTAAAGAAATGAATATTATATAATATTATGACATTACCAATTTCAAAGTTAATTTCTGAATAAATCTTCTTGATTTCATCAATAATGAATTTGGTTTGTATTAACGCAAGCTGTAATAATATCAATCAATGAATAATGACTCGTGGTAAAATAAAAATGATAAAAGACTTGGCTATGATGAATTCCACATACAAAAAGACCTATTTTACAAACTTCAAAAGCGAATAAATTAATACATCATTAGAAACAAATTGACTGAAAAGCACATCATAAATTTATAGTTGCTAACCTGGCTCTTTCGTGAGCCTACTTTTATCACTCTTCTAGTATCTTCCATTACTTTATAATTTATATGACAAAGCGCAATAAAATGTCTCAGATTGTATGTCAATGGTCCGCTATATCAGTGTTAAGTTAGTAACTTCACATAACATTTTAACTGACACCTGTACGTGTAGGGAAGCAAATTACATAACTAACATTCGTTCATTAATCCGTTTCCGTTTCTCTCATACTGGCCTGATCGCAGGCTAGCGCCATTTTGAATTTTAGCTTCATATTACAAATTTTGCTATTGCATATCTTTTTGCAATATTGTGAGTTATATTTCCACAAAGTTCAGCAAAGACATGGCACATTTCAGAGCAGTGAAATTAGTACACGGTATTTTTGGTTCGAGAAATGTTAGAACGGCATCTGCTGTTATGGCCAAAGGAAATTTGGATCCTATTCAAGAACTGTTTGTAAGCAAGTTAGGAGAATACAAATCTAAAAGCAAAGGAGGAAAACTTGTTGATGCTGGCGAGGAAGCCGATGCTAAAATAGAGAAAGAAATTGCTCAGCTACAAAGAAGATATGGTGGAAATGCTAAAGAATTGGAAGAATTTCCGAATTTTAACTTTGGACAATAATGTTTAATCATCAACATTTATAATATATAATACTGCTATTTTCAAGAAGATAATTACTCGATTACTGTCTCTTTGGAAGGATAGGTTTTGATGTAACCTCTGTTTATGGGGTAAAAGTGTTGAATACTTCTATTAAATGTCAATTTTCAGTGTGTTTATTATCTATATCGTTTTATATGTTACTGTATACACCACCTCAAGTTTGTCAAGATTCACATAACCTCCACTAAAAAATCCAGTGAATTTAGTAACTCATTCAAACAACAAATGAACCTGCATAATTCTAAATTCATAATGGCGTTGATTAAAAACAAAATACTTTTCCAAGTTTTCCATTAAGATGGATTTAACGAAAGGATGCAGAGAAAGTCATCAAAATTGATTTGATGACTTGATGTACCATAAAATATTTACATTGATGATAAATGTTCTACTGAAATAAAAAAATACAAGGATGCAAAAATAGGCAATGTTTCAAAAAAATACTGCTGCAATCTCCCACGGCAACGTAACATACAACGCTAACTTTTTGCATCTCATCATGGTTCGATTTCGTTTTTTTTATTTCATTTTTTTTCTTTGTGTGCAGGAGTTCTTTTCACAAAAATAAACTTAAACATCCAACGGAAATGTAAAGTTTCAAATAAAAAACTTTTCATTATTCTAATTTGAATTTGAGCAATCTTCGAAGAAGCAAAATATATATATAACAATTAGTCATTTAATCGGATACGCTCCAGAAAGTTTACATTACGTTTCTCTGATTAATAATTAAAGTGAATTTTCGACAGTCGCCAGACATCATACTAGTGCTAAAAAACCCACATAAAAAAACTAAAAATCTCGCTAAAAACTACAATCAAACATTTATGTCAACTTCATTAAATAAACAAGTCAAGTTACATTTGACAAAACTATTTTAATGGATTAATTCTTTATAAAAGCTTTTATATCAGAGCCTCTTTTAGAAATCTATAACAGGGAGGGGACGTGTCCCGTAGTATTGTATATAATTAAAGAATAGTTATATGGCAAGATTTAATAGGCCAATAGATGAAGACATTAACACATATTAACATGGATTTTTTTTAACTTTTCATCCACAAAGATACCATGATGTAATGGCGACAGTAGGCTGGGGGACAAAAATTGTTGACCAGAGTGATAAGAGTTAGGTCAGAAAGGCTGTGTAATGCTATATAAATATTAAATATACTATCAAGGTTATCAAAAAGAGCGAAATGTACATCAAAAAGATTAAGAAATCAAATCGCTTTTAAGTCAGCATAGCAAGCTATCTTTACGATCAGAGTACCAGGCATTTCTTCTCGAGAATGTCGTCCTTTTCCTTTCAACTTTAAAGAATGTTGAAGAATGTTGTTGGACACATCAATAGGGATAGTTACTCGTCCCATAAAGCTGTCCCAAAACACGTTGCTGTCGTAAACCTTGAAATGAACAAAATAAAATTGTTTATAGCAGTGGTAAATAATAACTGCATAGCATACGTTATTAATTTAATAACAATCAGAAACTAGTGGTAGAAAGTCCATTTTGAAATTCATAAGTAGTTTACTAGACCTCATGAAACTGCGCGTTAGTGATCATTGGTTTAGAAGCAAACCTAGTAGAACTCTTGCTACTGGTTCTCGAGGGATCACTATTGTGGTAACTTATTTAGTAAAGGAAGGCACATATGAAACAAGTTCAAATAAATTTCATCATTAAAAGAAAATATTACAGATGAGGTTCTAAATAAACCCTTATTAGGTACAGTCTGCAGCTTAACATATCAATAGTCATTTAGAATTCTTTAAATTGTTTTTGAATTGATAAATATTTACTATAGCTACATTTGTATTTAGCACTCCTTTCTTTTATATTACATACGATTTTCTGAGAACTTTTGACTACTAACCATAAAGAAATGAAGTATTATTAGGGAAGCAGAATCACAAAACAACAACAATTGAAATTTTTCATATAAAAAATTGTTGAATAAAAATAGCTCAAAAGAACCTAGGCTTTAAATCAACGAAACACGTTTTCAACCACTCCGAGACTAAACATCAACAAAAACTACTGGAAAACCAATGTCATGAAAGGAACTCACATCAATTTTTATTTCACCGTTAGTGTTTCTCACATAGAATAAACCACCAGCATTAAACTTAGGATTTAAAGTGTCATTCTGTACAGGTGTTGTCGCCTTTCTGCCATCACATCTGATGATACAGTAAGGATCCGCACCTACGTAAATGAAGAAAATGTTTCAAATCATTTGCTTTTTGTAAAACATACAATAACACCACACTAATAATTAATTGTCCAACATACCTACTCCAAACCTGCTCATTTTTTTTAAGCCGCTACCGCTGACAACGGTTACAGACAGCACAGCTGATGGAGTACCATATTTTGGTATACAGCATAAAATAGGATGAGCTTTGTCATGATGACGAGTTAGTTCTCTAAACAAAAATGTACGAGCAATAGAGTAAATGATTAAACATAAGTAAGATAGAAATGAATATTCCATCAATGTTTCTCTATAACCAAATGTTTCCATATAACAATATTTCATTACAATTCATACATCTTATCAGTGCTTTCTTACGACAAATGGTTACACTTATTAACACTGAAGTAGCGTAATCTGCCTGCAAGTTTGGTAGTGTTATGTAAATTTCAGATCATTATCATAACATATTTCTTTCTTTACGAATGTATTATTTTTACAAGTGATTGAACACCTAATAAATATTTTTATAACATGACTAAATTGAGGGCAAGCTATATGACTACTATGAAATACGCCACACTCACTTGGCATTTGCTTTCTTCTCGGTATAAATTCGCAACATGAACTCTCCTTCATTATTAGGGTCAAATGTTGATGGAAAAATGACATAACGCCCAGGATGTAACTCCAATTTTTCAAACACTTCACGAGAATTGATAAATATTGATGAAGCAGCCTTTTCCATTGAACTATGAAGACGATACATGCGGTTTACCTCAACCTACGCAAAAAGAGAAAAATTTCTAGCAATCAACTTATTGCATATGTATTGTGTATCTCAAAACATACCAAATAAAAATTGGCTCGTAAAAATCATGTTAGGTATACATACTCGCATGATAAAAAATCCAATTGTAAGGGCTTCTTTTCCTTTAGATTTCTCGGGTCTAATGTCCTTTTGTTGTAATGCAATCATACAATGTTGATGCTTCTCATCTTGGATGTTAAATGCGTACTAAATAATATAGACTTCATCTTCAACAAAATTGTTGTACAAAAAGTACATGTTTCGAAGTTTCGATACATGGCAAGTTGATCAAAATTAATAGTTTCCTACCTGTGGGTTCTGAAAGAAAGTGTTTTTATTATTTATACACCCTCCCGCAGATGAATTGATTTTCCAAAAACCTTTGAAAGTGACTGCTCGCCAAGTTTTACGAATACTCAAAGTTCTTGTATTGGGAACAAGGCAAACGTTAACGGTTGTGAAATATTCAACGAAATCATCAAAAGACATCCTAAAATTCAAAGTATCTACGTAATATCACATTATGGCCTCAATAAGAATTTGTCTCTTCAAAACTTTCTTAACATTTCATCTATCATTAACAGATTTCTCACCAGAATTCTCCATCCTCCTCGAAGACAATTCCTAATTTCTCTCTGTCACTTTTTTTCAATTTATTCCACTCAGAGGAACTACGCAAGAAAACGTGAATTTTGTTAAGATCATGAGAGAAGCTTGTGTCTCAAGATTGGGGATGGTGCTGCTTTTTTTAGATATACTCGACATAAGGTTGCATATTTAGTTTGACTGATAAATAAATAACGTTTCACGTTCAAGTTTCCGAAAAATTTAATTAACTATGAAAACACCAATTGCCTGACAAAACCACTAAAGTTATTCTTGGAAGGGTTAGCCCCTCCCCCACCCCAGGATTTATGCTTCCCATCAAGATATAGATATAAAAAACACAAACTTTAAATGGATCAACTGGCATGATAGCTGAAGTAAGAAAAATTCCTCTTCCTTTCATTACCCGTAGCATTATATAAGTTAATAAAGCAAGTCTGTTTAAATAACCTCCTTATAATTGCTTCAAGACTTTACTTTAGGCACCCTAAGTCCTACACTTAAGTCTGTAGTTGCAGAAATTCATTATGTTCTACATGGGAAATTTTTATGTTAGGACAAGAACAATCTTATCATTAATTTTTATGATACTATACTATTGAATTATAAATATTTTTTGATGAAGTTCTTGTTGCCAAAAGTAAAAACAATCATCAATCGCCAAGAAAATATGCACTATTTCAGGGGGGAGTTGACAAATTTTAGATGTATGTTGGCTTTATCCAATCACAGGGCATTCTCAATGGAGTTATCATTCCAGTATATTTATAATTCAATGTACTATACCCATCACTCCAAGGTCCCTTCCATTCTTTTTGTCCCCAAGGGTTGCGCAATCGAATCATGTACAAATAATGACGATTAAATAAATTAAGAAATCCTTCCCCAAGACTTATCTAAAAAAACAATTGAACATGAAAAAATGATGTTCTACAAATTTAGCACTTTCAAAGATAAAAGATCAACAAATTTGTTTAGATGCATTCAACTGAAAGTTCTTTTTTCAATTAAAGAAATTAAAAATAATTGTCTATCTGGTCTATTACCCTCTTCAAAGAAGTAACACCATAAGCATGACCAATAACTAAACCATTTTCAGTACGTTTCTCAACCTCTGATGCATCTTTTGTCTGAAATCATGAATTAAAATTGATGTGTTAACATCATGAACATGTCTCAATTTCTAATTCAGACAGTTCAGTATAATTATATCTCTTGGTAAGTTTTGTTGAGCACTTTATCTCTTGGAAAATTTGGAGTAGCTATATCTCTTCAACAGTTTGGTGTAGCCCTCCCAGACAAATTAAATTAATGGTAACTCTCACACAATTTCCTATACTTATATATACTGTATCTATAAAATATGATCTTTAGTGTTTGCAATAAAATACCACTAAAAAAGGAAGGTTTCATTAGTTGATTTATTGTGAAGAATAAAATCATTGTTATCCACAATCTGGTAGCTTTATATATAATAAAGTTACCTTTATTGAGGCGCTAATAAGAGCATGTTCATTTCTCATAGAATCAGATAGTTCTCTAAACAGTTGCATTTTCTTATCATTGTCAGAACTAAATCCACCATCAACAATATCTATAGGCTCAGCCAATCCACTAGTGAAATCTGCTAAAGCATCAGCAGTATTTCCTCCTTCCAAAACTTCATAACAACCATTAATCCTGAAAATTAATCATAAGTCTATAAGTTGAGTATTTCAACCTTATCATGTTAACTCAGGGTACAATGACTGTAATGTTTTCCAAATATAAAGACTTATGAGGATTTTAATATAATATGATTTGACTAAGTAACAAACAGTGTAACAGTTTGTGAAGATACTTGAAGTAAGATCAAGTATTTATAAACCTTCACAAAGATTGTCATGCTTAGCTAGGTTGTTCAAAATGACCAGTTATAAATGGCATTTTGAAACTAAAGGAAATTACTTTGCATAAGCCTTTTCTACAAGAGCACTCCAGAATTCATTTTTTGCAGTGGAATGTACATAAACAAGTTGGCCATTGATGGTTGGCAGAAGGTCATCAACAACAACTTCAAACCACTGACCAAATCGCCAAAAACGAAATCTGAAAATTCCTTGATACTCATTTGGTTTAGTTGAATCCCACTCTTGGTTTGCTGGAATCACCTAAATGAAAATAAAAACAATAAGCATACACATGCAGCTTTGTAGAAAATAGTAACAGTTAAGTGAAAGGAAAGAGAAACAAATTTATATTATAAGGCACTAATCTAACAGAAATTTTAATCTAATGAAAAGTACAAAATAGAAATGAATTTAGAGGGTACTGGGGGTAGAGGTGCACGCACTAGCATTGTCTAGAAACATATGAAAACACACTTAAACAAGCCACCAAAATCAAATAAAAACTAAACTGATAGAACCACATCTTATAAAAAAACTAGAGCCTCCCCATTAACAAAATCATCCTGCATCAATCCCTTGTTTAACAAGCCTTGATTCAACTAAAACATTCACTCATATAAATATAGCCAGTACATATTTCACAAAAAAACAAGCCTTTGTATAGCTTAGTTAATTTTAATTTCCAAATTTCAACTATATTGTAATTAAATACCTATATATATATATGAGTATACTTAAAGAATGGCTATAGATTGGGAAAATTGAGTAAATATAGATGAGTAAAGACAAGCTTTTGCCAGGCATTAAATGTCCTTTTTCTTCTATTGTAGCAAGTGGATGCCATAACAATCCCCTTGGCAACCCCCTTGACAATCCCTTTGAGTTACCAGCTTGAGACATGGGTCTTGTAATAATATGCATATATTTTCAACAATTACCTTTCGCCAAAACATTGCTTCTTGGGCAACTAAGCCACATGCAGCAACAAACCAACAATTACCCAATTTTCCTTGAGTAACATCTTTTGAATCTATACCACTCACAAACAAATGAGGGTCTTCGGGAGCACAGATTTCCTGAAACAGAAATAGGAATGATTGGCACAGATAAACAACAAATGAGAATAATCAGTTATTTATCTTAAGACAATGGAACTCTTGTGAAATTGGTGGAAATATCTGAAGATATATATATAATTTCAAAGTCTTCCAAAACTTTGAAAGACTGAGCAAGCTAGGAGACTGAGAGCTTTAAATTCTTACATATTCTGATTGTAGTTTTCTATCACAAAAACCTATTTCTACCTTAAAGATTTTTCTAAGGATAGTTGAGCAATTACACGACAATTTTTTCGCTCTGTTGTTCACTAATTTTGTCGATAAAATTTGTCGACATACTTTGTTTATTTTAAATTAATTCATGTTCAAGTCAATCGACCATTAAGATATTGCTTGAACACAACAAAAAAATTTAAAGCACGATAACTGCGTTCAAACATGAAAATTTTCACAATCAAAATAACGTCAAATCTTAAATCAAAATAACAAAACATAAAACAATAAAGTGGCAAGGCAGAAAAACTCCTTAATATATTTTCTACATGATGTGATATCAACAAAATAGTAAAACAAGATAAGAGAAATAAAGATTGGAATTAAATAAATGTTCTGTTTTAAAAACTAATTTTTCGCCGAACAATGCATTATAAACAGAAATAATCACAATTGCGGTTAGAACTAGGTTTCTTGTGATGAAAGTAGGAAACCGTTATCCAAATTGAAATAATATTTTATGCATTGCAAACTCACCTTAGGCCTTTTCCACTCGACTTGATCAGGAGCCATAGACCGACTATAATACATAGATTTCACCTCAGGAGGAAATTCTGGATCCACAAACAGTTTTCCTTCCGATTGACATCGTTTCTTTAATTTTCGATAACTTTGATTCTTAAATTTCTTGATGGCCATTTCAAAAGCAAAACATTGAGCAATAAAAAGATATTAGAATTACTTTCTGCTCTCATTAATACATTTAAATATCATTATTCCAATGACAACACCCAATTGTTGCATTCTCTAGTTCAATTTCCCGCGCACAGGCAGTTCGTCCCAGTGGTCCCAGTTCACTAGGACTAATCGGGCAGCCAGACAAACTGGCCAAACTTTACAGTCAACAGACTGGTCAGCCGGATTTATATATTTGCGATAACGTCGTCAACTGGTAGTAATATTTTACGATTTCTTTTAATGTATGAAAATGTGATTTACTGTTAACGCTAAAGCTTATGCAGAATCGGGGCTTGCACAGCCCTTGCTCAATCATCAATACAGCTTTCAGAGCAGAGGTTATTTTCTTTTGTATACATAGCAACGCTCCAACAGAAACATAGCAACATTTCACAATCTGTATATTTTATATTTTTTACATCTGTAATCACCTGTAAATAAAAACATAACCCATCAATAGATCAAAACTACTTGCTTATCAAATAATTTATGCTTTTGTATTTTAGTTTATATTAATTGTTTGACGTGTCATGTAATCGTGAAGTATCGAATTTTGGAGAATGCAAGGTACTTGAGCTGTTAGCTGTAGACATAGATTAATAATTTCAATTACAACTACTAAAAAATAATGTATGAATGATTTTTGAACTTAGATAATGGATCATGTTTAACTAATGTCCACGAAGCTGTTCGTTATGGTAATATTACAGAGCTTCAGGCTATGATCAAGGGTGGTGCTGGAATAAATGATGTAGATGGAAAGTATAAGTTTACTCCTCTTCACTGGGCCTGTAATTATGGGAGTCTTGAGGTAATTGCAATACAGTTGTTCTATTTTTTTTAAAAGTTGTTCTAATTTATCTAACTTAAAACCCTTATATAGTTACTATATATCATTATGTTTACTTTCTTGGTTCAAATCAAATTGTGTACATACCTTCCGACCATAATTTTATATAGTGCTTACACTGGTTGTTATGGCATGGTGCATCATTTTCAGAAAAATCTCCAGATGGTTGGACACCAGCTCATATTGCTGCCATACGTGGTCAAGATGCTTGCATTCAGGTTGATAGTTTTTCTTTGTTTACTAAAGGAACATTTATCAAGATAGACACTTTGTAAAAACAATGAATATAATGTAAAAATATAAATAGGCATTAGCTGCAAATGGAGCATCGTTGGAAGAGAAAGACATGAATGGTACATGTGAATGGGGGACGAGTGACTTAACTTTGTAATTTCATATAATTGTTATGTTTTTTATATGCAATTTGTTTACAGGTTCAACGCCATCTCATTTGGCAGCAACCCATGGTAATTCTTACACTCTGCAGTCAATTTTAAGACATGGAATTGTAAGTAAAAAAAATACTTCATGTTTTGTCACATCAGTGAATTGTTGACTTATCATTAAAAAGGCATGCATTTAAGGCTTTTTCTTTCACTCTTTTCAACAAGTACTGAATACTTTTGCAATTCTTGTCATTTTTGCTTTGAAATATCTCATCATCATTTCCAGGACATTGATTGTGTAAATAAACATGGCTGGACTTCTATTCATGCTGCATCCTTTCATGGCAGACTTGGCTGTCTTCAAGTATGCTAACATGTCATAGTATATTGAATAATTTTCCTGAAAATCTGATGGATGCAAGGACATTTTCTATTCATTGGCAGCCTGCAAAAACAATATTCTTCTAAAGAAATGAATCATGTTAATGCTACAAAATTCAAACAACACTAGCTTTACTAAAACTGACCGGCTAACCACACCGCTAGTAGCATTAAACTCAGCCAAAGTTTATCATACGGCTAATTTAACTTAGCTGTTAATGACTACTAAATGATTTAGAACAACTTTTGTACAATATTGTTTATAGATATATGTATGCTTTCTATTCTCGAGCTAGCTGGTCTTTCAGTCAAATTGAAAATGATTTTAAATTTAGCTTCTGTTTCGATGGGGTGCTCGATTGGATGAAACAGATACACAAGGAAACACACCTGGTGAGTGTGTAGGTTTTTTATTCTTATTTATTTTTATACATTATATAAAACTTGTATGTGTACATACCATCTTGTAACTTTCATTGATTAATTTATAATTTTCATATAGTTCATCTAGCTGCTGTTGAGGGTCACTTGCCTTGTCTCAAGTTTTTGATTTGCTCTGCATCGAGCATTGATCAGTCAATAAATTCTCGTAATAATCAGGTAATTAAGAAAACTGAACAATCAATAAATTCTTGTGATAATCATGTAAAGGAAACTAAACAATCCATAAATTCCTGTAAAAATCACGTAAAGCTAACTGATCTGTCAATTGTGATAGGGTAAATTTATGTGATAATTTATTAACAACTATTTTTAATGATCAGATAATTCTAACTATAATTGATTGATAAACATTAATAATCTTAACCATTTATTGTTTTTTTGTATGCAAGGGTGAACGACCTTTAGATTTATGTGTTCAAATGCATAAACAAGATTGTATTGATTATCTGCAAGCTGTAGGTATGATAAATTTTTAAAAAAGTTTTAAAAAAGTAACTAAAGATGTGTCAGGTATTGTGACACTTTTTAGAGTACGATCTTCTACATCCTGAGAAAGAAGAAAGTAAGTTGTTTTTACATAATCATAAGTACAGAAATTATGTATAAACATTGTTGTTTTTTTATTTCATTCTTACATGGCAATGACATTGTTTGATTTGAATTCTCATCTTGTTATGTATAGATCTTGCTTTTCCTGCTCATGCAGCAGCGTACAATGGCGATCTGTCAAATCTAAAAATGCTCATTGAAACTGGTGTTGTGTCAATAAATGAAAGAAATGATCAAGGATCAACACCTACACACAAAGGTAAACCATTGATATCTTTGAAACCGGTACTTCATTAACATAATCTCTTCATAACGACCATCTTTTTTTTGTTTTTTTAAGCTGCTGGTAATGGCCATTTAGAAGTTCTGCAGTGGTTAATTGAACAAGGAGCTGATTGTAAGATAAAATTCTTCAGAAATTTTACATACAAAATTAAATTTAAAACTGTAGTTAACGACAAAGTCAAAAACCAATGGCCTAAATAACTGTGTTGAAGAATTTTGTATAAATATTTATACAAATTGTACATTATAGTGGTGTAGTTTATCTATAAATTTAAATAAAACTTTGAATAATAGGATATGCAGTAATTCGTTTAATTCTCACATAAATTACTCTTATACATTCCACAAAACAAGAGATTTTAATGCAAATTCTCGGCATCCCATGCAATAAGGAGAGATTTCCGACCTATTCATGCTAAAAAGAACATAAAGGAAAACAACAAGACAAAAATAAAACGACAGTTTGTAGTTTGAAGCTCTTTATAGAACCAATTAGCTTTTCTCACTCAGCCAAGATTCATCAGATTATTTTGGTTAATTGATGTTCACTTGTTTATTTCTTTCTTCTACATTTTTTGTTCATGTGGCAACTTCGATGTCAGATGCGCGAAGTCATGCAAATAGATAATGTTTAGTTTTTGAAAACGGGTACTGTTTGTATCTTTTTTTTCTATGTGTTTTAGTGTCAATTGTTAATGCTGCCGGGGAAACACCAAAGGATGTTGCAAGAAGATTTGGAAGACTTGCTTGTATCAATATACTTGGTGGAGATACTGGTATGTTGCATGCATGTTTTCTGGAATACCTGTCTGAAAATTAGTGCAATAAAACTGATTTATTGAGAATAGGTCACGAAGATCTCATCGACGAAGTGAACAAGGATGAAGAGCCGAGAGAAAATCGAACAAGTTCTGAAGCAAAAGGTAAAAAATTTTTATTGGCATCTTGTTGAAAGTGGACCACAATATATGTAGATTTTTTTATCATGAAAAGAGACGACCACGTGCTGTGCATGAAGATTAATAAGTTGTTTAAATTGATAGGCGCTTGGTTTTTATCTTGAATCTTAACCGTTATATTCACCTTCTAAAAATAATCCTTATTGAACCAAGGATGTTTACAGTATAACTTATTGCGAAATTATATACATACAACGCGACGTCTAGATCTTCACTTATGTTTAATCTTGCCGAACCTAAGAAGCAACTTTCTTTTTTACTGATTTTAATCCAAACCCGTTATGAGAAAGTCGCTTAAGTTTCTTGCAAAATATTTAATATATAGGTACAATATAGCCAAGGACTTACTTAGTCTGCGTGAAATGATGAATGATTAAAAATTGAGTTATATTTGAGGTCGTGCTAAACGTAAGATGGAAGAATTGCAGCGATTGTTGAATACAGCGAAAATGAATTTTCAACAGCTTGGTGGAGAACTGGAGGAAGATAAAATCGAACAGGAAGAGAAAAAAGAAAGTGCAAGGTTATATAGTCGTTCTGCCTACTAAAGTGAATAAATTTTCATTTAATTTAATTACTCTTCAATTCAATGTAGAGTGATACGGGAGCTTGAGGCTCAGTTGGAGTACGAACGAGTTCGACGAGAAGAACTTGAGGAAGATTCTGATAAACTTCGCTCAAAGATACATTCTTTAACGATGGAACTTGAAGAATCTCGCAATGTTTCGTTATCTAAGGTTAGAATTGTTTATAAAAATATAAATCGCAGATAATTCAGCACAGCACTAATCAGATGTGTAACTATTTGTTGTCATGTGAAGAATGAGGTCACTCGTGCCAAAGGATGTATCGTCGCTTGAACGAAAAAATGCCCAATTTCAAAATTAGCATTATGTAGTAGTATAAATTTTACTTACTATTCAGTAGCATTAATTGTTGGTAACCATCATCTGATAAAGCAGTTTGAAAAACTCCCATATTCCTGTCACAAAATGGACAATCGCAATTTGCATTTTAAAGACTGATTGGGATTCATTCATTTAGCACTAATAATAAATTACCTAGGCGGGTTGGAACAACCCCTGCAATATCGATAATGTCGTTAATTTTTATTTAAGGTGCGATCTTTGGAACTGACGGACAAACCACAACGAAAGAAAAAAACTAAGAGGCGCCCACATACAGCACTTACCAGAGATCTTCGTGGTTTTGAATAAACACGAGATTTGGATTCTAAGGACTTGTTGACCCAACAAAGCATTACTTCATACTCGACCAGACTAGGCAGGGGGGGTAGGAACATTCATGCATTGATCATACAAAACCCAAGTATATAAATTCATACGTTGATCATACAAAACCCTTCATATCCATTGCTAGAATAGCGTTCATGAACAAGCGCCGTAATCAGATGCAAAGAAAGATGCTAAAACAATTCAGGAATAATAAAAATATTGAATTCATAATAATTTACTTGCTCACATTTAAGCAGTTAAGAACTTACAATCAGGCTTACAATGGCAGTAAATTGACTGGAATGTATTGATGTTTGAAAAATCTTGTTAAATATTCTTGTGGCTGCAGAAGTTAAAATAAGTAATCGTTGTTTAACAACGCTTATTGTGAATTAAGGTTTTACCAAAAACTTTTCTGCCTTTGCTTTGCGTGCGCTAAAGTATGTTTAGCAATTGACTCTCTACTGGCGATTGAAGAACTTGAGAGATAGGAATCATCGTAAATTTCTTTTAAAGTATCACTTCCATAAATACTACGAACTGACGAAGTTGGTGATTTGTGATGATTGCTGTGAATATTATGAATCTTATTTGAGTAATAAGCATCGTTCAATCTTGTGTTCTCAATTGAAAGCTCACAACTTGCTTCACTACCACTTGAGGTATACTGCAATTCGTTAGACGCCATTTTTTTGGTTGTTTCATTTAAACTACCAAAGGATTTATTGTTTTGTTTCTTATTGGATTTTGATAAGGTCTTCACAATGTTAGTTGTTTTTCCTTTAAGTGAGCCCATTGAACTTAAATGTTCAGAACCATCCGGAGAGTTTGTTTGGAAATGTTTTGTGTTATCTCTAAGTTTTTTACTTTCTAAATCTTTCGGTAGTGTTTTCGATGTTTTTCGTGGTTTGTCTTTCTCCTCAAAATTATTAGAATCGTTCACAGCAGGTTTTCTGAGAATTTTACGGTCTTTACGATTCAACTTTCCGTTCTTTGATGTGTGTTTAATGTTTAGCGTTTTTATTTCCTTTGGTGACTTTTCATGTGAAAACATTAATTCATCTTTGTTTCCTTCATCTTGGTTTTTACTCTTTTGATCCTTTCCTTTCTGATTTTCACCATGTTCGATTCCATTCTGCTGATTCTCATCCTCAATCCCAAATTCATGTTTTTTTCGATTCTTCTTTTTTCCATTCTCATTTTCACCAAGATCGTTTTCATTCTTGGGCATCTCATACTTCTCATTCCCGACGTCCCGTTTTTTATCGTTTTCATTTTTACCTTTTTTGTTCCGGCTTCCTGGACTTGTTTCTTCGTGAGATAATAAAGTTGAATCACTAACTGAAGATTCATTCTCAAATTGTTCATCCAGATTTCGATAAATTGTTTTAGCATCATCTGATAAAGTCTCCTTGCTTTCGTTTTTGTGCCAAGCAACTTTAACACGGGGTCGGTCTTTGTCATTTGTCTTTAAAATTTTATCGTTTCCATCGTCACCTGATGATACACTTGACTGCTCATGCTCTTCGCTCATAGCAACATGAAGTTTCTCCACTTCAGCATCAAGCTGTGCGAGATATTCACGGGAAAAGTAGTTTCCTTCAATAGCACGAGTCTTGTAATATCGAGCTTTCTCTCGCAGTTCCATCACCTGAAACAATAGGATATAACACAATTAGTTGCTTACGAATTGAGAATCTTTTTTGTGTTTACGACTAGGTTCAAGATAACAATCCAAGCTGTATTACAACAAAAGGGATTTTTCAAACTAGAATTACCTCCTCAAACCAATTAGTGATGCATTCACTCGATTCAAGATGTGACTGTAAAATCCAAAAGAATAATGTTAATAATGGAAAAATCAATATTAATATCTATGTTTGGACACTAAAGCCTGCTTTAAATGTTGGTTTACAGTCATCCGAATCATCTCACTTGAGTTAGTTCAGTCGTCTGGATAGAGTTCTTTCCTATCATCGGCTTGCGTTGAAGAAACAACTGAGACGACTCGTAGAAACTATTTGAGAACCAGACTAAATATATAATCACATCATGAAGCCACTAAAGCCAGGAGTTATCTCTAGCTTCCATCCATTAGTGATCAGTATCAGTGACGTAACCAGCTCGAATATTGCCCCTCCCTCCCTCCAATTATCGATGCTACGTAGCTACGCAACAATTAGTTATGAAAATCGTCAATAATACACAAGAATTCCTGAGGAGCATGCACCTACTTGGTTCTGAGTGAGAAGATGAGCAGGACTTGCACCAACCCATATGCCCTCTTCGTAACGGTATTTCTTAGGAGAAACAAAGTTGGCTTGGTATTCGCTGTGCATCTCTCTAAAATTAAAAAGCAACACAATCTTAATATCTGTAATAAACTCAAATGATACACTCTGAAAGAAAAAAAATACGTACATACGTGTTTGCTATAAGAGTTTTGACGAAACAGATTTTGATAATTAAGTTTACACAAAGTTTGCAGTTAGTTCTAATCAATCAAATGGCGAAAATGATCTTCTGCATACAAAACCCAAAGTTTGAAAATTAAAATTTTTATTATTCAAATAAACTTGATACATTATAATTTTGTAAAAAATACCTGTTTGAAGATCCATGTGGAAAGAACGGTGAATGAGGGTTCTGAGAAGAATTTAACAATCTTTTCATCTCTTTGTTGGGATATTCATTGACGATCGACGATTCTGTAAATAGAAATGACAACATGAGTGTAGAAATGATAAAGAGCATATTATTTTTAAATAAATATTCATCAACATGGTTTTCAATTTAAGTGTAGGGGATCTCACATAGACATCTTATAAATACAATAATCCACATATTTTTTAAAATTTCAACCAAACCTCTTCCGTCTTCTTGACGATCCTTATCTTCATTAAACGCTCTTTTATTTTGATATTTACTTTGATATTCAGTTTTGTGTGAAATTTTATCACGAGCAGTACGAGGTATGTTTGTCATATGTGACTCAAATATCATTTTCTCTGCATTTAATAAAGGTGACACATCAACTGCAAGTTTTTTCCATTCATACTGTCGTTGATACTCTGATAATGGAAATTTTGAGTCATCCTGAGTTGTTTTAGCTAACAGGCCAGCTTTATATTTCAGTGCTCTGTTGTTCTAATGAAGCAATAATAAGGCGATTTAAATTATAAAAATTCAAGTTGTGTTCTTAATTAATGAAATGGTAACATTTCAATATTCACTTGCTAGTCACTTGCTATTCGATACTCTGAGTCAAGTCATGTTACTTCAGGTCTGTACCATATAGAGACTTGAGTCATGTTACTCCAGGTCTATACTGTACAGAGACTTGAGACATGTTACTCCAGGTCTGTACCGTACAGAGACTTGAGTCATGTTACTTCAAGTCTGTACCATACAGAGACTTGAGTCATGTTACTTCAAGTCTGTACCGTACAGAGACTTGAGTCATGTTACTTCAGGTCTGTACCGTACAGAGACTTGAGTCATGTTACTTCAAGTCTGTACCGTACAGAGACTTGAGTCATGTTACTTCAGGTCTGTACTGTACAGAGACTTGAGTCATGTTACTTCAGGTCTGTACCATATAGAGACTTGAGTCATGTTACTCCAGGTCTGTACCGTACAGAGACTTGAGTCATGTTACTCCAAGTTGGGCCGTATAGAGACTTGAGTCTGCAACTTTAGTTTATGTTTGCAACTTTAGTATATTTATCTGAAATTATCTGAACTGATGTATCATAAAAGTGTGAGATGTGAAGAGATAATAGTCCTTAAAAATATATGTAGCAATTGATTAAGTGTACCTTTTTCATATCTCTGGTTTCTGTGATGATTTTTCCATCTTTTCTTTTGTCAGATTTGGGTTTGGTTTGTGAAATTGGTACATTAAAATTTGTAGATTTTGGGGGCTCAAAAGATTCAGTTGCTCCATTTTCTTCTGCGTTCTTTCTGATTTTTACAGGTTCATAAATAGCCAATGGTGATTTATAAATATCTGGTTCAAATGCTTTAAAACTGGAGTTATACTCTGTTTCAAACTATAAAATACATGTTCAGGAATATTACTGGTTTGCCAACAAGTGCTCAAGGATGTGCTGACTCTTTGTTCAAATATTCAAATATTAATATCTCAATAACCAAATCAGCTTTCTTAATACGTTGTTTCACAAATTGAAGCTTAAAATTTCTTAGAAATGTTTCTTATGCAGTTTTCATTAGCATTTTGCTTAAAAACATATAAGTATGGATACATTATTCATTTTTCCAAATCATCAACACATATTAATCCAACTTTTAAAGTTAAATTTTTGGTTATTATATGACCAAGAGATTTTATTTGAGCAACCAATCAGGTAGGGTATCCTCACTCACTCCTAGGATTAACTAAATCATTCCCAGGATTAACTTAATCACTCCAAGTATGAAATAAATAACTACAAGGATAAACTGAATCAGTGGCATAGCAAACTCCCTTATTGGGGGTGACAAATTCATACATGCATTTTTTAATCTATAGAAATCAGTTGATTACAATGAAACTTAATATTTGACAGAACATGAATACATGAATATTTGACCCCTTTGCAACTATCCAGTTTGTTATGCCACTGAATTTAAACACTTACAATCATTGGAGTTTATTTTTTAGCATTCCAAAATGGGAGTTTAAAGGTGGAGAGTTCATGGACGGATTTTTATATTTTTTACGTATTACATATTTTTCAGATAAGGTGGTGCTAAAAGATTTAGGGTGGTGATGGTAAGTAGTTGAAGTAAGATAATGTAACAGTCTAGATTTTAGGGTGGTCTGATAGTGTAGCTATCAATGGTTGTGTAGAAAATTAAAATTTTGCCTAGAAAAACTCAGCTCAACTGTAGTAATGATTTGTTTAATAAAAAATTTGGTGGGGTTAAAATGTTTTTTGGAGGGTTGAGCAATTTATTTAGGTGCGTGAAATTTGATATACTCTAAATAGAATATTTGTTTGTTTGAATCACCATATATAGGTACGTACTGTTCTTCAAACGCATCAAAAATCTTTGATGCTGTCATGAAATGATTGCTTATGTTAGATATCACATGCTTTGTGTTTGTTTATGGCCCACAACCATCCCATGGTTGATTTTTGATGATTTTTAAGTTATAGAAGGCAGTGGATGGAAATAAAAGTTTAGTAAGACGTAAGACGTAAAAGTAAAACGTAAAGTTGTAATGCTTAATTATAATATATTTGACAAGTGAAATATAAAATATCCATCCAATATTAAACATTGTCAGTTACAAATGTAAACAAAAAACTTTAAACGACAAACTGTGTTTTAACGTTTTTTAGACATCATTGCTTTTAGAATGAAGTAGTATAGATCATAAGCTAGCTGCTTAGTCGGGCTGATGTGTTAAAAACTAAAAACTTTTCCCATTTTCCTTCAAAGCTATGTGCAGCAGGCGCAGGCTAATGATTTGAATTACAATTAACAAGGAAACATACCCTCACTCTTTTAACTCTTGATGGCATGATTGTAATGGATGGTAGTACTAACCAACAACAACAGTTGATGCATTCGTTTGTTTACTTATAATAACGTAGCGTCGTTTTGTTTATAGTCTCGTTACATTCAAAATTCATATCTCGTTACTCGTTACACATTTCATCATTCAAACCAGATTTAAATCATTGATCAAACGGATTAAACATGGATCAAAGCAATGAATCCCAATAAATCCAACACGCAACGCCCCCATTCACTGAACTGTATATCAAATTATCAACGACCTGGACCTCGACCTGGACGAAGGATTAATGTCAGCATTTAAAAAAGCAGAGAATTAAAAGATGTTTATTACTGAGTTTGCACAGGTTCTTGCAAACCAAGGAGAAGACCTTTGGAAGAACAGATCAGTGTGATCATCTCCTCGAGGGATGTTTATTTTCGGAAAATTGTTCATACTAAAATCTGTAAGCAGGTCTAGACTCATTCACTCATTGGTCTGGACTATTCCCCGAAAATCCTTTCGTATTGTTGTGATGGTTATTTTCATTTTCCGCTAGTTCTTCTTTGGCAATTGTATCAACCCTATAGGAATATAAAATGTAGCGTTTGTAAATTTTTTACAATTCTACGTAATACATGGCGTATCAAAAAAGTATTCCCAGTTGATATGAAACTAAGAATTTCAAAATATCATGTATTATGTAAATTGACTGAAAGCGATGTCTTATTTGTATGCTTCAACCTAGTTACTATACTGAACCTAAGTTAAATAAAAGAACTGCATACTAACTTTAACAATTCAAATCGTGAAAAAGCATAATTTTCCTTAGGGTGCTTTGTGATGCCCTCTGCAAATGTGTACGGGTGCACTTATAGGTGAAAGGGTGAAACGACTAGTTAACTCACAAAATTTAAATCTCATTACCGATTCGGTTGATGCCATTGCTACAATGAAATGCAAAATACCATATTAGGTATCCGTTAGAGGTTTTTTAGGGCGGGGAAAAAATTTGAATGAGTTTACATAATGAATAATATTGCCCGATCATTGCTAATTCATAATATCCGATATATAAATGTGGTACCGGAAAAACACACCCGTCTCTATTCTCGTTGTTGATCGAAAATTCTTATTTTCAATTTTTTTTATCTTTATCGTTTTCTTTACTGCATCAAAATGAATAAAGCATTGAAGATTTATGTTTAATTTTACTTTTGGCCGTTTGTTTTTTTGAATATCCGCAGCAGTTAACTGTCTTTCAAGAAACGAGAACATTTCATAAATAGAAATTCCAATGTAAGTTTTCACTATGTTTAATACTATATACGTATTTAGCAAATTAAAATGAACATCATAATTTTTGACAAATATAAGTATTTGCTTTTTTGTTTAAATGATTTGAACTGTAAATAATACGTTACTGTATTATTTGAAAATTTATGGTTTAATTGCTTATTTCAATGTTTTATAGCAATCATGCCTTCCTATTTCTAACGCTTATCAAAGCGTTCCTCATACAATACACGTTTCATATTTAAATAAATTTTTTCTTTTGGTTAAATTTGCTTTGTATGTTGAAAAAAACACGTTCCTTTTGTAGAGGTGTAGACGTATTTCATTTAATTGTGATTTGTTTATTATTTAAGATGGTGAAGTATCTATGGCTTATTTTTTGCTGTTTTGCAAGCTTTGTTGCTGTTCGAATTGAGTTTAATGCCCCCATCAAAGGTTTACAGCGATTTATAATTGATTATAAAAGTGGAGATCTTTTTGTCAGTGGTGATAGTTATCTTTATAAGTTAAATAGCAATTTAACAGAGATTACCAAGATAAATATATCTCGTCAAAATCCAACAACAGGCGAAACAAACAATGATACAATTTTATTGCTATTTGAAGAGCTAGAAGGATTAAGAAGATTATTGGTTTGTTGGAAATTGACCTATAGTATCTGTGCATCTCTTAATTTGAATTTGAGCTCATTGACCATTCTTAGTGCAGCGGAGTCCAGTTTGTCAGTCTTGCCTGGACAAACCAATGCTGCTATTGTTGATGATGAAAATGATGGAATTCTGATTGCTCGCACTGTTGATAGTGGTAATGATCTTATTTTCCTTTCATATGCACGATGTAATGGTGGAGTTAATTCAAAATGCTTGGCTCAAACTTCATCTGTACTATCCTTGTCTGGTCGCACATCAAAGATTTATTATGTCATTGCTGCACATGTTGGGAAATATCGATATTTTTTTAGTTATAATTTTCCAGATCGAAGTAATATTGCCAGAAGTAATATTGCCAGACTTTGTACAAATTATAAGCAAGTGTCTGAAATCAAGACTTACATTGAAACGCCAATGCGTTGTTTTGATAAAGATGGAGAAAATTATAGTTTATTGAAGACAGCAAATATTGTATATTTGAATGGAAATTTTGCAAAAAGCTTTGGAAGTCATGATGGTGGAGCTATGTTGATTGGTGTCTTTCAAAAATCTCGTCATTCCTCACAATATGCTGTGTGCACCTACTCATTTGATGCCATTGAGGGTGCTTTTAATAAGAGTATAGAAGCATGTTTTGGAAATGGAACAGGAGTTTTAAACACATATGTAAAGCCTAGTTCAAGATGTAAAGCAGTAAGTATATGGGGTTGCTTTTTATTTTGCATTGCTTTTGTTTCACTGCCACACATTTTTTGTAATTTTCAATATTATGAAATCTTAAGTGTTGTATGTTACTCTCCACACCATCCTAAATGTAGTTTCGATTTTGTTGTTTTTCATGTCTTTCTATTCTTTGAATTGTAATAATATGTATTTATCAAAGCAAACTCAAGCATACTATTTATAATATTTTTATTGATGACACAAGTTATGATAAATATGTTTTGTTAGGAAATTATGATAGACTTACCACACTCTTGTCAGCGAGATAAAATTAAATCCATAATTAAGTACAGTGGAAGTTGTGTTCGTATTTAAATTGATGTCATTTTAAATTGATGTCATGCTGCATTAACCAAACTTGTACCATATTATAGTAATATAATTTGTTTTTTTTACAATGGTATGTAAAAATGCCCCACTATTCCCCTTGCCACCATGAAATTGTTATATTACTATAATATAGAACAGACTTGCAGTGAATGAATTTACTAGAATTAAATATCTTATATTTTTTCACAATGCTTTACCTTTAAGACTTGAGCATTCTATTCATACAATTTGTTTTTAATAGTGATGTTCTTAAAACTCTGAATTCAAGATAAGTTCCGATTCTCCCTATTTATTTATTTTTCCCACACATATTTATATATATTGCTTAATAAGTTCTATTTATATTCAAAACTAGGAATTTCCACCCAATGCCTGCTTTGCTGGTACACGAAATGAGCAAATGACTGGACAACATAGTTGTAGCAGTGAAGCTCAGGTTACATGTGATGATTGTGGTCACATAAATTCAGTTACAACAACGTTTTATCGCAATGATATGATTCTATTTCTTTCTGCGGATGATGGTAGATTATCAAAGGTTTGTAGTGACTTTGGAATATGAATTTTGGACTACTTAAGCTGTGAAAGATCCTACAGTTACCCTACAAATGATTTACCACATTCATTTTTTTATTGCAGTTCATTTTGCATTCTTATTCATCTGGTAGAAGATACAGTACATCATATCCTGTTGATGGATCTGGTATTTTATCTGTTAAGTTTGATTTATCTGGAAAATATGCCTACTTGCTTTCACCAGAGAAGGTACAGTGGGGATGTTCTGAATGTTTTGTATTATCTCTGTCATGTATTTAAGTTCTTTGGATATAAAGCTGAGCTTCATCATTTATTTCTTCATAATATTTGTTTCAAAATATTACTTTCTTGTTGTTTTGATATACATAGTTTGAGCTGCATTTATAACAAATTTATCAGTTTCCAGTTGTTTTGGCTAAGCCTGAGTCTTTAAAGTGATACTTTAACATTGTTTTGATGTTTGCTCACAATAACTTGTGCTGCTAACATGTGTAATAACATACTTTTTATTTGAAGATATTAAAGTTGCCTGCTGAAGAATGTGGCTCTAGAACAACTTGTGATAATTGTGTTAAAGATGGTGATCCTTATTGTGGCTGGTGCTCTTTAACTGCAAGGTTTTGTTTGTGCATGCAAACCAGTATTGTCAATTTTTGTGTATTTCTCATTGTTAAACATGGTATATGTTGAACATCATAGACATATGTTCACATCAATGTAATGTGTAGATTTACTACTGTTGTTAGGTGATTTTTCTATCTTTGTTTTCAGCTGTACAACGTATGATAAATGTCCCTATTATGAATCACCACTTGGTTTTGTGCGACATTCAAATAATTGTATAAACATCACAGATCTTAAACCTCGTTCACTTCCCATTAGTAAAACCACTGTTCAAAAGGTAAATATGGGAATAAAACAAGGGCCAGGGATCTCTCATTCTTATAACATGACAGCTAGTGACGTTATTCACAAACTAATGAACTTGGTTTGTGACAAAATGCATTACGTAAATGAAAGTTGATGAAGAAACCAAGAATTATGTTCTTTTAATCCATGTTTAGGTAAACATATCAATTGTAAATTTGCCTCCAAGGAACAACACAAAAGATTATGGATGTTCTGTAAACAATGTGCAATTAACCTCTTATCTTTATGGTAATGTAATGGAGTGCTCTGTTCCAACATCTGATTATCTTACAGAACCTAGTTCACTTACAGGTAAACTTTTATTTGATAACTAAAAATATACATTCGATCCTCCGTAAATGGACCACAGGGATATTACCTGGGGTCTGCTTATAGAAGGTTATGAGAAATAATCTTTTGGTAAGACGCCAAAAGCAGTGTTTGCTTCTGCTTGCAAAGATATCTGCTTCGTCTGTATAAATGTTTCATAACTGACAGAAATTAAATTTTCTGATGCACTATGTAAGAATGTAAAATATATAATAACCTGACCACATGAATGCCATGAGTTTTGAGTTGTCAATTTCTCCACCTTCCTTCAGAGATTTTACGTTAAAGAAGAACATTTAGGGAACAACCAATTTGCATCTAACTTTTCTATATGGGATCCACTAGTGAAAAAACATGAAGTTGAAAACATGTTTCATATATTGTTACACATAAACAATGAACTTGTATTGTTTTATAATTTTTGTAGGTCTTGCAGAAGCTGTAGTCGCAGTAATTTTCAATGTTACGAAAGCAAAGATTGCTAGTATCAAATTACAACTGTTTAATTGTTCCTCGATTAGAAAGTAAGATAACTTCAGCTTATTTTTGCTATTGAAGTTTAAATTTTTAATACATACTTTTGTAATGTTTAAAGCTGTTCAAAGTGCACAACCGGTCCATTAAAGTGCACATGGTGTCATTATATTGACCTATGTACGGGTTATTCAGAAGTCACGTGTCCTCAGTCCAACTCGACATGGGTATGTATGTGTTTTTGAATTTTGAGATGCTTATGTACAAATACATTGTTATCAACATGTCAAACATTTCAAACATGTTCATCATTTCAAACTACATCTTATATTTCATAGTTCGTTTTTTGTTTTGTATCTCATTGTTGTATTATCACAAGTCAGTGGCAAAGTCAACCCTTTCTCTTAGTCATTTATGAAAATGTTTTCATGTTCATACCCTATAAAAAAAGGGAATGGGATTGTTTCTTCAAAAATTTATTTGTGAAGTTAAAATTTTAGGTCAGCTTAACTACTATCCCAAGTTACTTTTAGCTTATTCACAATTGCGTGTTTTATGTTTAATGAACAGGTAGGAGAAAAAAAAGAGCATGAATGTCCTTCATTGAATCAACAAACGATATATATTCCTGCCGATATAAAGAGAAATATTACGTTGACTGGAAAGAAGTTACCCAAGTCTGAGGTTTGGTTGATTTCTTTACTTGTGTTACATTAAAATGATATGCTTTTGCAGAAGTTCAAATTTTATTTGTTTTTTTTTTGGAAATGTTTCGTTTCAGTGCAAAATCGGAAAAATTTTTATTAAAATTCCATTATCGATAAATTTTTTTCAAAAAGATAATTTACATAGAGAAAAGTTTTGAAAGGCATACATAAATGTTGAAATGCTTAGTTCCAACGCTTCATGATTATAGACGTTGTAATTATGTGCGTTGCATTTTTTTATCCTTTAGTCACCAGCTGGTGAATATAAATGTAAACTAAGTTTTAGTCGTGGACATTCATATGAAGTTGCAGCTTTGTGGAACAATGATACTAGCATCTCATGTGCAGCTGAAGAGGTAAATAACAGCTAATTCATATTGAAATAATACACTACGCGTATGAAACATTTCAAAAATATACAGAGCGTTTTGTTTCTTCATAGTATAACTTTTCTTCGACTAATGAAGAACAAGCAGCTGAGATTTCAATCACTTTAGGAAAAAGTGTCATTCTCCGGTCTGAAAATAAAGAAGTGAAAGGTAAGTTGACTATCTATAAATTTAAAATTTTACTTTGTTTACAGAAGGTTGTTTCTGAGCATAATACTGTTTAAATGTGCAACATAACTAGCAAAGCCACATACATAATTAAGTTTTTATTATACTATAATGTTCTGACACCACTGCTTCTGCTCTATGTTTGCACTACGTCGCCAATCTTTTTACTTAATACTATTTTTAATACTATGTTCTTTTTGGAAATAAAAAATGAAGACAATATCCAGTGCCATATAGTTAATTCCAATTTGCAATGAAGCAGTTCAGGACTATGAACTGTCTGGCTACTTTGATTGTCAGTCTTATAACCAAGGATTATAAAATGTCGTTGGTAATCTTGTACCAATCTCACATATTTTTCCAGTGTTCATCTACCGTTGTCAAAAAGCAGCAGTTCAGTGTGGAAGTTGCGTTGTAGCAAAAAAGGAATACGTTTGTGGATGGTGTAAAAATTATTCTTTTTGCTCAGTAAAAGATGCTTGCTCTTCAGGGGCCTGGATTAAACCTCGAGGAATTTGCCCAGAAGTCCCAGAGATTGATGGGGTATGTGGTATAAAATATAGAAGTTTTTTTTTAACCAATGTGATTATAGAACATTTTTCATTTCCTATAGCAGTTATTATAGAATTAACTTTTGTTTTAAAAGACTTAACATTGATCAAATATTTTGTTGAGCATTTACTAATGTAACAATCTGAATGTTTTCTTCCATGATTTTAGTTTGAACCAAAAACTGGCCATATAAATGGAGGAATGAATCTGACAATAAAAGGAAAAGAATTTGGTGGAGTGGTTTCAGATGTAAAAGAGGTTTCTATTGGTGATATCAATTGCACGATAATCGAGTATATCGTCGGCGAAAGGCAAGGTTTTTTTCAAAGGTATATGCTTTGTAAATGTGTTCAGTGTTTGTACGTAAAATGTCAAGTGCATAACTATTGTTGGTATACAGTACTGTTTTGCTTTACAACTCTTCGCGCTTACATACATTTTGTATGTTAGATTCAACAATTATGTTGAATTACTAAAAAAACAACGTATTAATACAGGTAGTTACTCCAACGTTTCTCAATGTTTGATTCTAGCACCACGAGCAGCGATAACTGCTGCAAAACGAAAAATCATGAATACAACCAGGCTATATGTTTATGGTCATGAACGACATTTCAGTTTTTAAGGATGGACGTTTTATTTCGTGTAAACACTTGCAACACTTGCTTTCTAACGCTTTCTTTATTTTTTCCAAAGATTATGGGAAGCGACATATTTCAATGCGCTCCTTAAACAAATATTCTTTTTTCAACGATTAGCTTAATGGCCTCCACAAACCAGGTGTTTTGTTGTCGACAACTAAATGTAGCCGACAACACTTTTTTTGTGATTGCAAAAAAAGGAAACCGCTTTGTTATTGATAACTACAATTTTACACGTTTAGTTGTCGACAATGTATTCCACAGACGGTAGTTATTACTAGTCGATTACCTTTAGTTGTGGACTGTGAAGATTTGTCGACAACAAAATGCCTTGTCTATGGAGGCCCTAAGTAACCAGTCTATACGCTCACAACAATAATTACAACATGTCCAGCCTTTCGCTAGTGGCCGTCATCGTATTATACTTTGAGAAACTTCTATTTTCGAGACATCTTCTAAATTTTCTTCATTCTTCTAACATGTTTTAAAGTCTTTGATCATGATTCGAACGCAGCCTTCTCTATTACGGTTATTTTATGTACCTCTTCTTCTTTCCTTTCCTCAAAGAACATCTTCTGCTTCCTTGCAATTGAACGCTGCATTCCAACGTTTGTGTATAAAATTTATAATTATAAATAATGTGGTGGATAAATTATGTTGTGCATAGTTAGTGCTTAAATGGATTATGGTGAATGAATTCATTGTCACTTACGTCAAACGTCTGTTTAGGATTGTTTGTATTACTGGCAACTCCAGTAAATCTTTGTCTGCAAAAGTTAAAGTTAAAGTTCATGGAAATGTTGGATATTCAAAAGATAAATTTCATTATCAAGTAAGTATAAAAGTAATTTTTAGAAGGAAAGTTTGAAAAGTCGTTGACTATGTGTCGTTTTTTTCATGTCAATATTTAGAAGCCTCGAATCACGAGTTTTAAACCGAAGATCGGTCCAGTTTCTGGAGGAACAAATGTTACAATATTTGGTCAACAACTAGATACTGGAAACAACATAACAGTGTCATTCAGTGGATTGCCATGTTTGCAATTAATGTAGGTACCATTGAATTGTTTCATTTAGACTGCATTAATGTCAATACTTATAAAATGATGGCATTTTCATTACATACGTAGTTTGTTGCAAAAAAAAGTCACAGTTTCATAATGATAGCATTCTCGTCACAGAATTTGTTGCAAAAATGTCAGACTTTCATAATGATATTATTTTCATTACATAGTTTGTTGTAGAAAAGTCAGACTTTCAAATGGTGGCATTCTCATTTCAGATTTACTAAAATCAATATGACCTGCACAACATCTCAGACTGAAGAGGACAACAAAAAAAGAAGAAAAAGATCTGTTTCAAGTAATCTTGAAGTAAAATTTAATGGTCAGCCTCCTGAGTATAACAGTACTCTTGGATCCTTTCAATATGTTCCCGATCCAAATATTACTGATATTACGCCACATGTGACATATCCAAGGTAAGATGTACTTTACTACCTAAATTGTTGTTGTAGTAAACGTTAGTTATAAATTCGTATAATTTCTTCACTTTTTATGAACTTTATAAGTTATAGCTGCCTTATCATGTTTTAGCTCTAATCGTAAAATCAATGTGACGGGTACGAATTTGAATGCCATTTATTTTCCCAAAGTCTTGTTGACGTCTGATGATAACTCAACTCGTGCACAAACAGTAAGTTATAATGTTGATTGAATACAAAGAATCTTCCTTAGTTACGCGTGCAAAATAATAAACCTTTCTGCGGTGTTTAATGCATTTCTCTGTGTACCATTAAATTTTCTGTGTTTTTTATTGTCGATACACTAGCTTGCACATATAATTAATGACATTATAATATGTTTTGCTTAGTTACATTACATTGTATGTAACATTTCTTATCCTAAGCTCGCTTTCTCGTCATAAAATTAATAATTTACTTTTTGTAGGAGTGCAGGGTGAAGAGTTTTAGCGTTATATTGTGTTCATTACAAGCTGAGGGAATAAAAGAAGAATTAAAATTCAGAGTTTCCGTTCATTTGGATGGGGTTAAAAAATGGAACAATCTTGATGAATATCCAAATTTTAACACACTTGTTTTGGTTCCTGATCCAGAAATAGAGAAGTTTCCAGATTTTATGCACATTTTAAAGACGCAGACGCTTGAGATAAAGGTATATTTGTCATATACAGGTGATGAAAGATATATTTTTGTTCTTCATATTATCTTTTGCTATCAATAATTAACAACTGCGAGTATTTTTTTTGTTATTTCTAAGGGCAAAAATCTTGATCACGTGGATTATAAAGATTTGTTTGAATTTATCATCACTGTTGGTGGTCAGAAATGTAATATCACCAGTGTTTCGAAGGTTGATTTATGGAAATTCTGTTTTACATTTTTTTTTTTACAAATAAATTTTGCCTTTTTGTTATTTTGGACAGTTAAAGTACTTGATGATGAGATGCTGTCCTATATAAAAACACGATAATTGACACATTTATATCTTCTTGCTTTAGAATGTATTGTTTTGTACTGCTCCTTATCGTGAATCTTTGTCAGAATCTAATAGTTATACAGTTTTGGTATGTCTGCACTTTTTTCGCTATAAAATATTTTTTATCTGATGGAATGTTTCACCATTTGCTGTTTACCAAGAGAGAAATTTCATCTAATGCAAAGTTCATGTGTAGAGATTTTTTTAATGTGTTTTTTATTTTTCCTCTTTTTCAGGTAAACGTATCTTTGAGTAACCTTAATTTTGTTGTTGGTAATTTAAAGTATGACATTGAAAGCCAAGGAGGAAAATCTACAGACTTAAACTTAATTTACATCATTGTTGGTGTTGGTTGTGGTTTGTTGATCATTGTCATTTTATTTGCTTGTTGTCTCTATCGACGCAAAAAACGACAACAAGAAAAAAAAGAAAGAACATATGAAATGCAAATGAATAGTTTGGAATCAAAAGTTGCTAAAGAATGTCGGGAAGGTATGATTTGTTACTAGTTGTGTTTTTGTATCATAGCAACGTACTACGATAGGAGTTCAATCTCGTTATGCATTATCCTTTATTTTAGTGAAAATTAGCTTTGAAGAGCTTCGTTTAGTAGATGTGAAACACACCACAAATAATAAATTGTTTAAAAACCAATAACTGTTAATAAAAAAAAAACATTTCAGAAACATAAAAACTCTAATTTTTTGTTTGAATTTTTAGCATTTGCTGAGTTACAAACAGATATGACTGACTTTACTAGTGATCTTGGTGATGATAACATTCATTTTTTTGATTTTAAAAACTATGCCATGCGAGTTCTTTTTCCTGGTATTCATCATCATCCTGTTATGGCTGAGAAAATGGTAAATGTTGATTTATCTTGCTACAGAGAATGTGTCATGTTCACATTGAACTGTCTACATCTCTATATTTTTTCTATTTCTTTAGGTTCAAGAAAGTCCAAAATGGGATGAAGCTCTTCGTACTTTCTCGCAGTTGATCGGCAACAAAAACTTTCTTTTGGTATTTGTAAAGACCTTGGAAAGTCAAGCACAATTTAAAATGCAAGATAGGTAATGTATTGTATTTATATATTTAATTGTAAACTTAAAAGTATACTGCGCGTATAGACAATGGAATAGTTAAGACATCATTATCTCATGTATTTTAGATGCAACGTTGCTTCTCTTTTGGTTATTGCTCTTCAGAGTAAAATGGATTATTGCACCGAGTGAGCATTTTAGAACTTTTTTCCTAACATACGGGCAGGTAGCGACTAAACACAAAACGATTGTATTTATACATTAAACGGTCATCTGTTTACTTGCTTGGAGAAAAGTTAAGACCTAAATAGCATAGAATTAGTGCAAAAAAAATGAATTAGTGTAATTTTACATATCAAATCCTCAAAATGATATATTTGCCTTTTTAAGTTCAAAACTCAGTTAACCTTGATCAAAACGCTTATGTGTTACCACTGATCTATTTCATTGACTGCATTTTGTAAAAAAGTTGTTAATTTTCAGTTATTTTACTGCATTTTTATGCCTTATTCTTTTCTTTTAGTATTCTTCAACATCTCATGGCAGAACTAATACGAAAGTCAATATCAAAAAGTCATCCTAAGCTTTTGTTGAGAAGGTGCGTGACTTACGTTGAATAAAGTGAATCAACGACTCGAAGCAAAAAATCGTAACTTTGCAATCTTGTGAGAAATACGATGCTGTATGTTTTTTGCTTGTTTAATTTTTAGAACTGAATGCATTGCAGAGAAGTTATTGACAAATTGGCTAACGTTTACATTATCACATTACATAAAGGTACGTAAATGATCTCACATTACATAAAAGTACGTGTAGGTAAATAGGACTGATTGTCTGTGCATAATTATGTGGAGTTGAAGAATTATAATATAATTATTAAGCGATAGTAATTCTGTTTTTTAAATCAATGAAATTATTGCACATAGAAAAACATTCTTAATAACTTAATACCCTCTGTTACTGTCATACTCTTAAGTACCCTCATACCCTTGGTTATCCTCATACCTTAATTACCCTCATACCCTTAATTACCTTCATACCCTTGCTTATCCTCATACCCTTAATTACCCTCATACCCTTAATTACCTTCATACCCTTGGTTATCCTCATACCTTAATTACCCTCATACCCTTAATTACCTTCATACCCTTGGTTATCCTCATACCCTTAGTTACCCTCATACCCTTAATTACCCTCATACCCTTAGTTACCCTAATACCCTTAGCTACCAACATAACCGTAGTTTTCGTGAGATAAATAGGTTTTGACCAATGTTTTTCTATAGAATGTAATTTTCCAGAACTGTATCGCTGTTTTTACTTACTCTGTAATATGTTTATGTGTAGGAAAATGCTGGTAGACCCCTCTTTATGTTGTATAAAGCTATACGATTTCAAATTGAAAAAGGTCCTGTTGACGTAATAACACACGAGGCACGTTATTCACTCAGCGAGGATAAATTATTACGACAAAGTGTTGATTACAATGTGAGCAATACAGTATTTTGAGAAATATTTCAAAATGAATGATGAAGCTGAAACGTAGCCAAAACTATAATAAATGACATCATTGTTGTGAGGTTACCGTTGATTTATATTTTGTAAGAATATTCATGTTATCTCGCGATTACTGGATAACTTTTTCTTTTAGAAACTTACTGTTACTGTGGAATTTGAGGACAACCCCCCCGTTCAAGTCGACGTTCTCGATATTGACACTATTGATCAAGCTAAAGAAAAAATAATGGAAGTTATATTTAAGGTCAACACAAAAGAATATGAATGATTAATCCAAAGATTAATGTTGGTGTTATAATCGTGTTTTTTTGTGTTTTGGCATAATTGTTCATCAATTGTTGTTCTTTGACTTCTTCTTGACTACAAAAAATTCTTTTTTTATAGAATACACCGTTTTCATGTCGTATTCCCAAAGATGAGTTGACCTTAAGTAAGTAGTTATCTTTAGTCTTTAAATAAAGGCGTATCTAGAGGGTGTATATAAAAAAATAATTGTTCAAATAAAGGAAGCATATGGGGAAAATATATAGAGGATAGGTAATTATAAAGTATATACGTAGCTTTTGTGCTATTGCATTGCACACTTCTTCGACTCAATGTAACATTTATTAAACTCTCTCTAGAATGGGTCGAAAGTCCGTCTAATCACACCATACTGAAAGATGATGATGCGAGCAGTTTACGTGAAGGAGAATGGAAACGACTTAATACACTCGCTCATTACCAAGTTCCTGATGGTACATGTTTATGTCTTGTAAGACGGTTCGCATCAGGATTTGATTTTAGTGGTGAGTTTTTCTATAGTAGTTGTTCTTACTAGCAAAGCAATTTACTCCAATTAAGTAAATAAATAACACAATTTTATAAAGAATGAATTTATGATCAGATACAATAATTATGCACATTTTAATTTTAATTTTATACGAACATCAGAATTAAAATAAGAGGAAATCTATTGAGATTTTGATGATGATGACTTTTTAGAGGTACAAAATGTGAGTTTACCTAAAGTATCATACAGTCCATCAGTTCACAGCACAGCATCGTTGGTTACAAGCAGTAAACCTCATATTAATGATGAAGATAGAAAACCTTGGCATTTGGTAAGTATTTTATGTTTACGTAATTCATTATTTATGAACGTCTAGCATACATATCTTTAAAGTTTGTCAAACGTTTGTGTTGAGAATTAGTATATTTTACACGTTTAGACGAAACATGTAGACTCCTTCGTACAAGAAAAAGAAGATCCAAGACACAGCAAAATGTTGTCAGAAATTTATCTCACAAGACTGTTAAGTACAAAGGTTGTGAGCGCTCGTTTTTTTGTTAATTCACAACTGTTTGAAAAATATGGTTACATCAATATAGCTCTATGTTTTTTGCTAATTTCAACTTGTTTTTCGTGTGTACATTTCGCAATTGCTTAATTTCACATTATTCTATCGCAGGGAACACTTCAACAATATGTTGATGATATGTTTGATTGTATTTTCCCGACGTTAAAGAAAAACGAGCAAGCACCTTTACCTATCAAGTTTCTCTTTGATTTTCTTGATGATCAAGCAAAAGAGTTAAATATTACTGATCCCGAAGTCTTGCATACGTGGAAAAATAACAGGTTAAGAAGTTATTGTAATGGATGACAATCAAGATTTGAGAGTTAGTTATAATAAAGGAGAATGAAATTAAAGTATCAGGGCAACAGTCCAACTAGCTATATTAGGGAGTATGCTAATTATAGGATTGGATTGGCTGGAGGGGGGGGACGTTGTATGAAGTACAAGACAAAGCTGTTGATGGTTCCAAAAAAAACAATTGTTAATGCTCATCAGGTTTTTGTCTGAAATAATTTGTTTTACACGCATTAGGAGTCGTTGCATTTGGACTCTTGAAAAGCTTCAAAATTACACAGTTCTTCGCTTTCACTTTTCTTGCACGTATCAATTAAATCATCAAGTTGGCAGAGATTCATTTTTGTGTTTTTTTTTTCATTGTATTACAGCTTACCACTTAGATTCTGGGTTAATCTTATTAAAAATCCAAACTTCTTGTTCGATGTTTACAAAGCGCCTATTGTTGACTCGTGTTTGAGTGTTATTGCACAAGTGAGTAAAACGACTACAAAAATATGATAGTAACAATGGCACATTATATGTAAATTTCTTTTTAATGAACTTCATTATTGGTATTTTGATTGGATAAATAGATTTACAAGTGGAAAACAATTATTGCATTCATCATCCAGTGAAAATGTTTCTAACATCTTATTGTCATTTTTTCTATTCAGGTTTTCATGGATGCGTGTTCTGTTTCGGAACATGTTCTTGGCAAGGTAAACAAAATATTTATTCATCGCTTGTATAAAGTATTACCAGTTTCATCAATTTTGTCTCTCTATCACAGGATTCACCATCAAATAAGCTTCTTTATGCTAAAGAAATTCCTGCTTACAAACAAAAAGTAGAGAGGTATCACACATTTTGCTCTATGCTTTATTTATGACACGTTTTATTTAATACTGAAAACATTTCCTAGTAAGATAAATTTTTTCTTTATTTGACAAGAAGGAATGAAGAAATATTTAAATTCTCTACATTTGTCCAGTTTGCTTATTTTATCTCCTTGGGTCTTCACTTGGTTTTACTTCATGTTTTTTTTCTTTTTTAGTTTCTATTTTGATGTTGCCAACTCACCAAAGTTAATGATGAGGAAATCAATGAATTTTTTTCTTCTGTACGTTGTTCTAAAATCACATCATTGGTATTTAATTATTCAATGTTCGTTTATGTATTTAAGTAATTGCCCATATATTTCTTATATATACTGTGTTTGTTAATTTATCTTAACATGGGTTTTTATCGAAACAATATAACAATATAAGCGGGCAAAACTAGCACGCATTATAAGTTGCAATAATATTTAATGCTGTAAGTAGCTAAATATTATTTCTTTAAAGGGTTTTTCCACAGCATTACATCGAAGATTTCAACGTGGATAATGCATTGAAAGAGCTTTATAATTATGCAGCTAAATATCTCGATGAGGTAACTTAAATTTAATACATAATTATTCAATTTAAAACTATAAATTTTCTAATTTTAAACCAATCCAAGTAAATACGAACGAACTCATATAGTTGTAGATCTCAATGCAACAGTTGAGCGGATACATCAACGATATACAATACTTGTTTGTAACATTTGATCGCGAAAAAACTGGTGTTCAAATGAATATTTAAAATCTTATTAATTCGTTAACTATTTTCAAGCTTAAGTTGTTTAACAAATTGATTTTGTGCATGTCTGTTGCTTTGTACAAAATTTTAAACTTATAATTTTTTGTCATGTTTCTTCTTTAGATCAAAACATTGAGTCAATAGTGAAAATATATTTTCATTATTTATAATGAGATTTATAATTATTTTATGACATATTGCATCATGAATGATCAATTAGTGTAGTGTTTACTTTGATTATTTAATCGTTGGTTGTTTCGTAAGTAAAGAATAAGTGTTCAAGGTTATTTCTCCAGTACAAAAATATTGTCTGTTTTACTAATGCCATTTATTATTCACTGTTATTTAGCTTCAAGAAGCTTTAGAAGAAGCACGCTTTCCTCAACTTGCTAGCAAACTCCAACATCTTGTCGCTATATTTTCCGATGACTGATATTATTACTTATTTTATTCTGTGAAGTATGACAATTCTGGTAAATGCTATTTATAAAGTGTTGAAGATTCGATTTCTACATTTGTGATGCGAATTTCTTCAGTTTTCACTATGTTATACTTACCGTGGTAGTTACAGACTAAACTTCTTTTTAACCTTGCAAGATTTGTGTAAATTATTTAGTGCATTAAGATAGTTTGAAATATCAAACTTATAAAAAGAAGTCAAATTTGTGCGTAAGATTTTGTGGTATCTATTTTCCATTGACTTCTATAATTAAGTTGTATCCCTAGATATATCCTGTATTGTATAATATTATTTCGTTTATTATTTGCATTATTAGTGGAATTTTTGGTACTTGCAATTTTGTTTCCCACTTTTTGGTAATGTTTGTTCGTACAAGACAAATTGTTGTCGTACTTCAAAGTTATGTGAAAGCTACGAAGACAGGGCCTACAATATAAAATCTTTAGCCATTTTTTGTTAAATTCTGGCACAAATGCTGCTCTTGTCTAGTTCAAAATTTGTGTAAACGGCAGAAAGACATCGAGTCTAAATGTTTCAAAGTCCATTACCACCCGACAATTTTTAGTATGATATGAATAAAACATACATCTAAGTTACACCACTTTACGTGTTTTACACAGTTTTTATGAAAATCTATTTTTAAAGTTTAGCGTTTATGACATTGCATAATTGTTTTCATGTATTGGTTTCAATAATTGGTTTCAACTATTATTTGGTGTTAATTTTTTCCTTTGCAAGGCGAAAGACATGCACGCACTGGCACTTGTTGTACAACCATTCATTTCTGGGACTTAGTATACATGTCAGTGACTACATAAAACATCCATTCAAAGTCCGGTCGGAGTTTCGACGTTCTCAGTTTCTGATGGTACGGGGGGAGCGGCAAATGAAGCGATGAGCGATAGCATGGCATGGCAGAGCATGCCATCAGCATTGGTCTTTAATACATTCATGGCTAATGAATAGAATTCGTATTTTTACTGTTTTTAAACTTCCATTGTTCAGGCAAACGACCTCTCTTTCATATAAAAGCTTTAAAAGTACGATGAGTGAACAACATAGTTTTCCTAAGGAGGAAGAAAAGATTTTGGAATTATGGAAGGAATTAGATGCTTTCCAATCATCCCTCAAGCAATCGAAAGGAAAACCCAGGTGAGGTGTGCCGTTTAACGTTGAGCTTGAAACACAACAATTTGTTGCAACTTCTTAACCTTTTCCTTATTTTCGTAGCAGCACGTTTGAAATGAGACATGTAATGTTAACAACAACTTTTTAAACTTTTTTAATACGTTTATATTTCCACATATAATGTATAATATTTCATTATAAATTGAGCTTTTTATGAATATTTCACTCATTATTCTGCGCTAATTATGGCATAAGTATTCCAAAACATGTATGCTTTAAAAAAAGTTAAAAAAAGTAGGTCATTCATTGCTCCAAATATTGTTTGTTGTGCAAAAGTTTTGAATGACATCTCCAAAACGATAATGTTCTGTTTATTCGTACTTGTGTGTGAATAATGCCACAACTTGAATAAACGATTGTCATGTACATTATTATGCACAAATAATTTGGCAATGCTTTCATTTGGCTAAAACCAATTTATCATGAGTATGACATTGAGGGACTTAACAAGCTTGATGTGTAGCATGCTATGCAATAATTTCTGCTATAAATATAAATTATCAATTTGACAAAAAATGAGCTGGCTGTACCACTGTTCACATTCATTATAACACAAGACTATCATAAATTATCATGATACTTTCTTCATAGATATACTTTCTATGATGGTCCTCCTTTTGCAACTGGTTTGCCTCATTATGGTCACATTCTTGCAGGAACTATCAAGGTTGTTTGATCTTTTGTCTTCATTTCATAACATATTTCACTTGAAATTTTTCTATAAATTTCTTATTAGGATATTGTCACTCGTTATGCACATCAGTCAGGATATCATGTTGAAAGGAGATTTGGGTGGGATTGTCATGGGTTACCTGTGGTATGTTGTGCTATTTAGAACAAAATGTGTACCAAAGCAATGTAACATAATAGGACAAATTAGTGAAATTTCTAAATTAGTGACAGAAAGGAAGTAATATTTGCATGTTCATGTAAGCTTGTACCTATGTTAAACTTCTTGGAAATGATATTGCAACATCTTATGATCTTTCCATGATTGTACCAAGGTCTCACTAAGATTGTTGTCTTCATGATCTTGCTGGATCTTTAAAGATTTTATCATGAACTTTCCAAACAAATTCAAACAAAGTGTACACTAATTGAAAATAATGTTACTGGCTAGCTTTAATGTATGGTCAAAATTCAAAAGTCTTGCTACACTTTTGATTAAAACTTTTTATATAAAATGAAAGCTTCAGCTATGAGCACACTTTATTTTACTCAATTAAGCTTTCAAATATTCTGGTCTGCATGAGCCAAATTGAAGTGATAAATGATTGGAATACATGAACAGGTTTTCATTTTTTCCACAATACAAGCATATGCAATATTAGATTTTGATTGGAATGCAAAATTGTTAGTAAAAAATTTAGAAATTCTTCATTGTTTTATGTTTTCATCAAAAAATACACTATTATAGAACTGTTTTAACTAATTAATGCACTGCTTTTCAAGTAATCATGAAAGTTTGAGGTACAAAATACTTTGGTGTAATATGGTCAATGAACTAATTGGTAGATAGTCAATGAATGGAAAGGCATATGGTTAATAAGTGGATGAATGTATGGTCAATGAAAGGATAGGTGCATGTTTGATGAAATAAGTATGTTTCATTAGAATTAAGTGTACTAAATTAATGTTTATTCCTTTGATCATTTTTTTCATGGTGTTTTATTTAGGAATATGAAATTGATAAGAAATTAGGTATTACTGTAAGTATTCATAATTGCATTTGTGGTTTCATATTTATTTGACTTGCGTGCTTGTTAAAGGACATTGTTTCCTTGAATTTTTTAATCACAGGGACCGGAAGATGTGCAAAAAATGGGAATTAAAGCTTATAACCAAGAATGTCGCAATATTGTGATGCGATATTCAGGAGAATGGGAGGTTTGGTTTTTTATTTATTTTATGTTTTATTGCATCTAAATACACTACTGTGAAGAAAGAATGATTGCTTTGTCATTCAAATCTTTTTAATATAGGCATCAAAGGGACAAAGTGTCCTTGATTTGCAAAATTTGATTTCCAAAATTATTCCTCATTTCCTTATTAAATTTTAGAATATTGTGTGTCGACTAGGTCGGTGGATTGATTTTAAAAATGATTATAAAACTTTGTATTCCTCGTTCATGGAATCTGTTTGGTAAGATGTTGAGAATTATTAATCAAAGTTCTTTCACTAGTAGCTTAGTAAAGCTTCCTTTTTTCCTTAATGTTTGAGTTTCATTTATTCCATGCGAGCATTTCTGGCTATTGATCAATGAAGTTGTCACTGTGTGTTTTTTTGATATATGTTCATTAATAGGTTTTTCTATATATATTTTAAGGTGGGTGTTTAAAGAACTTTATAAGAAAGGATTAGTTTATCGTGGCTTTAAGGTTTGTACTTCTGATTTCATTGTTAAAAAAAGACATCTTTTCATTTATTAGAGTAAAAAATATTTTTAGGTCATGCCATATTCCACAAAATGTACAACACCTCTTTCCAATTTTGAAGCCAATCAAAATTACAAAGATGTTGTGGATCCAGCAGGTAAAAACTGTGTTTTCCATGAGTATTTAGGAGCAGGGGGGAGTGTTTTATAATGAGCATATACGAAGAGGGGGAGAGTGTTTTCCCATGAGGACACTGAAGGAGGGGGGAGTGTTACCATGAGCATACTGGAAGAGGGGAGTGTCACTATGAGCATACTGGAGGAGGGGAGTGTTACTATGAGCATACTGGAGGAGGGGGAGTGTTACTATGAGCATACTGGAGGAGGGGGAGTGTTACTATGAGCATACTGGAAGAGGGGAGTGTTACTATGAGATACTGGAGGAGGGGGAGTGTCACTATGAGCATACTGGAGGGGGATGTCACTATGAGCATACTGGATGAGGGGGAATGTCACTATGAGCATACTGGAAGAGGGAGTGAGCATACTGAGCACACTGGAGGAGGGAGTGTCACTATGAGCATACTGGAGGAGGGGGGAGTGTCACTATGAGCATACTGGGAAAGGGAGTGTCACTATGAGCATACTGGAGGAGGGGGAGTCATACTGAGGATACTGGAAGAGGGGGATGTCACTATGAGCATACTGGAAGAGGGGGAGTGTCACTATGAGCACTGGAAGAGGGGAGTGTCACTATGAGCATACTGGGAGGGGAGTGTCACTATGAGCATACTGGAAGAGGGGGAGTGTCACTATGAGCATACTGGAAGAGGGGGAGTGTCAGCTAGGAGCATACTGGAAGGGGGAGTGTCACTATGAGCATACTGGAAGAGGGGAGTGTCACTATGGAGCATACTGGAAGAGGGGGGAGTCACTATGAGAAGAGGGGGAGTGTCACTATGAGCATACTGGAAGAGGGGGGAGTGTCACTATGAGCATACAGAGGGGGTGTCACTATGAGCATACTGGAAGAGGGGAGTGTCACTATGAGCATACTGGAGGAGGGAGTGTCACTATGAGCATACTAGAAGAGGGGGGAGTGTCACTATGAGCATACTGGAGGAGGGGGGAATGTCACTATGAGCATACTGTAAGAAGGGAGTGTCACTATGAGCATACTGGAAGAGGGGAGTGTCACTATGGAGACACTGGAAGAGGGGGGACATGAGCATACTGGAAGAAGGGGGAGTGTCACTATGAGCATACTGGAAGAGGGGGAGTGTCACTATGAGCATACTGGAGGAGGGGAGGTCACTATGAGCATACTGTAAGAAGGGGGAGTGTCACTATGAGCATACTGGAGGAGGGGGGAGTGTCACTATGAGCATACTAGAAGAGGGGGGAGTGTCACTATGAGCATACTGGAGGAGGGGGAATGTGAGTGGACACTGGAAGAAGGGGAGTGTCACTATGAGCATACTGGAAGAGGGGGTGAGCACTATGAGCATACTGGAAGAGGGGAGTGTCACTATATGAGTACTAGAAGAGGGGGACTATGAGCATACTGGAGGAGGGGGGAATGTCACTATGAGCATACTGGAAGGGAGTGTCACTATGAGCATACTGGAAGAGGGGAGTGTCACTATGAGCATTGGAAGAGGGGGAGTGTCACTATGAGCATACTGGAAGAGGGGGGGAGTGTCACTATGAGCATACTGGAGGAGGGGAACACTATGAGCATACTGGAAGAGGGAGTGTCACTATGAGCATACTGGAAGAGGGGAGTGTCACTATGAGCATACTGGAAGAAGGGGAGTGTCACTATGAGCATACTGGAGAGGGAGGTGTCACTATGAGCATACTGGAGGAGGGGGGAGGCATACTGGAAGAGGGGTGAAGCCATGAGCATACTGGAAGAGGGGGAGCATACTAGAGGGGAGTGTCACTATGAGCATACTGGAAGAGGGGTCACTAGGATATGGAGGGGGGGAGGCTATGGAGGGAGGGAGAGTGAGTGGAACACTGGAGGGGGTAGTGTTACCATAAGCACATTAGAGGAGGGGGGAGTCTTACCATTCGCAACTGGAGGAGGGGGTGTTGCCATTAGCAACTGAATGAGAGAGAGTTACCATAAGCAACTGAATGAGAGGGAGTTTTACCGTAAACACATTAGAGGAGGGGGAAGTCTTACCATTAGCAACTGGAGGAGGGGGTGTTGCCATAAGCATACTATAGGAGGTTGAGGACAAGAAATACAAACTGGGTAATTTTGATGATAGGTTGGGTAAAAGGCAGCACATCTATACAATGAGGTGATATAGAAGATACTCCCATTAGTTTTTAAATATTAGTGACTTATACCTATTATTTTATCCTTTCCACATGTTGTATATTTGACTTTTCTAGTGATCATTGATTTTCCTCTTGATGATGAACCAAATGTAAGCTTAATTGCATGGACTACAACTCCATGGACATTACCTAGCAATGTGGCATTAGTGGTTAACCCAAATTTTCAATATGTCAAAATAAAAGGTTTGATAATAATATATCTGTTAAAAGATCTTAAACTGCAAATTGTAATTATAATTTTTATTTGCCTTTATATAGTAAAGTATGTTGAAAAACTTACAATAATCTTCATTATATATTTAATATCTTCTTAATAATCACTGACGTATTTTTCTATCAATTTTTCATATTCTTTAAAAAATGGTGTTGGTTTTTATATGAAATTGACTTTAGCACAATTGAAATCATAGTGAACGCAGAGCGTATCTATTTCACCCCTTGACTTTGTTTTTCACAAAGTTATAAATTTGTAGATAATCAAACAAGTAGAGTGTACATTATGATGGAAGCCAGAATCACTGCACTATTTAAACAACCTGACGACTACACTATCTTGGAAAGGTGTTTATACAGTTTCGGGGAGTATATGTAAATTGTCTACTATAAAAAATCTATTTTGTTTGGATAGATTTCAAGGAAATACGTTAAAAGACAAGACGTACAAGCCTTTATTCAATTATTTTGACCAGGTACAGTTCATGCTTGATGTTAAACAGAGTTTCAGAAAGAAAAATGGCTGATCTTTCTTTTTTCTTTCTAGTTAAAAAATAATGGTGCATTTCGCGTACTTTGTGACACGTTTGTGACAGAAGATAGTGGTACTGGTGTTGTTCATTCAGCTCCAGGGTTTGGTGAGGTAAAGTAAATAATTTTTTAAATATTTTTTAAAATATTTTCTAGCTAACCTTAATTGCTATGATAACTCTATCAACGTATCACAAGAAAAGCAGTTCTTTATTGTTGTTAACCTTGCTACTTCATTATAAACTCTAAATTTAATCATCTTGTGTGAAGATAATTTTAATTCACGTCTTTCCTGAAGGACGATTACCGTGTATCGTTAGCCCATGGTGTGATAACCAAAGACGGAAAAATTCCATGTCCTGTTGACAGTAAAGGACATTTTACTGAAGAGGTCACTGATTTTAAAGGCATTCACGTCAAGGTAGTCAGGGATTGTTATTTCATTTGAATTATATACATGACTTGCATGACGTGACGTATCATTTCCTCGCTTTTTTATGAAAACAAGTCTACCATAAATTTAATGTTGAAATGTTAAACATACGTAATGAAGATATTTAACTTCAACCTGTGTAATGATTTAGGATGCTGATAGCAAGATCACCAAGTTACTGAAACAACGAGGAAGATTGGTTCATCAAAGCACAATAAAACATAGTTATCCATTTTGTTGGAGGTATACCTTTACAATAAAACTTTCCTTCAAATAATTGTTCAATGTGTTTCCATCCGCATGTTTGTTTTTTGATGAATAATTGATGAATCGTTTCACAATTTTTATTCTTACTCAAATCTTTTTAGATCGGACTCTCCACTTATTTATAAAGCCGTTCCTGGCTGGTTTGTCCGTGTTGAATCTATTGTTGATAAACTGCTGGTCAACAACCAAAAGTCGTATTGGTTAGTTAATTATTTATTGTTGAAATAATCTTCTCGTATTTGTTCTTGGTCTGTGCAATGCATTTATTGAACGGTGTCTGCACTTGGACGGGATTTTAGAAACACAATTTTAAGCAAGTTAAACCTTTCTAGGGTACCCGAATTTGTCAAGGAGAAACGTTTTCATAATTGGTTGGAAAATGCACATGATTGGAATATTTCACGAAATCGTTATTGGGGAACCCCCATTCCGCTCTGGGTGAGCGATGATTATGAAGAGGTAATTGATTTTTTATTTGCTGTTTTTTTGAAATGTTAGACAGAATTGTCTAAATTATTGCTACTGAATAAAGATTTCTATCAGTCCACACTTCTTCTGAATAAAGTTTTCTATCAGTCCACACTTCTACTGAATAAAGATTTCTATCAGTCCACACGTCTACTGAATAAAGATTTCTATCAGTCCACACTTCTACTGAATAAAGTTTTCTATCAGTCCACACTTCTACTGAATAAAGTTTTCTATCAGTCCACACTTCTACTGAATAAAGTTTTCTATCAGTCCACACTTCTACTGAATAAAGTTTTCTATCAGTCCACACTTCTACTGAATACAGTTTTCTATCAGTCCACACTTCTACTGAATAAAGTTTTCTATCAGTCCACACTTCTACTGAATAAAGATTTCTATCAGTCCACACTTCTACTGAATAAAGTTTTCTATCAGTCCACACTTCTACTGAATAAAGTTTTCTATCAGTCCACACTTCTACTGAATAAAGTTGTCTATCAGTCCACACTTCTACTGAATAAAGTTTTCTATCAGTCCACACTTCTACTGAATAAAGTTTTTACCAATCCACTCTTCTACTGGATAAATTTTTTACCAATTCAAACTTCTAAAAGTTTGATATTTTTAGTGTTATACAGGAAAACAAGTTATTTACTCAACATGAGAAAACTATCGTGTATTCCTTTATTGTACACGTTTTTTTGAAAGTTTAAATATAAAAGTCCATCCAGTAAAAGAATGTGGAGACCATTTGTTGTGTCATTGCATGTTAGTGAGTTCATGGAAATCGTCGAGAACTTGCTCATACTAACAGTATTAGAACTATAAATTAAATATTTTATAAAAGAATGAATATGTTTAATGCTTAGATTATTTGTGTGGGGTCCATTGACGAACTAGAAAAATTATCAGGAGTACGAGCAACAGATCTCCATCGCGAAAAGTAAGACATAGTTTTCACTAGTTTTTCTCAAGACCTTGATTTTTATATCAATTGTAAACAAATTAATCATGTGTTTGAACTCATATTTAGTACAGATGCGATAACCATTCCTTCTCAAACCGGTCGTGGAACCTTGAAAAGAATCAGTGAAGTCTTTGATTGTTGGTTTGAAAGTGGAAGGTTTCTCCTGTACATTGAAATTTGTTGAATTTTACTGAAGAAACGTCCTTCGTGGTTTTTAAAAGATTTCGTTTCTCTCCGTCTGTTCTGGCGTTCTTCAACAAATAAGCAACCCGCGTTGCGTACCTATTTTCATTTATATTTTTCTATGTTTAGTATGCCTTATGCTCAAGAACATTATCCCTTTGAAAATAAAGAAGAATTTGAGAAATCGTTTCCTGCCGATTTCATTGCCGAGGGAATTGATCAAACTCGAGGATGGTATGTTGAAATCATTTCGGATTATTAATTGTATCCTTTTGTTTACATCAATTCATTTATCATTGTTGTACATACTTAACTTCTCCTGCTCCTATATGTCACCCTAATTGTACATACTTATTACTCAATATCCCTGTTGATCGTTTTGATTCATTGTTTCGCAAATATATCGTTGCAGGTTTTATACACTGTTAGTTATATCAACCGCATTGTTTGATGAGCCACCTTTCAAGAATCTCATTGTTAACGGACTTGTTTTAGCAGCGTGAGTATTGTTTTATATACACTTAAAAATATTTTTAGGCTAAAATTTTTTGTAGTATGGATATTTAAAACATTTATGAAGGATACGCCAATTGTATTTGAAACCAATTGTACATATATGAAAAATTCAAATTTTGATTCAATTCAATTCAATTCAATTCAATACTTAAGAAACCAATTCTATTTGAAAAATTCGATCTCAAAAAATTACTTTGGGTAAGGCTACCAATAAACAAATTATTTCATTTTAAATATTTTTTTGTCTCATAGTTGATTTTGTTTTCTTTTTGAATGATTTTATTCTCATTTTGCATTGAAATGTTCATAAACATAAATTTTTTGTTTTTCTAGTGACGGTTCTAAAATGAGCAAAAGGAAGAAAAATTATCCTGATCCAATGGAAGTTATAAATAAATATGGTTCAGATGCTTTAAGGTAATCATGATTAATGAAAAAATCCTCTGAGTAATTGACCTTTGTTTTGTTGGGGTAACAGTTGATGCTATACTGAAAAAGTGTCCGAGTATCTGTCCGTCTGCCCTTCGTATACGAACGATGACGAATAATACCGTTTTCTCCGGAAAATACTGTAAGCTACTTTGTATTCAGTATTTAAGACCTCTCTCCTCTGCAGAAGCTTCATGTGAGCTTCACATTCATTTCCGGCTGCGTTCGCATCATATATCTTTTTATACGTTTTCATGCTTTCATGCAAGGCTACTCACATTTACGCTGTTCGTACCTATTTTTACATGTGAAATGTTTTTATATTATAGATTATATCTTATAAACTCGCCAGTAGTCAGAGCTGATACTCTGAAATTTCAAGAAAAAGGTGTTAAAGATATCATTAAAGATGTTTTTTTACCTTGGTTCAATGCTCACCGATTTCTTTTACAAAATATTCAACAATATGAAAAGGTTTGTTTTTAACTCATTCTTACTAGCAAATTGCGGTTGAGTCAAAAGGCAGTGTTTTTTGCACCTTTCTTGGATATATTAGTTTCTTTCTCAACTTGTCTGACCTTTAGAAACGGAAGAAAGTTTTTTTAACTTGTTTTTGACGCTAATTTATATTTTGTAATGTAATACGTTATTCATTGATTGTATTGATAATGTTATAAAATTATTGCTTTTCATCATTGTTGAAATATGCATAAATTGAACATGGTGTATAACGAATTGTAGTGATATGGGAGTTACAGCGTTAGAAATATTGTAGTAAAGTTGCTTTGATGTTATTTTGATGTTGAAAATTTTATACGTTTTTCAGGAAAATGGAGTGAAATTTATGTACGATGAGTCAAAGCTGACTGATTTGAATAACATAATGGATAAGTGGATTCTTTCGTCAGTCCAATCTCTTGTTGTATTTTTCGAACAAGAAATGACAGGTAAACATTTGAAATTTAGATTTTGTTATTATTATCTCGTGCGATCACTTAGCTAGTTTTAAGAATTACACCGTGTGTATATTCTTATGTTGACATGCAATATGTGCGTTCACTAAAAGAAGCTGATGAGTGTAAATGTTTTACTTTGTTCTTGGAAACGTTTTATAGCTTACCGTTTGTACACTGTGGTTCCACGTTTGGTTAGGTTTATTGATCAATTGACAAACTGGTATGTCAGATCGAACAGAAAACGAATAAAGGTTAAATATTTTTGTGTAGTTTTGTTTTTAGTCCTCAGTAAGAAATGCAAGGGCCACCTACCCCCTCCCCTCCTGATTCCGTTTGAAGTCTAGATATATGTGTCCTCTTAAGTACTTGATTACTCATACACTTGATTTGTTTCGTTTTAATTATTTATAAAACCAACAACAGCTGAACACCAAACTGAAGAAAGAGGAACGTCAGAACATTAAAATACTGTCTATCTACTCCAACTGCTATCTTTAACATAGCTTTAGCTGGCCTCTTAGCTATAGAACTTAATTTCTTACGTTAAAATAAAAACACACGGGAAAATATGAAATGATTTTTTTTTACTTTCCTTTCCCTGTATTAGTATATAATGCATTTTAGTATGAATGAAACGAATGTGTTATTTTGTTCAGGGTGAGGTTGGTGTAGAAGATAGTTTAATGGCCATGCAGACATTGTTTTGTGTTATTTATTCAATGAATAGAATGATGGTAAGTGACATATATTAAATTGCTGGTGTTGTGTCATATTGTGAGTAATTTTTTTGAATTTCCCTAGGCACCATTCACACCGTTTCTGACTGAATTTATGTATCAAAAGATGAAGAAATTCATTGAATTTGACAAATGTGAAGAGCACAATGATAGTATTCATTATCTGATGCTTCCTAAATTAAGGTTTTTCCGTTTTTCTACTTTGCTCTATGTATTTGGAATTTTTTTGTGCTTAGTTGTCTAAAATTTGTTCGAAGATGACTACCACCAAGGTTAACAAAACTTCAGTCGATATGAACAGTGTGCGAGTTAGTTCAGAAAAAACGATGTGAAATTTTTTGACAAAAGTGTTTCTTTAGAGGCATAATCAAATCGATAGTACATTATTTATTATACAGCGCTAATTGCTAAATTATTATTTTTAAACGTGAACAAATTCATATGATTTACGACAGTGTTTTATCGTTAAAACCGCTGATTTTTGCACATCGTTTGAAAAAGTGATGTGCAATTGTTTTCATTTTAGCTAAAACGATGTGCAAATTGCACATTGCACACCGTTAATTCGCACACTGTATATGAATGTTAACAATCCTTCTCAGGACTACACCAACTTGGGCGATCTACATCTACAAACGTGTAACGATACTCCCGGTTTCAAATTCTTAAGATACAGAGTTCCAAAAACTCGTAGCTATATCTCCCAATTAAACAAAATTGAAATATATAATTATATCTAACATAAAAAGTATTAATTTCTTTATTGCACTTCCCGCCCAATGTAATGTATTACTTGCAACATAAATCTCTTAAAAAATCATATATTATGTGGATTCTTTGTTTTATGATATTCCTCAAAATGCAGTTATCAATCTTGTACATTGCAAATATAGAAAAGATTTGATTCATGAAGATATCGAGAGAGCTGTTGATCATATGCAGTCGGTAATTGAATTAGGTCGTGTGGTTAGGGACAGAAAAACTTTACCGATCAAGGTAGGAGATTTTCATTTCATTCCTTTATTGAAAAACCTCGTTTATAACTTATTTGCTGTGTCAGGTGCTGTAAATTCATGGTAGTTATATGTGTCATGAATTTTGCAGTACCGTTAGCAGAAGTTGTATTTACAAATGTTACAATAACCTTTATCAAAAGCTTATTTTCTACATATATGTATTAAATGTTGCAGTACCCTTTACCAGAAGTCGTTGTAATACACCAAGATCATGAATATTTAAAAGACGTCGAATCTTTGGAAAGTTATATTGTTGAGGTCGAAAATTTGTATGAAAGCACTGAGTTAATCACAAAAAGACGCGTCTGAATTTACACAACTTTTTGTTTTTCAGGAATTGAATGTAAAGAAACTGACTGTGTCATCAGAAAAAGATAAATATGGAATTAAACTGAAAGCAGAGCCTGATAATCAAACTTTGGGTAGAAGACTTAAAGGAGATTTTAAGAAAATCTCTGGAGCAATAAAAGGTCTGCTTTGTGTTTCAAAAAATAATCTATCGTTTTCAGGCTTGACGAATACCACTGTGTATAGTCTTTGCACTAGTGGTATTATTTTGTTACTTGGATAATTGCTTTGAACTATGTGATTATTGTACCAATATCTGATCTTTGTATCGCTATCTCATCTTTGTACCACTATGCAATCTTTGTACCACTATCTGATCTTGGCACCATTACCTGATCTTTGCGTCTCTGTTTGATATTTGTATTACAACCTGATCTTTGCATTTCTATTTGATATTATCATAAAAAAATTTAAGAAAAGTTAAGAAATATTGTTTTGGTTATGGAATAACTTTGTGCCACGATCTAATTTGTTAAAACACCATCTGATCTTATGTAAAATGAGGAAACTATTATTTCACTTACTTTCATATTGTTAAGGTATTTTAATAGTAATATCTGAATGTATCTTTAGAACTGACAGACAGTCAGTTGAAGCAATATGTCAAGGATGGCGAAATTACTATTGCTGGACATAAGCTATCTGGAGAAGACATAAAGGTTCTAATTGAATTAATTGATCGAATTATTTCGTTATGTACTTGCAATTTTATGTGCTTAAACAATTATTGTAAATCTGTATTATTTTGCAGTTGATTTACACCTTTGATCAAAACAGCTCGTCGAAATACGAAGCTCATTCTGATAATGATGTAAGACTTAACACTGAAACATTGCAACTTATATGAGACATTTAAATGAACTTTTAATTACCGACAAATTTTTTTCTACGCCTCCCCTCTCCTCTTTATTTCGTGAAGTTTTCGAAGCTGTTGATAACATAATGTTTTGAATACTGTTGTATAACAATGTGGCAAAAATCTTTTCAGGTTCTCATTTTGCTTGATGTCACGCCAGATCAGTCAATGTTGGATGAAGGAGTTGCTCGAGAAATCGTTAATAGAATACAAAGACTCCGTAAGAAAGTATGGTTGTATATATATTTTTGTACGATCTAAAAAATCATTAAATCATACCTTCAAGAGCATGAGTAACTTTTCAGTATTTAAAATATTGAAAGAAATATTTATACCATGAAAGAAATATTTATACCATAAAAGAAATATACTTTGAAGAAAATATTTGCATCTTTTCAACTTCATAATAATACTTGTACTATAACATTAGAAATTAACAACACGAAATGTTTACAACATACCATTATCTTTTCATTAGGCAAATTTACAACCGACTGATGACATCACTCTGACGTATGAGATTACGTCAATCGGTGACAAGGAGAAAGCAATGTATCTGAAATCGGTTATTAACAATTATATGGCATATATTACTGACGCTATAAAACAACCTATCGTTGCCTCTGATTCTAATGTCCAACTGCCGTTTATAACAGAGGAAAAAGTCGAGGTAAGAATGGGAAGTTTGCAACTATACTTGCTGAAGACAATTTCACCTTGTCCTGCTTTTTTATTAGTTAAAAGGCAGTCAACTGACACTATGGATCTACCGTGGACATTCGTCGTCAGTGGGCTCAGGACCAACACCATTCTGTAACTTTGTCAATATAAAACTTGCTTACGATGTCAAACCTGGAGCAGGTGTGACTGGGAGTATGGGAACCATTCTACTAGAAAATCCTAAAGGAGAATTTCCTTTAACATATGAGGAGTTATTTAAGCAGGTGGACATAAGAGTGATATTGAGTTGTAAATATTCTGATAGCGACATCGGTTTTTTTATCACACAGGTACGAAATGTATTTGGATTATATGGTAAAAAGATACGTCTCTCTCTGGATGCTGAGGGAAAATCGGGTACGTATACTAATATTCACTCAGTATAGATAAGTATAGGTAAGTATAGATGGTGTTGGTAAGGTGATGTATTGTATAACTTTTACAAAATGCCTTTTTTCGGATTATGTTTTATTTTATATCTCATGAAATTATCATCTTGTCAAGGATTGAGAGTACATAGTAGACTGCGTTAATTAATTAGCATGTCTATATTTAATTTAGAGATGACATCATTCGAACCATGTGTAAAGTCAGGATCAACCGTTTATGTATTTTCAAAATGATACCAACTTAACTGACCCATTCATAATTATGGTTCATAATTTACAAAATTGAGACAATTGCAAGAGAATATAAACCAACTGACATGGTCAGTATACATGGAAAGTTGCATATTAAAATTCCTTTAAAATTTGTATTGGTTTGTCGTCTTATCCATGTCATCATTTTCCTTATGATACACTGGAGTTTTTACATCATTAATGGTACACAACGATATTTATACTTTCAATACTTATGTGATTAGGGCTGGCTAAAACATAACCCAATTAAAATGAGTTTGATCATAAGGTGATGTCATGTATGGTGTTGGTTAGGTAATGATACAGTGTGGGGTATAGTGCTGGTCAGATGATGTCGTGTAGGGTATGGTGTTGGTTAGATAATGTAATGTAGAATTATGGTGATAGTCATGTGATGATGTAGTGTCAGTGAAGTAGCATGTATGTGGGTATGGTGTAGGTCAGGTGATGTAATGTAGGGTTATGAAGTCCAGCCAAGGCTTAGTCATGTAATGATGTAGTATTGTTGAAGATGTCAATCAGATGATTATAAGAGAGTTCATACACAAGTGGCACATATGAAGATATGACAAGGAAAGTACCATTGATTTAACAAAAATAATTTGCACACTTACTACACAAAAAATAACTTGTATTATTTTTGTTTGGATTTTTATCTTAGTTTTTGAATATGGGATACATAGACTACGAAACAATGTATTTGAATAAGTGTTTTTAACAACGATTTTTACTATAGTTTTCAACTATGGAGTTCATAAATAATGAAATGTTATGAATGCGTAAATTGGATTGGAAATTAGTGTTAGATAAATAGAGTCAACAGTTGAGTCAACTATTATCTTCTTTCAGATCACAGCTCATCAATTGTTGTTCTTTTCAAAATACATGAAATCCTAAACAAAGCAGAATCAATGTAGAAAGTAAAAAAATGTTGTTTGGTCATCTGTAGTTGAACAGTTAAACACCAACAAAAGTAATGCAACACATTACGCTAACAGCTTGTAAATTTATGTAAACTTACAATAAGGAAGGCAGCACCAAAAACAACAGCTTTGGCAGCAACATCCATGTCCATTGGAACTAAAAGATGTAAAGAAACAAGTATTTTCAAAACATAAAAAGATAACAAATCCAAAAAGCTACCTTTGATATGACTCATTTTTTAGAACTAATAATCAAGTAACTAAACTGTAGTATTATACTCTCATTTACTGTTTAACATCTTGAAAGAATATTATAGAAAATTGCTAACTTACAGGAAACAGAAAAGTTGTCAGCATCAGTGAAGAGTTCCATCAAGCCCATCCACTGTTTAGTAATCTTTCCAACTTGATTTGTTTCATCACATGACATTACCTTGACAAAAAAAGTAACTTAGCCAGGTCAGTACATTAGTTTTTATTCATGAGATCTATAGTCTTTGAACCTACAACCATTGTTCAGTGACATTGCTCATAGCTTTTTGAACAACGTTATTGGAATAAAAAATTGACATTTGCGGCACATGCAATATTTCATTTCAACCAATTTCATCCAAATTACAAATACACGACATTACAAGAATGTCGTTGGATTGAAAAAGATAATGTAAAATATAAATGAAAAGAGACATAAGACAAGAAAAGGAAATCTTTTCTTTGGTTAAATCTCTTAATGACAAAACAATGACAAATGTTTAGGAATGTTAAATAACCTCTCTAGGTTTTTAAAACATACATTATAAATAACATCACCACAACATTTACTCTGGCACATTGGTCCTCCAATGGTGAGAATGTGTTCTTGATTGGCATTCAACAAATCCCATTTTGGATAACAGCAAGTCCATCTATACAAGTTTTAATAATGATTCTTAAAGAGTCTCTGGTGATTTGTAAAGATAATTGTGATGAAGTGTAATATTTGAAAGAGCTCTGGCATGTAGTACACATCGGTTGCAGCTATCAATAACCATACTCAACACTAACCATACTCAACACTAACCATACTTAACACTAACCATACTCAACACTAACCATACTCAACACTAACCATACTTAACACTAACCATACTTAACACTAACCATACTTAACACTAACCATACTCAACACTAACCATACTCAACACTAACCATTCTTAACACTAACCATACTCAACACTAACCATACTCAACACTAACCATACTCAGCACTAACCATACTTAACACTAACCATACTTAACACTAACCATACTTAACACTAACCATACTCAACACTAACCATACTCAACACTAACCATACTCAGCACTAACCATACTCAGCACTAACCATACTTAACACTAACCATACTCAACACTAACCATACTTAACACTAACCATACTCAACATTAACCATACTTAACACTAACCATACTTAACACCAACCATACTCAACACTAACCATTCTTAACACTAACCATACTCAGCACTAACCATACTCTACACTAACCATACTCAACACTAACCATACTTAACACTAACCATACTTAACACTAACCATACTCAACACTAACCATACTCAACACTAACCATACTTAACACTAACCATACTTAACACCAACCATACTCAACACTAACCATTCTTAACACTAACCATACTCAGCACTAACCATACTCAACACTAACCATACTCAACACTAACCATGCTTGAAACTAACCATACTTAACACTAACCATACTCAACACTAACCATACTCAACACTAACCGTTCTTAACACTAACCATACTCAACACTAACCATGCTTGAAACTAACCATACTCAACACTAACCATACTCAACACTAACCATGCTTGAAACTAACCATACTCAACACTAACCATACTCAACACTAACCATACTCAACACTAACCATACTCAACACTAACCATGCTTGAAACTAACCATACTCAACACTAACCATACTCAACACTAACCATACTCAACACTAACCATACTCAACACTAACCATACTCAACACTAACCATACTCAACACTAACCATGCTTGAAACTAACCATACTCAACACTAACCATACTCAACACTAACCATACTCAACACTAACCGTTCTTAACACTAACCATACTCAACACTAACCATGCTTGAAACTAACCATACTCAACACTAACCATTCTTAACAATATCCATGTTCAACACTAACCATACCTTTCCTTGACATAACCAATGACCTGCCCTGGTGGAGCATGGATTTCCATTTCTTGTAAACAACATGGACAACAACATCCTTGGCATCTTAGTGGTCGAACTAAGCGCATTACTTCACGTTGATAGTTATCAACAACTTGAATATCAAATGGACGTAAAGGACCCCAACAGAAGCGTGTACAAAAGTCAGTCTCTAAAAACAAAACACCACATTGTTTCAACTTTCATTTTATAATACAATAATATTTCACATTGATAAGCACGTTATGGTAGAAGATGAAATCTGCAATTCTCCCTTCATCTCCTCTTTCAAAGTGTTTTGTAAACAAGACAAAACTTGAATGCACATACCTTCTTGAACAAAATATATTTGTTGACCAACAGTATTATAAACAAGATACTTGTTTTTCATTTCACAGCCAGTGAAAACTAAATTAAAAATATTACGCTTATAATATGTATAAATATGATGTATAAATTACTCATTCACTTTCACGTTAATGTTTTCACATCTTACTTTCAAAAAGTTCCTTTTTTTGTTTGATAATCAATTGATCTATCTGAGTAAGATATTCAAGACCGGGAGGACAATTGGGTATTGCAACTGGCATTGGCACAAAAGATGTATCTTGAGCAACCACACCTAAAAAAATATGTCAAGAACCTCTCACAAATATTTAGGCAAGCACATAATCTACGAATGATTTCATTTTGTAGGTTAAACATTGCTTCTACATTGATAAAATCGGGCGTGCAATATATAAACTGCAGTAAGCACTTGATACGTTGGTAGTCACGACTAAGTCAGGACAATATTAAGCGTACATTCAAAAGTTAAAAACAATTGATTAGTTGCAAGAATTTAGTTAGAAACGAAACAAGTATATGAATTACATAAGGTATTCTCTTCAAAATTAGATTGAAATGCATCCAATATACGCTAAACTTTCTCTTTTATACCTGGTTGCTGAGACACTGGTGGCATTGATTTATCTTTATCTGCTTCCATTTTCTATTTTCAAAGTCAACGTGAACATATGCCACATAATCACTGGGCTTGATGAGCAACAAAAATATTTGTTTCTTGTCCAATTTTGATCACGTGGCATAAATAAATACCCTATCATGTAACGTTTGTACGTGACGTCAAAATTAAAAAAAAAGAGAAAAGCACAAAATTAAATACACTGCTGCGATAAGTTCTGTTTTTATGAATTGGTTGAAGTTGAAATGTCGTATTTATGTCTAATGGCTTGCCAGTTTTTCTATGCAAATTAGATGCAACCAAATCCAATTTTCCTAAACGTTTAGGTGCTGAATGTACGCATGAGCAGAGCGGCCTACCTACTTCGGTCACATTCTGCACTTTACTAATTTGAATAATATATAATATTCTTGCAAACATTCATACAATGATTATAATGTTATCTGCCACTAGCGGCAAGGGGGTCCGGGCATAGATATAATAGAACTATATCTATGGGTCCGGGCGTGAGCGGTTACATAACACATAATGTTATTACCACCATTGCCACTCCCTCCGGTCGTTGTCGGTGTCTGAGTATTGTCCATGACCGTCCATATTAGAGAAGAATTTTGAGCACCTTCGCAGTTAATGATTTTCGTTTTGCGACGATCTGGTTCCTTTCTTCGAAAAATTCGCAACGATTTTTTGAAATTCAGAGCAATGGCAAACAGCGAGCTACCGAAAGATATTTTGGGTTTTGAAGTCAAAGATATTGATGGTAATATGGTCTCGTTATCTAAGTTCAAAGGATATGTGTTGCTGATTGTAAACGTAGCTTCTAAATGCGGTTTTACTAACTCGAACTATCCCCAACTGCAAGACCTGCACAAAAAGTAAGTATGTCATAGCAAGTATGTTTAATTCACTCAACAATTCCTCCATTCTAAGCCTGTGTAAAGTTAGTCTTCGAATTATCGTATGGTTTTGCTGCCGCTAGGGATTTGTTTATAGCCTTTTACGCTACACTAGAGTTCATAGGAATGCAGAATGGTTTGAATTTAGTTGTGTGGGTACTTTTTTCCTCACTTTGTTAATTTTTCTACAATCGTATGAAATACCATTAATCCATGATGCAATTAACACTAAAGTGCTGTAATTATTTATTTTCCTCTGGGTCATGTGACTGTACCAAAATGGTCATCAAATTGTAACAATAAAGAAATTTTTGATTAACAAGACAGGTTAACATTGGACTCTAGCTTATTTTGCCATTCATGTGATAAGGCTTTTATATTTGTCTGTCAGGTATGCAGAAAAAGGTTTGCGTATTCTTGCTTTTCCATGTAATCAATTTGGATGTCAAGAGCCAGGGAATGAAGAAGAAATTAAAGAATTTGTGAAAGGATTTAGTGTTGATTTTGACATGTTCAGTAAAATTGATGTGAATGGACCAAACGCAGATCCATTGTATGTTTATTTAAAAAAAGCTAAAGGTGGTTTTCTTCTTGACAAAATTAAATGGAACTTTACTAAGTTCCTATGTGATAAAGATGGAGTACCATACAAGCGTTATGCACCTACCACCTCTCCTAAGAGTCTGGAGAGTGATATAATGACATTGCTAGAAAAATCTTCCTTGTAACTGTAAAAGTTGTCTATAATATCAACAAACTTTATTTGACAACTCAAAATCTTTGATAAACAGTATTTCATCCATAAGTTAGTCAACATTTGATAGCTGAAATATTTCATACTCAGGGCAAATTTTGGGTTAGCTTTTGATCTACATGAAATTTAGAATTTTGTAATGAATACTACAGTCTATTAAATTTTACGATCTTCTTTACTGCTACCTTTGGCTGTTACAACTTCAAGTTTAATGAACTAGTCATCATTAAAATTGATATCTGAGAACTAGTCAGTAGTTTCAGAGTTTAAGAGAATTTTGAGTTAAATATGTAGAAGAAAAAATGAACATTTTAGCTCGATCTTTCTTGGTGTCACACGTGTGTCAATTAACCACGTGGCGAGCAATCTACCCAAAATGAAGTAAATTACACACAGTAAACGAAAACAACAGACCTTTTATTGATTTAAAATATGGTGGTCACAGCAAGAATAAGCCCCATTGAGTTGAACCATCACTGGCCATCTGCATAACTGTGCTTTGACGAAACATCTTCCATATGTTCGGCTCCACCGTAAGGTATCTTGGCCATAGAGCAACACGGAAAACTGAAGAATTTACGTCTGGTACTTTCTACCAGTAGTCTGGGGACTTTCCCCGAAGCATGTGAGAGACGAGACATTGCCCAAAGATGTGATCAATGCAAGAATAAATCAACAATCTTGTGGACAATTCTCCGTATGCTGCTTCGTAGCAGATCTTCGCTGTGACCACGTGGACACAACATGAAGCTCAGGCATTTATATTATATTACAACCAATCACAACGTGCATTACTTCTAGCCAATAACATTCAGTCATTCACTAGAAAATATATACAGCAGCACTGCGGAGAGCCGGAAACACAACACCATGTACTTCTGTTCATACCATGTTTATACAGTTAAAGTTTAAACTGTTCAATAATCATGGTTAAATCATTACGAATGTATTTTAATGTAAAAAGATTAGTTATTTAAAAGCAATTGTTAGGTGAGTGATTGAGAAATCTTTATTATTATTGTTTTGTTTAATTACTTCTGGAAAAATGGGCATCATCAAGATCCTGCCCTGCTTTCTTGAAAATATGAGTCGTCGTTGATGTTTGTTAACTTTAATGACTCACATCGTACTTCATTGTATTTTTTTTGAACCTTAAACGAAAATAGTATATACTTTGTAATTTGTGAACATATTCAGACTTTCAGTTTCCAAACTTACTCTATCCTGAAAAAAATTTAGCATTACTATGACAACTGTCTTAGACAGGGGGGGCACGTAATGGGTGAGGATGAGGGGTGTTACAACATATTAACTAGAGCTCTAGATTGTAACAGCTATTCCAGCCATTCATTCACGGCCAGAAGAAATTGGTCTTGTTGAAAATGTGGGCACTACAAACATTGATACCAACATAACACCCCCCAAATACATTTTAGTCATGTAACTCTTGTATGAGAGTGATAATCTGTAAATAAAACTTAAATTTCAAACAATGTAACATCTATTGTTGTAATGTCAAGTGTATAGTTGTGTTTTCTTATTAGGTTAATCATTTATTAATCAAAATATGTAGCAATTATTTTAGGCACGACTTTTATATTGCTAACCTCATTAAGCAATCTTTTGGCTTCTTTTATCTCTTTCTTATTCTTTTTAAAATTCTTTTCTTTTAGAAAATTTTCTACATGAAACAACAGAACCAATTATGACAATATAGTAAGTAAATAAATAAGTAAATTGTTAAGTAGTGTTGTGCTTTCCACTTATGAGAATGCATATATTAAGCCTGGTTCTTATACTGTTGCAAGTTGTCAGCATTAGGTCCTTAATGTTGGTGACTGCTTATAGTTTGATGAATACGCATAATAAATTGTGTTTTCTTGTCAATTTTTTGCGATGTACAATGACCATGACCATTGTTTCGTGATGGTTTGGCAAAGTATGAGAATTAGGCTTTAGAACTGCTAGCGGTTTGGCTTAGAGAGTGACATTTGAGTTATCTTTCAAATTTGCAATTTTTATTTAGTATATTTCCAATGCAATGTAAATTAACATTGAATATAAAGTACCACAATCATATTGTCAGAACAAATCAAGCAATGTTATTGAGCATAATATAGTTGGCTAACATATAGTACCTAAGTTACTCTCTATTGATTTTTTGTGCAAACACATTCTGTCAAGTATTAAACCCAGCTGTTCCACAGTGGTTGAACCTGGAATCTTCTTTCCATTATTGTTGTTGAGCTGCTGACAAAAAAATGCACAAAAAAACACATGAGACTGCAAATAAGTCATGAATACTTTCAAATAACTCTGGCTTTTATGTGAACATATATCCCATTGTACAACATTGAAGTTGCATAATGGAGATTCCATGACTCATTTTGATTAAATGATTAATGACATTAAATTTCTTTCATTTTTGACTTGATTTGGAAAAGTAATGAATTTGATTTTAGGATGAATTTAGTGATGGGTTTAACATGGCCTCTCTGAGCTTTGGCTAGAGAGCAGTGTTATTAACGGTGTGCGATGTGCAATGTGCAATTTGCACATCGTTTTAGCTAAAATGAAAACAATTGCACATCACTTTTTCAAACGATGTGCAAAAATCAGCGGTTTTAACGAAAAACACTGTCGTAAATCATGAATTTGTTCACGCTTAAAAATATTAATTTAGCAATTAGCGCTATATAATAATTAACGTAATATCGATTTGATTATGCCACTAAAGAAACACTTTTGTCAAAAAAATTGCACATCGTTTTTTCTGAACTAATTCGCACACTGCTAGAGAGCATGCAGGGTGGCAATTTCTCAAGGAAATATTGGTATACCAAACAATGAGACAAAAACAATTATGATTTGCTTGCAATAGAGCAAAATTTCAGAAAATATCTCTCTGTCATGATTGAAGAACAACAGAACTCAGTGAAAAGTTTAGCATAATGCAGCAACGTTCACAAAGTATTCACCATTTCAAATTTAATAAAAACTAGACAACCATCCCCAGAAAATTGTCTTGGATAGATCCTGAGTGTAACTATTCCTTGCTAACATATTAATAAAAAGCATTTTTCACTTATTGACAAAGAAACTTATGGAAAAAATCAAGTTGATACCCAGTCGGTTTTCATTGAACATTCTAGCAACTCATGATATGTGAGGCTAACAAGTTTTCTTTATGAGTCAAGAGTAATATTGACTGTAGTATAACGAAAACCGTGGGTAAATAAAAAACTGAATGAATTTAAAACAGAAATTATGGAGTATACTTTAGTTACCGCAGAGTGCCTCGTTAATTTCGACGTTCTTTCGGTCTTTTGCTGCTGTAAGCTATGCTGTGTAAACGTAAGTGGATGATCTAACACATATTGTAAAGCTGTTACGTTGCCTTGTATTGTCCTTGGTAGCTCTATTTCCTCAGGATATTGTTCATCAATGGTCAGTAAATCTTCATATCCCTTGTATTTTTTAGATATTTTAGGTTTATCATTTACACTGTCTGGAATCGTGGTTTGTTTAGGTTCATTGTTGTAGATTAGTATTTCATCATTTTCATCATTGTCAGTCTATATAACGTGAAAGTCTGATAAGGAAACAGTTTTTGTTCATCTTTATCATTTTTTCTCTGTGTTTTAAAGTAAACTTATTATCTTCACATTAAAAACGTTTGTTTCATTGTACGAATTTAGATTTTACCTGTGTAAGAAAAATACGCTCTTCTGAGGGAGTAGTTTGTCTTGGAGTGATGTTAGTTTGGTCATCAATATAAGTACACAGATCGTTCATATCATGTTGGTTATTTTGGTTGTCGTCCATCTTTGTATCGTTTCCATTGGATGAAGATATTGGGGAATAAGTTTGTACGTAGATCCTACTGTTGAATGCTTCGGTGGCTCCAACGTTAGAAGATTTCTTGTAGAAACATCTAATACCTTAATTTATGGTAGAAGAGCAGAATGTTTTGCTGTATTTGGCACTAATTGCTTTAAAAAAATGGCTACTGGACTGTAAAGGTAAGACTATAGGTGTTTAATCCATAAATTTTATATTGAGGAAAAAAGACTTTGGTTTTTATTGACGAACAGACAACGCACAATGGGCTAAACTATCGTGTAGTCAACGACGTTTGAAGTCAACGACGTTTGAAGTCAAATTTCACTACTTGATGAAATCCGTAGTAATAATTTTTTAATTTACTTACTTTTCTTGGTATTTTGATTGTTTGTGTCTTATCTTTATTTGAAGGTTTATGCCTACATGATTGAAATACATTCAACATTCTTTTAGATCTTTTCAGAAGATGGCGGAGAAATGAGTCTTAGCTAACAGCAATTGCAGTCAGACAAGAAAAGATCTTTTACACGAATACAAATAATAACCTGGTTTCATTGTGAATCAGGGTCTTACCTGCACCTAACTGTCTGTAAGTTTCAAAACGACAGATTTTAACTTTTAAATAGTATAGAAATCATAATTGGTATTTTTAATGGATGGTAAATTTTTAAGGTTTGTCTACACAAAGAAAAAGTTTGCTTGAAATGTCGTATTAAATAGAAATGTTGAATAAATAAGCTTACAAATACATTGGTGATAAAATGTTTGGAAGAAAATGACGAGTTTATCCAATAACTGTACACCATACCTAGTAACTTCTATCCCTGCTACAAGACTCAGTTGTTGCATGACCATTGGAGGTCCCCATCTACCACTAATTGCCACTGGGTTACCCCATATAACCACTTTTTCAAGACAAGGCCATGTTGATAGTTCTAGTAGATCTTCTTCATCCTTAATATGGTTGTTGGCCAAATTTATAATACGAAGTGATGAAAATGGTGACATATATCGATCTAGGAAACATTTATAATGTATAAGATTCCGGTAAAAACTACCGAAAAATTGTCCTAGAAAAAATTCATTATTAAAGCGTAATTTAGTTATCTAATCACATAATGTTAAATGCTTCAGAAATATGTCTGAGTAAATAAGTAACGATTGCTCGTTGATAAAGGTGCCTTTCTTATGATGGCAAAATTCGTTCGTAAAATGGTTTGTCATAAAAATATTTATACTTTTCTTTAAAAGGAAACAAGCTAAGAGTATTTTTAACATGTTGCATTATGGCCAGCATGTGTAACAACATTATAAGAACTATGCAACCGCAAACTGCTTTTAAACGATTTTATAACTTTTGAAACGAGCAACATGTTATAAAAGGGATAAAAATGGTACTGTTGAAAATACTGTTTGAAAATACTGATGAAATATTGGTGAAAATTGTTGGCACATCGTAAAGTTTAAAAACACAAGATAAAAATGCTTCAAACTATAAAATATTTAATACATTTTTGTAGATGTAGATCGTCCATGTTAGTAGAGTCCAGAAAAGGACTGTTGGTTTTGATGTTGAGTGACTTTCAGACAACTTTAGCCATAGTCATCTTCAAAGTAAAGTGAGGAGTAAACGTCAGGTTTGATGTGTTTGTTATCTGGTTCATACGTCATCATATTGAAGTAATGTGAATAAGTTGTTTGTAAGGTGCTCGTAATTGTTGTGATCTTTTGAGTGGTTACTAACAGGATGACGTATGAACCAGACAACAAATACGGCAAAGCTGACCCGTGACATGACGTTGAGTGGTTACTAACAGGATGACGTATGAACCAGACAACAAATACGGCAAACCTGACCCGTGACATGACGTTGAGTGGTTACTAACGGGATGACGTATGAACCAGACAACAAATACGGCAAAGCTGACCCGTGACATGACGTTGAGTGGTTACTAACGGGATGACGTATGAACCAGACAACAAATACGGCAAAGCTGACCCGTGACATGACGTTGAGTGGTTACTAACAGGATGACGTATGAACCAGACAACAAATACGGCAAACCTGACCCGTGACATGACGTTGAGTGGTTACTAACAGGATGACGTATGAACCAGACAACAAATACGGCAAAGCTGACCCGTGACCTGACGTTGACTACCGCCAACATCAACAACATCAACACCAACATATCCAATCATACCCGATACTGGGGCCATAGTATAATTCTGATAATAAATACGTCAAGATGAAACGTAGAGTCATAACAAGAGAGGAAGGACTTTTTCCTCTTGCGCTGTTTTTCACTCATTATATTTATGCAAATTATTTTTGCTTTGACAAAAGCAAGATCACAATTTGTTGATGATGTATTTATTTATTCACACATTGAGAATATGTTGCCCTTCATAAATTACTTCAAACATATAATGCTTAAAAGTACACACAAAATCCTATACTACATATAGATAATACAGTCAAAGTTTTATGCATGGAAAAAACAGAAAACAATCGAGACAAAAAGACTAATGATAAATTCTCGTTTACATTGTAATCGTTAACCATAATTATTCCTATATTCAGGTGTATATTTTGGACAATTCTTAGAAGTCATGCAATTGTAAATAGCTTTTGCTTGTTTTAGTCCACTGAGACATCCACCTTGTGTATAACCCCAATAAACTTCATCTGTTGCTTCACCTGCAAAAAACAGGTTATCCAAACGACCTTGTAGATTACGATTGTCAGCAGTTGTAGAGCCTACTACGCTGTTGCTAAACGAACCACGAATGTAAGGATTTTGACTTAACCGTCCAATAGAAATTTCTTAGAAAAAAATAATATGTGTTATACATAGAGAAAAATAATAATTTGTTATTTTGTGTTGGTTTAAGTTTTTCATCTCATGCATTATACCTTGAGGTTGGGGTAAACTGACGTTAGGATACATTTTCGCCAATGTTTTCATGATTTCAGCAATTGTTTCCTCCTTACTCTGAGTCTCGATGCGCAGAGCATTGTCTTCAACAGCAGTGAATAACAAAATATTTGAACCATTATGAATTTTTTGTTTAAGTTATACAAGAGAGGAAAAGTTTCGGTAATCGATGCAGGATTGATGATGAACTCTTGATTTTCCCAAAAGGAATAAGGAAATTTGACAATATATTACAATAAAATGCCAGTGGTAATCTACTTATTGCTTCTTTTTTCCATTGAGGTAACATCGGCGTAAATTTTACCAAATCTGACGCCAAAACTCCAGTACTAAATGTGCATAAAGCGTATTTTGCGCGGTATTTATGATTCGTTCGTGTGAGTATCTCTACACCGTTTGAAGTATAATTTATTTGAACCACAACAGTGTTAGTTTTGATTTTTTCTGTAAAATTTTGAGCCAAATGATCAATAATGCCTCTAAAACCTTGTGAATCAGTTATTATTGCATTTGTTCCAGGTTCACCACTGAAATGTCGTGTTGATATAAGTGAACTTTTAACTGCATACTCGAAGTCATAAAACATCCATTCCACTGTTCGTTTTAAAGGAGTATCGGCAATCCATCCGTTGGCTGATAAAGCCGACATCAAGGGTTCATCTTGATTTCTTACTTTATCCTTATTTTTCTTCGTTACCTTCAATTGGATTTCTTTGAAGCGTCTATCAGTTTCTTCATAATCGTGTCTGTTGTACGTTGTACTCCTGTTAGAGCAACATAATGAAAATGAACAAAATTTAAAGAACATCACCACAACATTTTAAAATAAAAAAATTTCGTAGAATTGTGATTTATCGCTGACCTTACGAAATAATCGCTTTCATTGTTTAAATATGTCTGTAAATTTATTTTTTTGCCAATTGCAGGATTGGATTATTCTTTCCTTCTTCAACTAAGTGTATCCAGTTTGCACCAATACCCACAGTAATATTAGATATTGATGCTTGCTTTATTCTGCCTCCAATGTAATCTTGTGCTTCGAGAATGAGAAAGTTTGTAAGATTATTACTTTGGAAGTGTTTCCGGCTGTTATTCCTGTTATTCCAGCTCCGAGTATAAGAATATCTACTTCTGTAACTTTGCTTGTTTCCCCAAAGGCAATAAAAATGCCATCCAAAATATCGTTAGCATTTTAAATTATCTGTGATCGACATACCTCTCGATGCCCTACTGAATGTTGGTGTTCGAAAATGCTCTGATCTTAGGTATTTAACATTACAGGCTAATATTTCATTGTCTCTTTAACGATTATGAAGACATTCATGCGTGCGTAGTGTTGACTTCATTGAATTCCCACGCTAGTTATGTATAAACGTTCTTCCAGTAATAAAGTACTTTTTTGCTTTTGCAGGAAACACCTTGCATTGTTGACTTGTAATTTTAGCATGTTGGAATCCTGACACAAAGAATTTTTATCCATGTTGTGGTCAAGGAAAGTAGACGACAACATTGTTTTGTGTAACCCTGGAGGTCAGAATAATTTCTACCTACACGATGTTCATAATATCATTTGCATGTTAAAAGACCTGAACGTTCTTTTCAAAAATAATTTAGAGCTTTATCTCTTGAAAAAATTTTCATCATTTTTCATATAAGACCCACGAAAAGATCGAATCCAAGTTGAATGACAAATTACCACAAAGATATGACCAAACATGAACACATTGAAACAAACTCTGAAGAGAAACATGGCAAACCTACACTGTAACTAAGTATGTTGTTATAATTTGATGATAACTACTGACAGCCATTCCAATGAAAAATACATATTCATCAAAAAAGAAAAATTTATGAAAAGTTGTAGAGTCAGCTCTTGTCATTGGGATAGAAAAGTAGATGTGACATCATCAAAAAAAAGAGAGGGAAGATCTGGAGTTGAAGTACTGTGGTTACCATGCAAAGATTCTTGGTAGTAGGTTTTAGGATAAAAATAGACCGAAATGCTTCATAATTCTAAATACAATTTTCAGTAGCTATAAAGATTTCCTGCATTTCCAACGTCTATAAATTGAATGGAGTTCGACAGCCTTTAATTCTCGAAAGAAAGGTCGAAGATTGCATTTGTTATGTTTTGACTTTTGAAATTAAGTATCATCCTGCAGCTACTTTGACGTAAAATGGCAATAAAAGCCACAACAGTGCAATTATAGATTCTTTCACTGACTGCAGTTACAAATTTTCACTGATCAATTACAGATAAACTGCACTGCAATAAAATCAATCTATCACAGTCGAGAAATATTTCAGAGTATTATTATTTGTGTAATTCCATTCCGATCGCATTTAAAAATAAAGAAACTTTAGCTGCTATTCAACGCTGAAATCTTTAATCACGCGCCAAAATAAACGCCTTTGCAGGAGATGTCTGTTTTTATTTTGTATTGCATATAATGCAGTGCTTGCTCGCAAATGGTCGCAGATATTTAATTTTTAGAGGACGTAGTAAAAGTAAATTCCTACAAATTTTCGATCGAGGTTTGAGGGGAACAATAGGGTATTAAAGATTGAAAACACCCACCATACCTTGATTGCATTGATTTTTCACAGTTTCATGGTGATAATCTGGCTGACGTTCAGAATCAACTGCACCAAACAAGTCTTCTTCAAGGATAGATTTTTTACTATTGCCATTGTCAATTTTCTGATTAACCATTTCATTCAACATATGTTGTCTTTCTCTTTGAGTATTTTCTTCGGTTGTATTTTTATATGATTTAGACTTGGCGTGAAGTAATTGTAAATATGGTACTGATGAAATTTTATTGTGAGCCAGGTTCAAGTATTTCAGTCTAAACGGAGCGAACAAAATATACAATTATTCCTTTTTCCAACTTAAAGTCAGAAAGAATTGAAAGAGTTAACAGAACCATTTACAACAAACCTCTTTAAATCAGCAAGACAACTAAACGTATCTTTATCCGTGAGATAGTTTTGATCCAGCCAAAGTTTTTCCAAATTTACGAATGGAATGTATTTTGACGATTTCTATATTAATCAGAAATGAAGAGCAAGATTAACACAAAAAGATTACAAGAAAAACATCATGGATACAAAAGTTCAGGATAGATGGAGCGTCTTAGATAATAGCGCATTCTTCTTTTGATGACAATCCCAATGATATATTATTTTCAACAGTCAAATACTTACGAAACAGGCTTAGACATTCCTGTTGGTAAGCTTTCTAACTGATTTCCTAAAAAAACATTAACGAGGAGGTGTAAAACATCTTGTTTAGCAAGTAGTATCTATTTACATTAAAAACTAAACAGAAGCACAAATCTCTGTTCTGATATACACGAACGATACGGCGACTGTTAAAATGCCAATTTTGTGGAAAGAAGATACTTCAAATTATAAATAAAAACTTTAACACTTGTCACGATGACTCTCGTAGTCATGGACGATGAAATACACAAAAACGATTAACGGTTTCAAGATGAAAGTTTGGTGAAGATGGTATAGACATCAGAGGCGTGACTAGAACTTTAATTGGGAGGGGAGGTGTAAATTCATATATTCAGTTGTGCACGACTAATTTCTTTTGAAAATGAATTAGCTTTCCAAAGAAATCAGTCAGACACAACTGAATATATAATACCCCCACATTAACGTTTTAGTTACATCTCTCATGGACACCGACAATAAAAATATGTAAGAGCAAAGGGGTTAGCCTCCGGTCTCCCAGCGCCAATGTAAAATGGACAGAAAAATTGCTAATAAATTAATAGTATCACTGTATCAATGGTAAGAAAGACGACACACTCAGTCAATGATAAGAAAATAAAAAAAGTCAAAGAGACAGAAGAATAACTTTCTTTCAGTCATAGTTTACTAAAACTTTGAATCTATGTACATCAACATAAATTACCTGTCAAATGTAAAACTTTTAGTGCTGGCAAAACTCCCAGGGCTAAAATATCGTTTTCTGTTAAACTATTACAAGACATATCTAACGTATCCAAGGATGTAAAGTCTTTTTCATTGATAACAACTTTTCCTCCAATGTTGTTCAGAGGAAGTTCCAAACTTTTTAAGCTTGGAAATTCTCGAAAATTGTCTGCATGAAAACATAAAAAGACGTTAACGTTACGTCGTAAATGAAAAAACTTTAACGGACATAAACTCAATAATAAAAGGTTGGATTGTATTTCAACTAAAATCTTAATTATAGTAGTTGGAAACCATACAAAAGATAATGAAGTATATTTATGATCAAGTTGAGTAAGAACAACTTCACAATTTCACATTAAATAAAACTTTTTTCGTAAATTTTAGCCATAGGAAGTAAATTACCCAACTGAAGATTGTTCTCTCCAGCATCAATATGAAAAACATTTTTAAACATTGAAAAATCACCATCATTTACCTAGTTAAGATAACAAGATAATTTTAACACAAATATGGTGAGGTGTAATTAATTTATTATGAATTGGATTCTTACTAGACACAAGTCTTTCCCAGAAATATTTATGCTGTAAACATCCAAAGGATCAGCAACACAACATACATTTAACTACAAAATAAAATAATAATGCTAGATTACATCAGAAATGTAAACTCCACTGTTTTGTCAAAACAAACCAAGAATTTTGCATCAAGTTTTCCTTTGGTATCAAACAATGGGTTATTTGTTCTTTTCAGATTTCCTTTTTTGTCAAACCATTCACCAGATAAATTTACATCTGGCTCACGACACAAAACAGCATTAAAACGATTTCTTTGTTCAGCTTTATAAGCAACAAGCCAAGCACCACCTAAAAGTTAATATAACAAGTTAATATATTATATAAAGTTAATACATAAAGTATAAAGTTAATATATTGTAGCTATTACATAAAGGATCAAAATTCAATAACATACTACATCCAGAAACTTTACTGCAATAACTTAGCCCTAAGTTCTTGAAAATTTTTCTGAATTGACCTGCTATTAAATTATCAGGGTATCATATACAGCCCTTCCCCTGTAGCTACAGCATTGCCAAAGAATCGTTTGTGAAAAATTCCTGATCATCGTATGGGCAAATAAATGTTCAAGTGGAGCAAGATTGCACTATTCAATATTTTAGTTTTGATAAAGGGCTTTATATAATAGCATTTTCCAAAGTCCAGAGGTCCTCTGACTCAGTTACTCAAGTCTCACACTGTCTCATATGAGTCTTAACATAAGTTTTAACAACTTTCCACTCATCAAAATTTCATTGATGTAATAAGTTCAATAACGATGCATTTAAACTAACCATCTCCTTCTGAAAAGTTCGTTCTTGTTAAACTCCGTACAGGAAAACATTGTCCAAAAAATCCAACATTTTTACCAAGTTCTGTCATGTCAACAATTTTTGTGCTTTTACATTATTTTTGTTTAAAAAAAATAAAAAACAAAAGATTTTGAGTACAAAAACCACATAAAATAATTAAAATTGAAGAACTGATCGTTTATAAAGGCAATAAACAAGAACCAAAGAATTGTTTTAGTTACCATAGTAACTAAACATCAATTCTACTCGAGATATCTTCGGAAATAGTCGGAAGCCGAATAAATGGTAAACCATTGGTTAATGAATTGAGTTGAGTGGTTAATATGCTGTCACCCATGTGTGCATCTGGTTTCTAATGCAGCTTCACTGCTTCAAGCGTAAAAAGTCAATACAAAAGACAACCAACAAACACAAACCGGGATACCCAAACCAAAAAGATATGCTTTATGGAATACACACTCATTAATATCAAGTAAATATACGTAAACAATTTTTTATTATGTTTAAATAACAATTTAAATTAAAAAATACACGGCATTCTTTGGTTGACCATAAGAATATGTCTTCAAGTTTACGTTTGCATAAACATTAACAGACGACTTAACTGTTCGCTAACAGCTTTGTGCAACTATCTTCATGGCTTAAGTCGACAATTCTTTGAAAAAATACACATGAAGGCATGAGATGTGTTGGCCTAAGGCCTACAGTATGTCCATAGGCGGCATAATAAATCACTTAGCTAGCTAAATGGTATAAACAAACGATGACTCGCCCCATTCCATCGTATTGATTATATAATATATATATTGTATATATTCTTAAGGTAGGCAACTAAAGCTAAGTATGTATTCATGTAGAAAATTATCCTATTTTTTAGTGATATAATTATTATTGTGAATTCATGCTTGTTTTTTATGTATTATTACTTTATATAAAGGTATGTGTTTGTAACTACAATGATAGTTGCCTACCTTAGAACAGAATGATGTACTCGTAATTTTGAATTCATTTAAAGAGATATCTTGGTGTGCTACAAAAAAGAACATAATTCAAAAATACTATGACATGATGCTATTCATATTGTTGATTAGAAATTTTTAGATACTTTTAACTAAGATATGAAGGATGGAAAACAATTCAGAACAGCCCATGACCAACTGCTGAACTGGACTATATTTTTTATTGAAATTATCACTGAAATTATGGAGCATTGGCTTCTTTTGACTTTGGTATTGATTTTGGTTTTGGTGTTAATTTTGGTATTTATTTTAGTATTGATTTTGGCTTTGGTGTTGACTTTGGTATTGATTTTGGTGTTGGTGTTAATTTTGGTATTTATTTTGGTATTGGTGTTAATTTTGGTATTGATTTTGGTATTGATTTTGGTGTTGATTTTGGTATTGATTTTGGTGTTGGTGTTAATTTTGGTATTGATTTTGGTATTGATTTTGGTGTTGGTGTTGATTTTAGTATTGATTTTGGTATTTATTTTGGTATTGGTGTTAATTTTGGTATTGATTTTGGTATTGGTGTTAATTTTGGTATTGATCTTGGTATTGATTTTGGTGTTGGTGTTAATTTTGGTATTGATTTTGGTATTGGTGTTAATTTTGGTATTGATTTTGGTTTTGATTTTGGTATTGGTGTTAATTTTGGTATTGATTTTGGCATTGATTTTGGTGTTGGTAGTGATTTTGGTATTGATTTTGGTATTGATTTTGGTGTTGGTGCTGATTTTGGTATTCATTTTGGTGTTGATTTTGGTATTCATTTTGGTGTTGGTTTGTTTTGACAAATGCTTATAAAACTCATCAACATTTTGTTATGCCACTCGTAATATCCGTGACAATGTTAGAGTTGATTTTATTTTTCTCTGTAAGGAAGAAATCAAAATAGCTGTGATGATAGAGAGGAGTATCCTGATTTCATGAATATTCCTTTCCGCTACGCTGCGAGAAATTCAAGAGTTCTGATTGAGTTTGAGGTGTTGCAGATGATTGCGAAAAGGAGGGCTTGCTTGAGTTTTCAAGGTAACTTTTTATTACATACAACATTTATATGGACAGTAATTTCGTCATGTGAAGGTAGTTTCATTTGTGATTTGAATATTCTTTATATACGCTTAGATACGTAATAAATTGGACGGCTGTCTCTATGTGATGAAAAGAAATCCTTTGAATCCTGAAAGTGTGCTGTTTAATCCCAAAATTACTTGAGAAGAGAAGAAGTTACTTTCTAGATTGAATCATGAAAATATTCTAAGGTAAAAAGAAATTTACTATCCAAAATGAATCAATGTTTTATAACATAATGGTTAAAAGCGACGTTCAATTTAGACGATACAAATTTCTTTTCTTATTAAATGTTATCTTTGTAGAAACTATTATAAAAAAGTAGATAATCCCTGTTTTCGATGAAGCCCATGGATGCTTTCGTTTATAATGAGAGTCATTGTATAAGCAGGCGCTCGTTCATCACGAGAGAGTTATGAGAAAGTTATAATTCAAAAAGGCAGAAGTTGTTTGAACCTTTGAAGTATCCTTGGACGTTCTAGTTTCTTTTATGAGAAGAATTCTTGTAAGGAAAAAGACAAATTTTGAAAACAAAAAAATCCTGTTTTCGGTCCGTGCCTCCCGATACCCGTGATAGTTGAGCACTAGAGCGTCGCATGTTAACTAAGGGAACCACATAATCCTTGTTTGTTTGCCATGAAGCATATGGATGGTTTGCTCGTGATACATGAGAAACAGTAAGTGGGAGAAAGATATAAAGCGATAAAAAATGGTATAAAACATGTTTAAGGTTGTCTTTAATTATAAGTGTCAGATAAAGACAGGGTCATAAGAAGTTAATTGAAACATTGCTTGGTTTTTTTTATGAGAGGAAAACAAAAAGACAAAAGTCGAAAGCAAAAAAACCCCGTTTTCGGTCCATGCTTCCCGATACCTCCTTAAGCTCAAGGCACTAGAACGCCACATGTTAACGTTTCGGTAGGAGATTTCGGCCCCTCCACGCTATCCTACTTGGGAGATGCCAATAGCAAGCTTCCGCCCATCAGACCCTGAGATCACCTGCGATAGGCTTTGCTCAGAGTACGCAGGGAGGGTGCGGTCGCCACCGAAGTGTGGGCCCCTAAGCCACTGCATACTATATCGCACCCAGCTTCCACTGCTAGTTGACATCTACTATATGAAGTTTTAGCTTTATATATATATACCAAAATTTAAAGGCGTACGAAAGTTGTGGAATGATTGTTATCGTTACTGCGCATGCGCAGATGATTTCTTTGATAATTTGCGACTAAGTGAGTTAATTGACACAAATGTAGTGCAAATACGTATAGTTGCTCGTTTTCATGACTATGAACAATTACTCGAGCGCATGCGCAGATGATTTCTCTATTAAATTGTTACTAAGCATGCTATTTACTTCAAAATTGGTGCTAGTAGATGCAGGTTGTTGTTGCCATGACCATGAACTTGGGTAGCTGGTCAAGTTGACTGCGCATGCTCCAGCAGACTGCGCATGCTCAAGCAGACTGCGCATGCGCAGAAGATTTGTGTTCAAACTTGTGACTGAGCGAGCTAATTACTCCAAAATCGGTACTAGTACATCCAGTTGGTCGTTACCATGAACTTGGAGAGTTTGTGGTGTTGACAACACGTGCTCAGATTCTCGATTAATTTGTGACAGAGCGAGCTCTGAAATTGGTGCTTGTAAATGCGTTGAGCAAGTTTTCAATCATATGTTTTTGGAATGCTCTTTGTCTTCTTAAGCTAGTTTTGACAAATGCATATGAAACTCATCAACACTTTGCTACGGCACTCGTAATATCCGTGACACGTTAAAAATGTTTTTTTTTTCTCTATAACTTAATGCCTGTATATTGCATGTCATATTCAAGCTTTCCTTTGATTTGACGGAAATGGTTTTTATTCATTCTTACACCTTCTGCCTTTATAATTAGTCGATCTGTATTTCTAAAATAATATTTACAAATGCCCGAAGAGAATCTTTTTATTTTATTGGCTCTCTTTTACGAAAACAATACTATGTCCGACCATTTGATTGCACGAATTTTGTAATTTGATCACGTTTTTTTGACACGTGTGTTTACCATCGGAAAGATGGATTGCTTAAATGTACCTAGTTGCTTAGACTAATTGGATCCATTGTTATCCTGTAATGTATACCCCTGTGAAACACCAATGACCATACGTATTGTGTCTTCTATAACCTCTATTCTTGTTCTCCACTTCATCATGTATCCATATTTGTTCTATTTTAGGTCTCAGCTCAACACAACCCTTGTTTGAAGTTCCTAAAACCTTGGTCTACCCAAGAAAGATCTCTGGTGGTAACATGTTAGGTATGGCTAGTGGTTGGTCATCGTCATTTGAGCCTTGTGACACCAGTTCAGTTGACGTTAGTTGTCCTGAAGACGTTGAGGAGGTTGCTAGTAAAGCGTCGCCCAAACCAGAAGTTAGTTTTCATGGTATGCTAACGGATTACGCGAACGTTGTTAGCAAGAAGTTCACATCAAATATTTATGGTCTCGTTCCATCGTCTTCTGAGAAGGTTTCATGTTCATCCTGTATCTTTCACCAATGTTACAAATGCTTAGTTTTTTATGTTTTTTGAAATTGTCGTTTTAATGACTATTATTTTAGAGCATAGACATTGAAGAATCTAGTGGTAGTACAGGTATTTTTAACATTTTTTTTTGTTGAAAAACTCTCTAGTTTCAATTCTTCAAAATTTCTCATCTTAATTTTCATCTTTAGTTTCGAATCCTTTCGGTACGAGAAATGCTCGGGATTTGTGGTACTTTATACGATATATTGAATTTAAGTTTTATAGCTTTAATAACTCTTATCTGTCCATCGTAACTTTGCTATAATTCTATGGATAAATTATGTTTTTATACTTAATAGATTATTGGTGATCCTACTTCACCTGAAGATGTTCAGCAAGAACGACGTATGAAGTTACTGTCGTTAATTAACAATATAGCCCGGGAAAAAGGGTTAGATGGCCAAAATTATAAATGTAATGGTTGTTCCAGACCAATTGGAATGGGTATGATCAATCAATTCTCGACTTGTTATTTCCATAATAACTCAAATATATTTATTTTCAAATATCTTAGCTTATTAAATCTTATCTTTGTAGAAACTATTATAACAAAGCACATAATCCCTTTTTTTCCATGAAGCCCATGGATGCTTTCGTTCATGATGAAAGAGTCATATTGTATAAGGAGGCTCGCGTTCATCACGAGAGAGTTATGAGAAAGTTACATTGTAAAAGGTAAAAAGTAAAAAACCTGGATGGTTTGCTCGTGATACATGAGAAACAGTAAATGGGAGAGTTAAATCAGAAAGATATAAAGCGATAAAAATGGTATAAAACATGTTTAAGGTTTTCTTTAATTATAAGTGTCAGATAAAGACAGGGTCATAAGAAGTTAATTGAAACATTGCTTGGTTTTTTTTATAAGAGGAAAACAAAAAGACAAAATTCGAAAGCAAAAAAACCCCGTTTTCGGTCCATGCTTCCCGATACCTCCTTAAGCTCAAGGCACTAGAACGCCACATGTTAATGTTTCGGTAGGAGATTTCGGCCCCTCCACGCTATCCTACTTGGGAGATGCCAATAGCAAGCTTCCGCCTATCAGACCCTGAGATCACCTGCGATAGGCTTTGCTCAGGGTACGCAGGGAGAGTGCGGTCGCCACCGAAGTGTGGGCCCCTAAGCCACTGCATACTATATCGCACCCAGCTTCCACTGCTAGTTGACATCTACTATAAACATGCTATGTATAAACATGCTTAGAGTTTGTTTAAATTATAATTCAAAAAGGCAGAAGTTGTTTGAACCTTTGAAGTATCCTTGGACGTTCTAGTTTCTTTTATGAGAAGAATTCTTGTAAAGAAAAAGACAAATTTTGAAAACAAAAAAATCCCGTTTTCGGTCCGTGCCTCCCGATACCCGTGATAGTTGAGCACTAGAGCGTCGCATGTTAACTAAGGGAACCACATAATCCTTGTTTGTTTGCCATGAAGCATATGGATGGTTTACTCGTAATATATGAGAAACAGTAAATGAGAGATGGCTTGTAAGAACGGAAGTTTGGCGATTTTGAACTGAAGGGCGAAAGATTTACTCGTGTCTGAATTTTAAGAATTAACGTCCTAACAACAGTCGGTCAAGAGGACTTTCGACTTTGTACACTTGCCCTCGAAGTATTCTGGTTTCAAAGGACTTGCCTAAGGCATCATGCTATTAACCTTTTCATTTTGAAGAATTGAAAATGATCCAGCAGTGAAAAAGTTAAGATGCAAGATGAAGCAATTTCCACGTGACGAATATAAAATTTGAAAATATTAATATAGGCGTATTGTTTTATTGATGAGGCATATTCAGTCCAATCGTCCCTAATGAATATATTGGTGTGTGAAATACGTCAGTAGACGTCCCTGTGATAACAAAAGATCCTTAGGCAACCATATTATTACTTTACAATGCATACTTCATTTACAGAATGACTGACAAGCATTTATAAGAGTAGTAGCATCAAGCCAACCGTCCCTCAGTATCTTTAGTGTTTGCAGTCCAGCAATAAGGTTATTGAATATTGCTGACAATGCATTTGATTTACAGCAACTCAATTCGTAACATTTCATCATATTTTCAGAAAAATGCTAGAACAAGTCTACTCTACTTTTTAGGGGAAGAAACTTATAATTTATAGTAGGGGGCTTTCGTTTGATGCAGGTTACTACATGCATGCCCACAAATACATTTCAAAAATTGGCATCTTGGTAGCATAACCAATGGGCGTAAAATCTCGCGTGTCTGGCGTAAGATATGGCTTCAATTATTTGCTTGAGGTAGCGTTCCATGTATTTTAGTTCAATGGGTTGCGCTCATTGCGCATCCAGGTATTTACTATACAGGTCAGTGGGTAAACCAAGATGGCTACAAGAACGCTCCATGTTGCAAAGGTAGGGCAGTATTGTATAAAAGAAGTGAGTTTCTTGTCATATATAAGATTTTTAGTTGTAGAATTCATATGGTATTATTTCAAATTATTTGAAGTAATAACAAAACTTTTTGTTGTATTAATGTGAATTGTAATTGTGTGTTGTCCTTTCTTGCAAATTGCAATGACATCCTCCACGCTTTCAGCAATGCGACGTGTTTAGCGAAAATGTTTTACTTGAGTTGTATTTAAGATATGTGTCAAAATTATTTAAACCAAATCTTCCTATTGCTCATATCCTCCCATTTTCATTGATAGTATTATTTGAGGGAATAGTTATCTAGAATACCCATCAAAAAACGTATTTGCTGCCTCCATGCCTGACGGCTGACCCTAGATTACCAAATTTTTAATCATAACTTAGTCTGATTATTGTTGGAAGTTATTGTGGCTGGGCATTCAGACAGTATGTTCGTATGTGTAAGATTAAAATTTTAATATTGTGAAAATTTGTGATAAAATAATGCCAGGTTTTGCAAATATTTATTACTTTCAACCCATGCTACTTTTTTATCTGTTAGTGTTTCAACATGGACTTTTAAAGAACCAAATGAAACAAATTTAAAAAATTTCCTTTTGATTACTGAGTTGATTAGTAAATTTTGTTAGATGATTTATTTTAAAATGTACTGTCTACATATGTTTGTAAACTTTCTTTTTTAGAAATTTTTAACATTGTCAACATTTTTAACTTTATTGAAAACATGTGCAAGTGGAACTTCAAAACCTATTATAGCAACTTTGGATGCAAAGTGGTCATCTTCACCAATAATACTTGAAGCAAGGTTAGCAAATATGTTTATTTCAATATTATTTATGATATGTTTGTAGGAAATATCAATATAAAAAAATAAATTATTTTGTTATACTGATATGCTTTTTCTTTGTTAAATAGTTTCAAACTGCACAAAAATAACAATGACTTTGAAGTTTTCTTATATATCTATTATACATCTTTACCTGTTTTTATGCTTAAAACTGCATTAAATTCTTTATTGTATAGATAAAAAGTTTTTTGTCTGAACTCCAAATTAAATTTGAATCATTGAATCATTAAGTGTAAACTTTTTTATAATCAACGAAAGTCAGGATAATCTAGTTTAAGTCACTAAACTTGGAGGTTTTTTAGAAAATTATGCTAAGATGTGTTCATTATACTAGCCGGTTAATGCAGAAAAATTTCTTTTCAGCATAGTGTGCATAGAAACTTTTTTGCATCATTTGATCTCTTGATTTTCACCATTTGATCTCCTGATTTTCATCGTTTGATTGTTTTAGTGAGTTTTTAGCTAAAGAAGGAAATGACAAATTTTGGGATTTCATAGAATTGACAAAATCTTACCACATGCACAAAACACCATTTGGTATGTATATCTTTACATGTGTCACATTAATCTGTACAATGCAAAAGCAAATGTCAGTCCCTTGGTTATCCACCTCCTACAAACATTTCAAATCAAGCTTGGATTGTGCTCTTCTACCGACGTGATGCATTTTGTTTGAGGTTTTCACTGTCTTACATCTTTTTTTCTGTAGAGCAATATAACTTCGTTATTAAATCAGCTGAGAAGCTTTTATCTCCAACTTTACTTAATTTATTAAAGTTTTCTTTATCAATCAGAAATTATTCTCCGACAATTGAATTATTTAACCAGGTAATTATTATCTCACAATTTCTATAAAATGTCCTTTCAAAAGTTCAACTTTTCTTTTTATTAATTTTGTTGTTTTATTGTTTTTTGTTATGTTTGCGTTTATACTTATAGTCTAAATCAAGTAGAATCTTCGTCAGAAGGTTTATATTCAGGACTGCCTAATGACCTTCTGCGAATGCTATTTTTGTTAATTGTTGTAACAACGCATGTCTGTTTTTTCGATGTGATAAGCCAATGCCATTATAGTGTGCCATTCAAAATGATGTTTTATCAATTCAGTATCTCTATTTAGGTTGCAAAACAGTTAGCAGTGCCACAATGTGCAAATTTTATTGAAGTTAAATCTCGGTTAACTTGTAATGTTGACGAAGCTATAAAGTGGATTAATGAAGGAAAAGACAGGTAGAATTTTATGTTATCAGGTCTTTCAAGATGTTGTATAGAAGAAATAAATCACCTAAATTAGACAAACCGTTTTGTCTTTATCAATAAAGCGAGGTAAATTCACGATGATTATCCTGCTCATTAATCTTTAAAAAATTGCTCGTGATTTTGCTGTATGGTGTTGTTACAGGGAGGCCTATCTTCCACGATGTCAACATTGTGAACTTATCGAAAGATCTCCCTTCAATTCTGAATTATTTATTTATTATTAGTGTAATTGACATGTGTTTCCTTTGTTGTTGAATATTTTATATGTGAATGTTTTGATGTTTTTGATGTGAATGGACTTACCTTAAAGCTAAAATTCATGACTTTGATGACAATTTCATAAAGTCGAAATAAATCATAATCCGAAAATTGCATCTCGTAAATTCGATTATCTTATACTTGACGATAAAACCTCTCGCCGTTAATCAACTTGTGTTAAGGTTGAAGAAAATTGTTTTATATCGCTTCATCATAATTCATGATCAAATTTTTTTCATGACAAATTTTTTTCATGACAATTTTTTCTGAAACTTCGTTATGACTTTAATCGCAGCGCGTTTTTTAGAAATTTTTTTTGGGCGAAACATGAACTTGGTAACTTGTCACAACTTAAAAACTGTAGTTTGTCTACGATGAATCTAAAATTTTACATTTATTTACAAAACCATATTTCATTTAATATTTAGCTCTGAATTCTTCACATACAAGTTTGATCACATATATCCATCCAGTAACGTTAATGAGGTCACTGTCATTCTCTATGGAGAACTTGGTACGACTATGTTTGAAGTGCTTCATGAAAAACTTCGACAGCTTGCTATTAATGGAAAGATAAGATACCTATTACGTCATTATGTTCAGGTCAGTGACGTACGTTAGAGGTTTTTAGTCATTAAAGAATTTAAGATTTTTTTAGTGTCACCCAAATACTTTCAACCAAATTATTTGTCTTGTCAAAATTTTATTGTGGGTGTTATGTATAAACATTAAAATATTGAGAGGTTTTTGCTCGTGTTTTCAACTCCTTTTAGTCTCTTCATGTAAGTTGTCCATCCTTTCTCAGGGATTATTGTCTTAATTTCAGGCTTTGTCAAAAGATAAAGTTCGTCTATCGGGTTATGGAGTTGAACTTGCTGTGAAAAATACAGAATATAAAGCAGTGGATGATAGTAAGATAAAAGGGGCTACAGACGATGTCGTCACGTCAGATGGTGCTGAAGAAGAAGATATTGATGGATTTTTGTTCAACAAGCTGAGGTAAATTGTTTAGCAGTAACTCTAGAGAAAATGGTTATTGATTATTGGTAGTAATCGGTGTTACAAAATTTTCAAAAATGACCATCAGTAACCGGGCTTATTTTTAATATGTAGAGATTTGCATCCAGATTTGAAAGATGAATTGGAACAATTCAAGTCTCATTTAAAAGAAAATGCAAAAGTTATGGCTCCTTTAAAGGTTTGGCAGTTGCAAGGTAGCTATATGATTTCTTCTAATAACTTTTTGTTAATATAAGTTTATGCATATAATTTTAGTTTTTTTGTGATAATTTGCCACTGATTTAGTTACGTTAAATTGCTACTTCTGTGATTTTTATGTTGTGTATTTACTTGTGTAGATCTAAGTTTCCAAGCTGCTCAACGAGTAATGTCGACTGAAGGGCATGCTGCTCTTGATGTTCTTTTGGATCTCAGTCAAAATTTACCTTCTAAAGCTAGGTGTGAAAATTCTACCTTATCTGTTTATAATGTAGTTAATTGTATTGAACTTGTGTTAGTTTGATACACTCAATGCATGACGTGAAAAAGAGATTCGCAAAAAATTGCATTTATACACCATGCACATTAAATGCCAATGAATGTCAAACATTGATATCCGTCAATTACTCTATAGTCAAATTACATGTTATTCTTTATTCTGATGTTAATTTGATTGGCTTATTTTTGAAAGTTGTTACGTAATAATGATAGTTCAAAATACCTTTTTGTGGACAGAGAATTATCTTAGTAAAAATCGTTTCTCGGTTAAATTCATCTCAAACTATGTTACATTTGACCTTCTATATCTTAAAGATCGTTGGTTAAAACGAAAGTTAATGAGGAGATGAGGAAGGAAGTTTTAAGAAACCAACAGGTAAACAAAATAATTGTTGCTATTTAGCAATATGTAATAAAAATAATACACCATTTGTAGTTATTTTCTATGTCATTCATTTGTTAACCTATTGACATAAAGAAAAACATTGGTATATTTAGGCTTTTGAAAAACTTGAAATCGGTCCAGGTTCAACCGAACTCTTCATCAACGGCCTGCACATGTCTGTTGAAGATCTTAATGCATTTGAGTATGTGTTTGTAAGATTTCATAACACATTACTTGACGCTTATTTACCGACGATAATTTTAATTGACAAGTTCGTCTTTTTTTGTGTAAAGATTGCTGGGACTTTTAAGAGAAGAAGGAAAAGTTTTTGATCTGCTTTCAAGTATTGGCATTAAGGTTAGAAACACTTGACTGACTGAAGCATTTCAATTCATTTTCTAGAGTTTTTTGCGGGCCTTATACCTTATTCCCTTCAAAGATATTTTACATTCCTATTTCCAAAAATTATTTCCATAACTTGCACTTTTCTTCTTTTCATACAGAGATCTTTTTTCATTAAAAGATTCCACCAATGAAGATATACTTATAGTTTTCTTAGCAAGCATACGTAATGATAGTGTTAATTTATTTAGGGCGCGGATCTCTTTGATTTAGTAGCAACATCAGTTGAAGCTGAACAAGAAACGCTCGCTGTTGATATGCGACATCATTCTGTTGTTGTAAGCCTTGTTGTGAAATTGTTAAAATCTCAGTATTTATTGCAATCTGTTGATAACTAAAATACTGACATGGTGTGAACATGGCATAGTGCCTCGTTTTCATTCAGCGTTGTCATTTTATGTTGCCATACAAGAAATTAGTTTATTTTGGTTGTTTTAGTTTGTTAATGATCTTGAACGCGATGCTATTTATCGTGATTGGCCTTCATCCATCACCGAGGTTTGAAATGGTTAAATACACTTACTGACTAACAAACTGCACAATAATGAAGTAATCTTTAAAGAAAACTGCTCATTCAATATAAAGCTTCGCTTAGATCGTTCTTTACTACAAAGAATGCATTGGATATAATGTTTGCGTTTTAAAAACATTGCAATGTTTGTCGATGTGGAGTATTTTTGTGGTTTGACGGCCTGTATGCAGGCTTCATTACTATGTTGTAATCCTTATTCATGTAAATTATCCTTCAAACCAATATTTTAAGACAGTATTTTGACATTTATCTTTAAGTTACTACGCCCTACTTTTATGGGAATGTTAAGATATATCGCGAAGAATATCTACAATCTGGTAAATATAATGAAAATGAATTTTATCATATCCTAGACCGTAGTTGGTGTCTTGTATGTAAATAAGTGTAATATAAATTAGATCGTTTGTGTGGATCCAGTAGCTGAATCAACGTCTGAACTTATCAACATGATTGATGAAATGTATCAAAATCAAATGCCCATCAGGTAGGACTATTTTGTTTCGTAATTGACAAACATTGACTGCATGAAGCCTGATATGTCGTCTGCTCTTTTTTTTAACTACATTTGTAGGTTTGGTATTCTCTTTGTAACTGAAGCAGATGACAATATTGACGGTACACTTAACGCTGCTGTGGGAATCGCTCGAGCATTTTATTTCATCAACAATGACGAAAGTTCAGCAGCGGCTTTTGCTTTTTTGACTAAGGTATTGATTGTTACTCCATGCCCTTTTAACGTGCGACATATCATTTGGAGTGAATTTAAGCCGTGGGCAGTTTAACAAAAAATTTGATTGGTTTTTATTGCGATAACTCATCAAGTAAGAAGAAGGAACGCTTCATTTTCATTTGATATGCCATAACTTTCTTAAATCATGGGCAATTAATTTTGAATAATCTTATAACTTAACAATATTGAACGCTAAAATACAACTTGAATTTTAAAGTTTGTGAAAATGAAAAGTATCCAAGATGCGCCCATTTAGTAGATGGAAATTTATTGTATAAACATCGAAACAGACAATAAAACAACTTTTTTCAGAAAACAACTGAAAAAAAACGCCATAGCTTCGGAATGAATGCAATTACGGCATCAAATTTCTATTGAAGTGGGCTTGTGCTCACTTGCTAACATTCTATCTTAGTTTGGACGCTGTTAAAATTCTATGTTTGGGTTGCGGGTGCTGCTATCTTTGGTTGAGGGTTGTGTAATTGAAGAAATTTCTTATTTCTGGAAAATGCTTGCATTTTCTAGTTTACGTCAAATTCATTTTGATCGTAAATTCAAATTCGATTGTATTTATTGAAGTTTTTCCAAAAGCACTGTCAGTTTTTTGATAAATCAGACTTCTCTAAGTAGTAATATCAATTATCATATTTTTCAATAGCTCTACGTGGTTGGTGAAGGCGTACCTACAGCAACGCAAGTCTATGACCAGTTTAAAAATCTCTATAGTAAAGATGAAGCTGATGAAATTCTTGGAGTTGATACTGATCACGATGATGCAAGGAAGGTTTGTTGATAAAGGTGTAACACAGGAATATAAATGATTTTTGAGAGTTTTCATTTCCTACAAAACAGGCTGCAAAGTATTTCTTTGACCGTAGTGGATTGAGAAACTTGCCTCAGGCTCTTATGAATGGAGTACCTTTAAATATGGATGAGGTACAAATCTTTATCGATTGGTGTTTCAATATTTGCCATCATCTTTCTTGGTTTTTTTTTCGAAATGATTTTAAAAATCTAAAGTTATTTAAATTTTAATTAGATCAGCTTGTTTGAAGAAATGATCGGTCGTGAACTAATGGCACAGACAGGACCTTTACAGCAAGCTGTATATATGGTATTTGAAAATTATTTTCATTTGGTGGGAGGGATGAGAATATTTAGTAAGACTAGTTTACATAAATGATAATAGTTGCTCAACAGATTTGATTTTCACTTGTTTCACTATTGTAGAACCAACTACGAGACGATATGGATGTTTACAAATATATGATGGAAAAACCAAACGTAGTAAAACGGTTAAATACCATCATTCAGGACTCTAAAAACGCACATATTGATTTGGTCGGAAAATCTTGGACAGGTATTTTATGTTATTGATGTAGATATGTGTCAATGAGCTAGATATATCCTTTTGAAAATAATTCTTTTACTCGTACAATTAAATTGATTGAAAATGAAATACATTGGAGCCATGTCGTGCCTTGAAAAGTGCCCCTACCGTGGAAAAACTTCTTTAAGAACGAAGAAAGTGACTACAGTTAAAAGTGAAACAGTCATCTTTTTTGAACAATGTAGTATAAGCTTTTCTGGCTCTTGAAAACATTTTATATCATATGTCTTATTTGGTTGAAATGTTTACCATAGCGCATAGCCTCTGCGTTCAAAGATTAAACATGACTATAGTAAATAAACTGCCCCTACCAACTTGTTGAATATACGTTGATTTATCAAAAAATGGTTTCCAGTCGTTAAAATTTCTCATATTTCTCAAGGAAGTTTTTGTGCTAAGCTTGTTTTGAATACAGGATTTGAGAACATGAGTACAGTCACGTGTTATGCTTTTGAAGCGAAAGTTTTCTTTGATCGAGAAGCAACCCCAGAGTACATTTTCTTTTTACCTCGATTATTTAAATGTTTGATTTATATGGAAAAAATATATTGAGCTATGGTCATCCATCTAGTTAATTCTGTGTTCATTTAATAAATTGTTGGACTACCAACGCGTGCGTACTGTAGCTAAAATATCTTTGGTAATAATAGGACATTGAAAGCGATGTCATTAAAACTATGCATTGTTCATAAGATGACTAATCGTGATTAGTTCTTGCATTGAAGAAATTCCTTACTTATTAAAAAAATACATAAGTATGGATTGACGTGAGAATTGATAATAGAATTATTTAGTTTATATATAATTACATTTGATATCCTGTTCATAATAGAATGTTTTTTTCAACAAAGATTTTTAACCTTACCTATATCAAAGTGTTTCTAAAATTGTCGGAATAACGTGTTTTTTCATGAGATACTATGTATTGTATCTTATTGTCTTTTTTTAAGAAAATCTTCCAACAACGACGCAAGAAATTATGAATATTAGGCATGATCAACTTGTGGATATTGTTTGTCGAACAATGAAATACTTTATAGGGAAAAATGGTATATGTTGACATTTTTTCTATTTTATGGATCTTCTTATGATCATCAATCATAATGGGATTTAAATGATTTTAATATTTTACATAGATATGGAGCTACGGCCCATTACCTATTGGATTGTTACTAATGTTAATACTCTTGAAGGAAGGAAACTTTTAAGTGCAGCATTGAAACAAATGGTGAGTATCTCATTAATGGTTGTACGTAGCTCTCTGTTGGGAACCACTCACCATTAGTAAATAACTCATTGGTGAATAACTCACCATTGGTGAGTATCTCATTGATGGTTGTACGTAGCTCTTTGTTGGGAACCACTCACCATTGGTGAATATCTCATTGATGGTTGTACGTAGCTCTCTGTTGGGAACCACTCACCATTGGTGAATGACTCATTAATTGTGAATAACTCACCATTGGTGAGTATCTCATTGATGGTTGTACGTAGCTCTCTGTTGGGAACCACTCACCATTGGTGAACAACTCATTAATTGTGAATAACTCAATGGTGAATGACTCGCTTTTGGTGAATAACTCACTTTGGTGAATAACTCGCTTTTGGTGAATAAGTCATTAATGGTGAATAACTTACAGTTGGTTAGTAATGTGTATCGTCATTGTTGATTTGATAATATTTACGTTTTGAGCATCAATTTTTCAATATACGTAACAGTGACTTAGAACATGTTGATTGTCTTGAGGATTGGACGACTTTTGATCTGTGACTATTCTTGTTTAGACAAACTCAGAAAACAACAGGGTTGGAGTCATCCACAATTCAGAAGACGACAAAAACACAATTTATTCGTTAGCCGTTGTTATAGAAGCTATAGTACACACAGATTCCTATGTTACTCCAGCAATTACATCAGCTGTGACCTACCTGCTTAATGATGTTACTGATTACAATAAAATTACGTCCAATATTGATGATATTGTTGAATTACTAAAGTCAGTTAAGGTACTGTCCAAATGGTTAATTTTTATGATGACATCATTAATCTTTTATTCTCATGGATGTTTTTTGAATACCAATGCCATGTTTTTCATTTTTCTAGAACTTGAAAATATCAGTACTTAGAGAAAACCTTAAGAATCATGTAGATAGTTACAAGTTGAAGATAACTAGTCATCTGTTGTTTTGTAAGAAAGTTTTACACTTTAAAAAAGGAGATATTGGACTTGTGGCCAATGGCAGGGTAAGTTTTAGCTTTGTTAAACGCTACTTCGTTTTGAAAAATGTATAGTATGACAATTAAGTGACTTTCAAGCCACCTTTTTTCAACAATAAAAATGCATTTTGATGAGGAATATTCTCTCATGAACTTGTAGACGTTAAGCTTTTTCCATTGATGCTTTTTATGGCAAAAATTCTCTTGTGTAATGCGCTAACATTTGCTACTTGAATAATTTCTCAAGTGTGATGAAATTTTTACTCTCTTTACTGTTAGCCAAATTAACGATATTTTTAGTGGAAACCAGACACAAACGACTGAATCTAGTTGTTGTTGTTTTACAATTATGCAATACTCCATGTTGTCATAGGTGTTAGGTCCATTGGAAAAAAAAGACATTTTTATCGCTGATGATTTTGAACTTCTTGAAAACTTTGATATGGATAAATATGGTCGAAAGATTCGTAATAAGGTATTCCCGACTACTATTACTACATTGCGTATTATACATGTAAATGAAATTTCCATCTCATTGAGAATTGATGTTTTTTTTCAATGTTTTGTTCTGCAGGTTGATGCTTTCGAATTTGTTGATCTTGAGGCTGACGATGATACGAGGTAAGACGTTTGGAGGAATGATTTCATTTGATTAGATAAATCTTCTGGTTTTCATGATAAGAAGCAATGTATCTTTGTCTCACTTTCTGTTACATTATTTGTGGTGCAGCTCGTTTTTTATCATGTTTTCATCCTGTTCAGTGAATATCGAAGCAATGTGATCATGAAAATTGCATCAGTACTTGGTTTAAGATCAAAGAAACCTCGACAAAACATTTCATTTGAAGAACAACATAGGTTTGCAATAAATGCTAAAGTTTAATCTTTGTCGTCGTTCTTTTTATTCTGATAAACTTCGCTTCATCATATTTCTTCTCAGAATTGAACGACAAATAAAGTCTTTTAATTTTAGTATGCTGCATTTTGCAAATAATGGTTCGGGAATAAACGTTGTTGCTGTCCTCGACCCACTGTCGAAAGATGCTCAGAAATTAATTCCAATTTTAATGGTATGTGAATATGTACTGCAATTGTTGCTCTTAGAATTTTTTATAACAGCATTTTATTTTTCATCTGTTTGCTTTACGTACTTATGCAGTAACATTTATGTTATACAAAACTGTTATAGTAAATATTTGAAGGTACTGCGTAACATCACAGAAGTAAATTTAAAGATTTACATGAATTGCAGAGAAAAGTTGTCTGAGCTACCTCTCAAAAGGTCATATTTTAATTCCTTTACACAAATTATCAAGTTATATGATTGGTGTTTTTGATTTTTTTGTTGAATAGATTATTGATTGATTATTTTTGTAGGTTTTCTTTAAATAGATTATGGATTGACTTTTATTGATTTAGGTTTTCTTTGAATGGATTATGGATTGATTATTTGTAATTTAGGTTTTATCGCTACGTTTTGACACCAAATTTACAATTTGATGACAATGGAAATTTAGTGTCTGAACCCCGTGCAGAATTCACAGATATACCTGAAACACCTTTGCTAACCATGAATCTTGATATACCACAAGCATGGATGGTTGAAGCCGTTAAATCTCCTTATGATTTAGATAATATCTACTTAAAAGAGGCGAGGAGCTTTTTTGAATGTTTTTGTACTCCGCATATTTATATATATTGTTATAATTTTCGTTGCTGAATTTTGTTGGCGCACTTTTTCATCTACTCATTTTTCACTTTCCTCCGCAGGTGGAGAAAATGGTTGTAGGAAATTTTGAATTAGAATACATATTAATTGAAGGTAAAACCGTGATTATTACATCATCGAACGTCTTTCTACAATATTGATAAACTCTTAAAAGTAATGAATTCAAAGTTAGAGATAAACATTTGGTCTCTTTCTATCTTTGAAAAACATTGTTATTTTGTCTCTCTCTATCTTTGATAAACTTCATAAATCGCGATATTTTCATTTATTATCTAAACTCACAGGTCATTGTTCCGATGCAAATACTGGACAACCTCCTCGTGGCTTGCAGTTTACTTTGGGGACTAAATCAAATCTGGAGCAGTTTGACACAATTGTTATGGCAAATTTGGTATTGCGCACAATTATTTTCTTTCTTATTTTATCCTGTTGACATCCATATTAAACAGCGTTCAATGTTGTTTTTGTTCACTGGTCTTTTTTGGTACCAATGGAGTTCTTCCTCGTGTGAATTTTTCTAGGGATATTTTCAACTGAAAGCTTCACCAGGATCGTGGATGTTACAACTTCGAGAAGGACGTTCTAGTGATATTTTTGAAATTGAGAGGTATTTTAACCATTGAGATTCCCATTGCATAGTTTATTTACTCATTTTGAGATGTTTGGGTTTTGTTGTGATGTAGATTCTTGTATGTTTATACAGAGATAAAGTTTTCCTTTTTGTGTTATTCAAGGTCTTTTCTGTGTATTTGCTTCTCATTTATTTATTCAAAACAGATATAAATTTTGTTTATGTTATAAATTTTTACCATGATTCTTTTGAATATGTAAATGCGTGTTGTTTGGATTTTTTTTAAATCTTTTGAAAGACACGGGTCTTAAACTCTAGACTTTTTTAAAAAATCGTCTTAAGTTATAATTCTTTGGTTACAGTCTGACAGGATCATCCACTGTGAAATATGGAAAAAAGGATGTTGTTATTGTTGATAACTTTCTGGGAGAATTTCTCAAAGCTAAGGTTGCGATGATCAATGATGTCGATTGAGGGTTTTTTTATTTTGCTCTCTGTAAAAATTATTTTTGTGTCTTATTAATGAAGGTGAAGCGAAAACCTGGGAGAGAAAACGATGATCTTCTTGCTGAGGACGAGAAGAAAGAAGAAAGTGGGATATGGGACTCTTTATCTAGGTAACAAAATTATGATCTTGCTTCGATTAAATAATTTTGGATATAAAGATTTTTTTACTGCTGAATGTGCTCATGAGTTATAATGGAGATTACATCAGTAATACATAATATTATTTTAACATTACAGCATCGTAGGTGGTGGTAAACCTAGCAGTTCACACAATGACACCATCAATATATTCTCGGTTGCATCAGGACATTTGTACGAAAGATTCTTAAGGTGTTTTTATTTATTCATTGTATTATTGACTGATTTATATGATCCTGTTCTGCCATGGCGGTGAATATTTTCATTCCACCGAAATTGTATAGAATAATGATGTTAACTGTCATGAAAAATACACATAATCCAGTGAAGTTTTGGTTTTTAAAAAATTATCTCTCACCAACATTTCAGGTATGTTAACAGCAGTTTTCTTTTGCATGTCGCTAGAGAAATGACGATTTGCCTTTTCTTTTAAATAAGTGTATTTCACCATACTGCTATAGAAGCATATGTCAGAAATCGTAAATTTGTTTACTTATATGTCAATAAAAAATATCTGTTTTCAGGCTTTTGTACCATTTATGTCAAAGGAGTATAAATTTGAGTATGAATTCGTACAATATAAGTGGCCAGCATGGCTCCACCATCAAACTGAGAAACAAAGAATTATTTGGGGGTAAATTATTTTGCCTTTAAAAATTGGTTGTAAGGCTCTTCTGTATTTTGAAACACTTAAAGTAAGGATAACGATTATTCTATCACTGTTTTTAATATTTTCCCTTGTTTTTTTTTTTTCTTTAGCTACAAAATCTTGTTCCTTGACGTTCTTTTCCCTCTTAGTCTAAAGAAGATCATTTTCGTGGACGCAGATTTGGTGAGTGTAGTCGAAGTTAACGTATCGAGTCGAACAAAATACTGTAATGTAGCTACATATACTACTATTGGTCTTTTTATCCATTTATGTACTCATATGTACATTTGCGTTTAATTGATGAACACTTAAACATATTTGTATGATATAGTAATGGTTAAAGCTGCGTTCTTAGATTGTCCGAGCTGATCTCAAAGAACTGATGGAGATGGAATTAGAACGTGCTGCTTATGCCTACACGCCATTTTGTGACAGTAGAACTGAAATGGATGGATTTAGGTAGAAGATTTAGGTTAACGAAGTATTATGTCTTTATTCATATTTTTTTAAATATATTAATTGATATCATTTTACTTGCTGATTCAAAACATGTTTATGAAATATGTATTAAACGCTTACGACGGGGTTAAGATTAAGTTTATGGTAAGAATTAGGATTAGAATTAAGGTTAGAGTTGTTTTTATGTTTAGGGTTGATCATCTGCGTTTGATTTTATAGATTTTGGAAACATGGTTACTGGAGAAACCATTTGGGACGAAGACCTTACCACATTAGGTAAATAGACCAAATCTAAAAACGGTATCAAAAAAAAAAGACAAAAAAAATGTCAGCGTTATTAATAATCTTACGCATGCAGTAAAGTCTCACTTGCCTGTATGATTTGTTTCAGTGCTCTTTACGTGATTGATCTGAAGCGTTTTAGAAAACTGGCGGCTGGTGATCGTCTACGTGGTCAATATCAGGTTAGAACAACTAATAAAATACAAAGTATTGGTAGATTTGTGATTTTTTTAAATTTTTTGACCAGAAAAATTCCACTTTTTGTTTTATAAGTATGACGGTATCTTCAAATCTTAAATGTGTTTTATCTATTTTTAATTGTTGTTATGCAGGGATTGAGTCAAGATCCAAACAGTTTGTCTAATCTCGATCAGGTTAACATAAAGTTTCATTGGACGTGTTTATTTCATCACATTCCTTATGAATTTTACCAAATTTTTTAGCCTTCACCTTTAATATTCCTAAATCAATTATACTTTTAGGATCTTCCTAACAACATGATCCATCAAGTTCCAATGAAATCCCTACCTCAAGAATGGTTATGGTGCGAGACTTGGTGTGATGATGCTTCCAAATCTAGAGCAAAGACAATTGATTTGGTTAGGGTGATCTTGTCCATATTGCAAGCCTGTCGTTAAACCGTTATATTTATTTTTATCTTGCTTAGTTTAATCCATCTCAGTTATTGTGTTGTAGTTGTATCAGAAATTTATTTTGTGATCGATCAAAAAGAATGGCGAAGAGCACCGTTATTGAAGTAATGATCCATTGTCTCTTACTTGATTTATTAATTTTATTAGTGTAATAATCCAATGACAAAAGAGCCAAAATTGGTCAGCGCTGTACGTATTGTTAAAGAATGGCAAGATTACGACAACGAAATTAAACAACTTCAAGAACGAGTTTCTCACCAAATAAATAAATCTGCTGATGAAAATAGTAAGATTTTGCTATGTTTACTTATGATTTGTTACAGTTTGTGAATTTCAATAACTGCTTTGTTGTTTAATAATGCATTTATAATTTCATGGCTAACCTTTTTGTATTGAGCTCTTCTTTTCTTCTTACATGTAGGTTCACCTAAAAGAGAAGAGTTATGATGGCGTAAAATTGTCTCTATATCACTGCCGTTCTGTGTACGTTCAAGTAGAAATTTATTTGCTTTCAGAACTCGTCTACAGCAGTGATTAAATAAAAGAAATGTCATTTTGCGTAGCTACCTTCGTTTGTCGAAGATCGTCTTTATTAGTGCGAGGGGATAGGGGACTTTAACCATTACCACGAGTAAAAGGATTATGTGTACAAACGTTACAGACTTTCGTGGAGGAAACAGTTCTGATTCAAATGGTTGTAAAAAAAACACAAAATTTGTTTTCATAATAAGATATCGATGACTGTTTGAACTAAAATCACCATTATACGAAATTCGCCAGCAATAATTGCGTTTCCTTTATTTTGTATCATTGAACGCTCGTGTATTTTTAGTGACTAATGTCTGCTACCGTTTTCTTTTTATTGATGTCGAGAAATATATAAGCACTGAACGGTCAATTCAAGTGACTTTTTAAAATCTGATATCATTCTTTCTCTCAAAGAAGATAAAACTATTGGGGATGATGAAATTTAGAAATTTGTAACAGAACTCTGAAGTTTAAACCTATTACTGTAGTGGTACTGAAATCACGGACATTATGCCAGAGTTTTGTCATTAATGAAGGTAGTAGTTATTGAGATTGCTTGAAAAAGAATATTTGTCGAGTTAATACAATGCTCTCATTTCGTGAATCAAAAAGTAGTAGATAATATTTTCATTGCTGGAAATGCCATTTTACCTTAGCAGATTTTAATGTTTAAATTAATAATATATTTTTCACGAATCAAGTAGAGATAGATATCTTGTAGAGTTTAAAGTTTGTTTACCGTCATCACAGAACGAAACTGAAAATTGTATAAAAGTTCGTTTGACATCCACTGTATTTTACACCTTTATGTGTTTGGAAACAATCCAAGGTGACCAGACACCATTAAAGAATGCAGGATTTGAAGCAAGATCAGGTTTAGGGTATTTCACAGGTACTGCAGTATTATTGTATTCTTGAAGTTTGGCCAATAACTCCTTAACTTTTTCTGGAAACTTTGAAGATAGTTCATGTCGTTCTTCTGGATCTTCTGCTATGTTGAACAAAAACAACTTATTCCTGCCGCGGAAATCTCTCTCTTTGCTGAAGTTAAAGCTTGCATTTGGCGGAGGAATCCATCGTGGATCTCCTGGGCAACCTGTAAGTAGTTTCCAGTCTCCTACACGTAACGCTGCCTGTGGACACCATTTATAACTGGTGTAACTAGACCATGGAGTCTTAACTGGATCAATATTATGCAAGATTTCATTCCTTGGGGAAGGCTCACCTGTGTTGATGGTTTCCCAAACATCAAAACCATCCAAAGGTTTGGTGCCATTTAAATCACCTCCAGCTAACTTTACCAATGTTGGAAACCAATCAGAAACATGAATCATTTCATATGAGACTCTTTTTGGTTTTGCTAACAAAGGACTATTGACAAATCCCACTCCACGTATACCTCCTTCCCATAATGATCCCTTCCAACCCCTTAATGGCCAATTATTTCCTCCTTGATACACTTGACCACCATTATCAGTGCTAAATATCAAGATAGTGTTGTTCCAAATTCCTTTTTCTTTGAGTGTTTGTGTTATATTGCCTATGGCTTCATCCATAGCTGACACCATTCCAGCATAAATACGTCTGTTGGTGTCTTTAATCCCTTCATATGGTTTGATATATTGTTCTGGAACTTGCAAAGGATAATGAACAGCTTGAAATGCCAAGTATAAGAACATAGGAGAACTAGTATCATGATTCCTGATGATCTTTTGAGTTTCTTTTGTAAATATAAATGTGGAATATTCACCTTTTTCTTTTGTACTTACTGATTCATTTCTACGCAAATCATAACCTTTCCAAAAATTAAATGGTATTTTGGGATATCCAAAACTTGCCGAATGTGTATAATAATCTTCAGCTCCATTAAGATATCCAAAAAATGTATCGAAACCTCTGTATGTTGGCATACATTCTTTTTTATAAAAACCATTATGCCATTTGCCGACTATATGAGTCTTGTAGCCACTTTGTTTTAATTTCTCTGCGACAATTGTTTCATCAAGAGGAATAGAGTTCGGTTGCGCAGGATAAATTACACCGTGTTGTAAACCAGTATGAATTTGATATCTTCCCGTCAACATTGTTGATCTTGTTGGCGTACAAATTGGTTGAACATAATATTTCTCAAGAATGACACCTTCTTTTGCAAGTTTATCAAGTACTGGTGTCTTAATCTCGGAACCATGATAACCAACATCGTTAAAACCATAATCATCAGCAAATATAAACAAAATATTTGGCTGTTTACCTCCTCTTGCCAAAGGCAATACATGTAATAATAGAAACAATTCAAGCACAAGCATTTCCTTTTATCGTTTTGTAATCCAAGATATTACGATATCTTTTTCTTTTTAGTTTTGCTTATGAAATGTGATACTCGTGTTTGTAGTTGCTTGTTGAATTATGCGTACGTGGTTGGCTTGTGCTGGGTAGGTTTGAATGGAGTATTTGCCATTGAGTTCTATAACGTATTATAGAACTCAATGGTATTTGCCGGTTGCCAGTCTCCCTTTTCTTTTTCCTTTTATCGTTTTGTAATCCAAGATATTACGATATCTTTTTCTTTTTAGTTTTGCTTATGAAATGTGATACTCGTGTTTGTAGTTGCTTGTTGAATTATGCGTACGTGGTTAGCTTCATTGAGTTCTATAATAACTGGAGCGGCTATCTTTACTGGGGCGAGGTCGCCAAAAAAATGGCGGCCAACGGACGTATTTCCGCTGAAATGATCGCTTTGCAGAAAAATAATATTCTCGACCTCCCCCTGGTGTCTATAGTAAATTATAAAGAATTTTTCAAAAACAAACACGATATCACAGAATATGGATATCGTTAGTTCCATATTCTGTGACGATATCTTTTTTGGCATTTCTTTTATAATGCCAACACTTCAATCGTTCAATTGTTGGATGTCGTAGTTTCCACAAAAAGGAACATATCGCTTCTCACAGGTGAGGTAGTTGTTTGTTTTGTTAGTCCGTCAACGATTGAAAAGCAATTATACATGCACTTGAAAAGCCATAAAATACATAATTTTTGATCATAATTTATCATCATTCCATAGATCGTAATTTTAAGACTGACTTGAACGCCAAATATACTGATGTTTTCCTGTTTTGTCTATAAAATTCTGCATACTTTTCTGTCATTTGTTAATGCATGAAATCGTGAAATTTACCTATCTATTTGCAAAATAGTTTCCTAGAGCAAAAAGACCCTGCACACATTTTGCTCTGTGAAAAGTATCAAGAAGAAATGATCAGCCCCAACAGTACCCATGATTTGGAGCAGAGCTTGTTATGTTCTATTTGCTGACAACATGCAGGGAAGAGAAGTAAAGATGACTGGAAGATGTTATTGACCAGGCAGAGTATTAAAAAAATGATAATGCTGTAAAGATAATTGATTTATTGTCTGCCTTATACAGAGTTATTTAATTTGATCATGGTCAAATTCTATGGATGGAGACAATGGATTCACTAATGATGCCTTGAATGCTTTGAAGTAAAAGTTCATGAACCAAAAAAAGATGGCAAGAAGGTTGTTTGTTTTTGATGCTTAATTAAATGTCAATTCACAACATATAAAATGGAAAGGCCATAAAGTTTGTGTCTATGTAAACATTTGTACTGAGATTGATGATGACTTGATGCAGATGTGAAGCATTAAACTGAATAAGCCATTGGGTTTTATATAACATAATGTTTAAATCATGTCATATCTTTATCAAAATATTTTAGTTGAGTGTTGTTTAAATGTTACTAATATCTAATGCACTATACTAAAGCATTAAAGATTCAGTGATGAAACCTTTAAAATTACTGTACTGTATATTTCTTATATATTTCTTATATTTCTTTAAGAAACAGTTTGAGCTTATTTACCTATTAGAGTACAGAATGGGGATTTATCATATGCATCATTGCTGCTTTTTTAAATAAATGTTTTTCACTTTTCAAAGCTTTTCTACAAATATTTTGCTTCTTATTTCTTTTCATGAGATTGATGATATAGAGGTAATATAATCCAATAACTTTATAATTTCTAGAAAGCTTTTAAGCTTTTAGCATAAAAGTACACTATAGGTATTTAATTCATTTGGTTTTATTGCCTTGTTATGACACATCCATATGCATTTCATCATTCATGTATGAAGAAAACACCAAATGTGGATACTCAGAGAACAAAATGCACTACCAACTGCTTATGAAATTTATTATTGAAGTGAAAACTGTGTTAATAATTCAAATTGTGCACTTATATTGAAAATATAGGAAAAACAAAACAAAGTGAAAAGAAGGGTAGAAGTATTAAAACTAAAAATGAATTATAAACACCATTGGAAGCATAAGTGTTTTGATGATTATTTGCATTTTGCCCAATTTATATATCAATACAACAAAATCAAAATGTGCTACAACTTTACAAGTATTTGATGCAGTTGCACTTCAGAACATCACAAAAGGTTACTTAAAGTAATTTCTATACAATATTGTTTGTTTTCATTTACCAAACCTATGCAGACTTGAGTCTTTTTGAAATTTCATGTGAAACTCAATTACAGAAAATCCGTAAATATCCAGAGATTTTATATGTACTTTTTTAAAGAAACAAGTAAAAATCCTACAATTGTGGCGAAAAAGCCATTGCCCATTGCATGAAAAGAAGAAAATAGCAATGATAACAAATAAGCTAACTTCTCTCGTGAACCGTGGAGATGAACTATGATATACTTTTGTATAGACTAAAGAGTTTAATCGATCAAACAAGTTTGACGCTGGTAAGAAAACGACGCATATCTGCATTCATAGATGTGTAGCCGACATATAGCTCTTTCGTCGATAGTTATAAATACATCCTCGTAGGAGCCGATAACTGGAAAGCTAGTTGACTCGCTGTTACGAATTGTAGGTTTTAACGTGATTTTCATCAAAAATTGCTTGCAAATCCCAAATACACATACATTTTCCTCACTTTTCCTCAGGAGGGAGTGGGAAATTGTGAAATTTTCGGAAAAGCGGTCAATTTCGGTAAATCTCAGCGGCAACGGACGAAATCCGCCATTTTTGGCGTCATCAGATATCTAATGCCGCGGAGATAGCCGCCCAGTTATTATAGAACTCAATACAATGGTGCGGGTAGGTTTGAATCATTGAGCTCTATAAGACCTTGGAGGGGCGCCCTGGTCAAAAACATGGCGGTAATGGGATTTTGGTTGTCAAAACTTCCACTTTGAGAAAAATTTTTAACATTCGCCCTCCCGAATCCGGAATCCTTACTACTGCTTATATCATGACAACCAGCGAAATAAACACGATACCGTAAGCATAAATATTGAAAATAATTTCAGATTTTGTGAAATAGACACATTTAAATGAGGTAAATCTACTGTAAAATAGTATATGTCAAATAATGCTTTAGCTATGTTAGAAATAAATATCAAACGGCATTCTTTACACTGTCAATGTGTCGTTGCTTTAATGCATAATCCCATGCGCAATACTTGTGTTTTTGACTTTTTAACAGCTTCAGCAACTGTCTTTCTTGAATAGATGGGTAAATATTAGTTAAATGTTCAAAAGGTTAGAAAAGTTAGCTTATTCTACGACTTAAGTCGACTGGAAATATATTATGTAGTATGTATTTTTTTGAAAGTTTTTGGTAGATTGATTCGTGTCTTATAATATTATGATATTCTGATAAATTATCTTATGAAGAAAATATCTGAACTAGAGAAAGAAAGAATTCAAAATTCCTAAATCATAATTATTGCAGCTGTTTTGAGCCACATTAGTAACTGGATTGTCATTGACAACCATGATCTACTATTGAACAGAATCAACATTAATTTCCCCTTATTGAAAATACTTTTTTTTAAATTAAAGTGCATTGGTTTCTCTGACATAACACTTTTCTTATTGCTAAATGCAAACCTGTTTAAATAATTATAATGTAGGTGAAGATATTTAGCATGTTGTATAATTATTATACAGACATTATTTATAATATTATGGCCTTGTGTAATGTATGTCAAGAACTTTAACTCTAAAAATGCTAACTCTGCACACTTTTTGTGTTCCAAAATTACAGTTACCTATAATTTTTTTTCAAACAACTCTGACAAACTTTGAATTTTACATTATGCCCGAATTTTGTTTTGTCTTTTGGTAAAAATATCAGTAAATGACTTAAAATCGTTTGTCTAAAATAGTATTTTGGTACAAAATAACTATACATGATTGGAAGTTCATGTTGAAGCGTCGATGTTTCTTTGATTGTTACTTTATTCTTTTAAATGATATCGTAATTCTCAAAGACATAAAAGTCTTTGTCATCAATTTTCTTCATTACATTCAACTTCATTGCAAATCAATGCATCTTATGTGAATTTTGATCACCTTGAAAAACATATGGATTTTGTCAGATGATGCAGCATAAGTATTTAATGTTTCATGCATGTTACTATATTGCTTGAATATTTCATAGGAGAAAGAAATTTCATTATTAACAAAGTAGTTTTATCTAGATTCTTGATGTGTTTTAACCTGTTTACATTGTAACAAATTCATTTACAGAAACACCAGATGGCATTCAAATGCATAAAGCAAATTCATTACCATCATCATGATTGTCCATAATCTGTCAAATTCCAGGCTAGCTGTTTAATACAGGTATTTTTTAATGACATGTACCAAAGAGCTCATAATTAATCTTGCACTGCATTTGATTTCAATACAGCTCTGTCCTTAATATTTCATATTTTCAGAAAATATCATGAAAAAATCCTCCATTTCAATCTTGAAACAAGGAGTTTTAAGCATATCTCGATAAGACCGGTTGCTTGTTCGTTCAGCAAGCGATCAAAGTAAATAACAAATAAGACTGGATATATATAACTCAAATTATGTTAGAAGTAAACATTCACAAATATAATATCACACTTCAAGTATTGACTTAAAACAAAACACTGAAACTTTAAATGGTAACACTTGACGTTACCGGTAACATGAATGTTTTCTGGTTACTTCAGCATCTCTCAAACAAGTTTGCAACATGTTTTAAAGATAAAATTTAAAAGTTTTTGTGTTGGTACTGATATTTTTATAATCGTTATTGTGGTTGTCAATCTGGGCGAAATTTCATTTTATGAGCCCGCGTCTTGCCGATTTTGACAACAAAATCGCCATAGATGACCGCGCGCTGTAATTTTATACTAATTTTGTTGACGTTTCCTCCAGGTCTTAGAGAACCATTGAGCTCTATAATAACTGAGGAAACGTCAACGAAATTACTATAAATTATTAGCGCAGCGGCCGCGGTCAAAAACATGGCGGATTTTGGTTGTCAAAGTCAGCGGAAAGACGCGGGCTCATAAAATGAAATTTTTCGCCCATCCGATTTGAAACCACAATTGCGATTATATAAAATTTCAATGCGAAGCACAAAACTTTTAGAAATTTTATTTTTAAAACATGCTGCAAACTTGTTTGGTGTACGGATGCTGAAGTAATGCCAGAAAAGGAAACACATGACACCGGTGAGCAACGTAAGATTGTTTACCATTTAAAGTGTTCAGTGTTTTGTTTTAAGTCAATACTTGAAGTGTGATGGTATATATTTTGTGAATGTTTTACTAAGTTATAATTTAAGTT